AACGATCATTTGGAATAAATCGATGAATGTGAACTTCATTTCATTTTGTCATTTGTTTCTTCGTCAGTTTCATTAGGTGACTTTAATAACACTTAAAAATCAAATATCCCCTACTGTTTTTGAATAGTATATTTCAACTGTTGATTACTCATTATTTTATCTTTATCATTTCGGCAATAATCTTATATGTTACGCCAGGTAAAAATAAGTAATATAAGTTACGCCAGAAGTAATATAATGACTAGATGGCTAGATTTTTAATATCGTGCGGGTTTAAAACGGTTAAGTTTAGATACTTATTTCTCCCACGTGACCATATATGATGTGTATGGTAGACATCGGTTAACTGAGAACTTGATACGCTCCGTGTCCAATAAACACTCACTGCGGACTGGATACACATAATCATATTTTTCCCTTTTCAGATCACACACACGAAAGATACACCCCAACTGTAGAATACCGCTTAACGCGGATCACCTCAGATCGACCTTAAAATCAAATGGGATATTAAATCCGGGCGTCTGAACATCGTTACAGTCCTAGATTTAGTTCAAAAAGTCCTGGGTTGATGTGTGTCCTCGATATACACCATATACAAACGCACCCACCCCCACCCGCAAATGGAAAATCGAGGTTAAGTTGCGTCGACAATAAACGATCTACACTAAAGTCATAACTTTGCCCAGAAAAAAGTAATTTGAATGAAATTTTGAATATTTACATTGAACTATTGCAGCAAAAACGGCCAGCTCTTACACGGGAATTATGCAAGAGCTAAATCTGCCTATTGCAGGTCTTTGTTATTTATTAGACATTAAGAAACGTACCAAAACCATAATCAACTCTCTCTGCCATCGTATAGTCTAGATTTTCAACAGATTTAAATTTCATTTGTGGTTGATGATTTAACGTAAAGATAGGTGTCCTGTTGACAAGGGTTATCGCATATTTATTCTTTTGTAGGTAATTGGTAGCATTTACAGGATAATTTCATACAGATCAGATTATCATTTTCGTCGTTTGAAGGTTCACATGGTTCTACAAACTAAAACAAGGGCCGAACTCTGGATGTAATTTACAGAAAAATTTCCGTTTTACTAATTTAAATAACGCATATAAATGTCATACAGGTCGGATGATAACTTTTGTCATTCAAACGTTCACAAGGTTCACAAAGAAACCAAGGGCCATAACTCTAGAAATAACTGACGGAAATTGGTGAAATTCAATAAACCTCCGTTTCACAAATTTAAATGATGCATATAAATTGCATACATACCGGATGATAACTTTCATCAATCGATTATTAACAAGGTTGAACAATATGAAACAAGGGCCATAACTCTATTAGTAATTTGGAAATTGCTGAAAAGGCTTCGTGGTTTCACGAATTCTAACAATGCATATAAATTTCATAAAGATCGGTTGATAACTTTTGGCGTTAAAAGTGTTTACAAGGTTCAATAAAGTGAAACTAATTTAAATAACTCCATACAGATCGGCAGATAGCTTAAGATGTTAGAGCGTTCACATGGTGCAACAAAGTGAAACAAGGGACATAACTCTAGAAGTAATAAACGGAAATTGCTGAAATTCAATAGGATTCTTCTTTTTACTAATTTAAATGACGCATATATATTTCATACAGATCGGCAGATAATTTTTGATGTTAGAAGTAATTAACGGAAATTTCCAAGATTATAAGTCAAGCTTACATTGCCGACAAGATGGCACATGGCAGAAACGTGGTTTTACGTCGCATTGCAATGTCACCGTTCTAACACATATTTTAACCGGGCTCATTTTATTTTACCAGGTTATGAGTAATTATTGCAATCTATGTACAAAGAATAAAATGTACAAAGAATAAAATGGACAAGTCTTCTCTTGAATACAAAGATTGGTACAGTCGTCACATGCCTGATTGTCAGCTTGTTCAATCGCGCGGTCGAGAAATTTGAATTTAGATACGGTTTTTTTGAATGATGGTGACAATTCCGTGTTTAAATCGTTACATGAACTAAACGACGACACTGGCCCTTATGGACATGAATTTCAACTCAAAAATGAAGATTGCGTCAACCATATTGGCAAACGAATGAAAAATGGGTTTGACAGTGTCATTTCAAAGATGAAATCACAAGGACATGCTATTGATGGTAGATGGAGACTTAACCAAAGATCGTGTAAGAGCTTTACAAAACTAAAGCTATCAAAGATAACTGTGATAATTTAGAAGCCATGTACAACGCAACTTGGGCTACTTTCTTCCACTATATAGATGATGAAACACTACGTCATAATCACTGTTCACCAGTACAGGTCCTGCTTCATGGTGTTGGTACAACCGACAATTAGCTGAAGGTACAACCATGCCAGTTCGTTCAACTAATTCTGCACCCTTATTCAAGGAGTTCTGCGAGGCAATTCTGCCGATTTAATAACGCTTATGTAACAAAGACTTACTAAAACGATGTCTACGTGGAGCGACTCAAAATGTTAATGAGTCATTAAATCAACTGATCTGGAAAAAAGCCCCAAAAACATCGGTTTACAAGTCTTGAAAGTATCCATCATGCCATAGTCACTTGTGCTTTGGAGTTCAACAAGGTAGCGGTAGGCTACATGTCGAATGTTGATGCAACGTGCATCGATGACACCAGGTCTCAACTCTGCATCATTTTGTGAAGGTAGTGACGAAGGAATAAGACAATCTCAGATTCAGGGAACAGAGAGATTTAAAAGAATCAGAAAACAAAGAACTAGAAACACTGAAGCATCAAACAAGGGAGCAGATGGTTAAAGGGGAAACTTACGATGCAGGAGGGTTTTGATTATGGTTAAAATGGGTGTGTGTGTTGTTCAATATATGAATTTCAAAACATGGGCTGTAACTCTAGACGTAATAAACGGAAATTGCTGAAATTCAATAGGATTCTTCTTTTTACTAATTTAAATAATGCATATATTTTATACAGATCAACAGATAATTTTTGATGTTAGAAGTAATTAACGGAAATTGCTGAAATTCAATAGGCTTCTTGGTTTCACTAATTTAAATAACCCATGTAAATAGTACAAAGAGCAAATAACTTTTGGCGTTGGAACGTTCACAAGAAATTGTGGACAATGGACAATATACGTCCACATAAAAATTATGACCTCTAGAGAATCCACAAGCTAAAAAACAAATTTTCGTAAAATCTGGGGCCATCAGGAAGTTACAATACAATATGCAAGCATATCGAAAGGAACCAAGATCATAGGGCTATAAACATGTATTTCAAGTTTTATCAAAATCGGATCAAAATTGTGACCTCCAGAGGGTCCATAACCTTGTTGTACCATATTTTCACAGTACATGTAATTACGGTGTAACAGTGATATATTCGAAGGTTTTTAAATCGGATAATAACTGTGACCTCTAGAGGGAACACAAACTAAAAACACGATTTTTTGTACAGTCAGGGGCTATAATTCAGGATATTACAATCCGATATGCGAAAATATCAAAAGGAAGCAAGATCATTGGGTTATAAAAATGCATATCAAGTTTCATCAAATGCAGATGAAAATTGTGACCTCTGGAGTATCTACAAGCTAAATAAGTGATTTTTTGTACAATCAGGGTCCATAATCCATGAAGTTTATATGGTCCGATACATGCCAACATCGAAATGAACAGAGATCTTTGGGAGATAGACCTACATTTCAAGTTTCGTTAAAATTGGATAAAAATTTGACCTGTAGAGTGTAGACTGTCCACAAACAAATTGTGGACAGACGGACAGGGGCGACGGCATAATACATCCACATAAAGATAGGTTGCCAGGCAACGAAACATACGCCCACAGCAGCTATATCGTCCGGGCAGTCAACAAGAGTTGTCACATATTTTTACTTTTTTTGGTAATGAAACATTTATAATACATTAAAATCTGATTAAAAGTAACAATCTCATTAAGTAATTATCAGAAAACCATTAGAATTTGGTTTTTATAAATTTCTGCACCATGCTAACTTTTAGTATACGGAACTTTTAACATCATGGATTTAGCTGTTCCAAGTCATAAAGATTCATTGAAAATCAATATACTTGTTCGTCTCAAGACCTTAAACACTGTATCAATTTCAAGTCAATTGGATATTAACTTTAGCCTCTAGAGCATACGCAAGATTTTTCAAAGTGATCAAGGGCCATAACTCTGGCAGTAATTATCAGAAATCGCTGCAAATCAATAGGCTTCTTCGTCTCATGACCTTAAACACTGTGTATAAATTTAAAGTCAATCGGATATTAACTTTGACCTCTAGGGCGTCCACAAGATTTTTTGAAGAGATCAAGGGCCATAACTCTGGCAAAAATTATCGGAAATCGCTGAAAATCAATAGGATTCTTCGTCTCATGACCTTAAACACTGTGTATCAATTTAAACTCAATTGGATATTAACTTTAGCCTCTAGAGCATCCACAAGATTTTTCAAAGTGATCAAGGGGCATAACTCTGGCAGTAATTATTGGAAATCGCTGAAAATCAATAGGCTTCTTCGTCTCATAACCTTAAACACTGTGTATAAATTTAAAGTCAATTAGATATTAACTTTAGCCTATAGAGCGTCCACAAGCAATTGTGGACACCGGATGGACAGGGGCGACAACAATATACGACCACATTTCAATGTGGGCGTATTAAAAAACAATAGCATTATTCGTCCCAACATTAACGCAGTATAATGTTCAAATCAAGATTTTGAAAAGTTATCAAGGGCCATATACCCCTGACAAAAATTAATGGAAATCAAAGAAAATCTATAAAGTACTTTTCTTATGAAAATTTTAAGTTAGTCTCTAGCGTCCACAAGATTTTTCAAATTGATAAACAGGTAAGCCTATCCCCTGTCACCTAGAAGGCTAGGGGATCTAGACCACACTACTCAATGGGATGATGACATTTCACCACTTGGCTAACCATCTACCCAAGTAACAAATAAAGTCAAACTATAAAACTCATTTTTATTTGATACATGTACAATAAGAGAACAGGTATAAAATCACATAACTGGGTGATTATAAATACCCTGTAATGGCTGATCTTAATCCAGTATACTATAGTTATTTTATAACAGAAAGAATATGCCACTAGGTTTGTTTCCCCCATTGTTTCAAAGTACATTAACAGGAAATACTGGTAACAGTTATTTTGAACACTTTAACAGAACAACACAGCGCTATAGGTCGTCCCTGTATGTCTTTGACCAACATGGAGAATTACATAAATCAATTACTGACTTATTTATCATCTGCACATGTTTGCTTGCGTAGTCCGAAGTAGCTCATAATTCATTAGCAACATCAAGAGCTCATGAAATTTTCAATCCAACCCCTGAATAATTTTCACAGATACTAATTTATCACAGTTAAGTAATTTCAAGCCTCATTATTTTCTGATGTTTTTAATGTATCATCACCATTTTCTGTTTTATTGTCCTTCACAGTCATGTCACCTAATTTTTCGGCTATATTTTCAGAGTCCTTATCTGTTTTTTCTTCTGACTTAGATTCTGTTTCCCCATTCACTTCAGTATCTCCTGCTGCTTCTGAAAAGATAAAATGATATGAAATAATAATATATTTAGCAGTGTTTAACAATTTATTAACTTGTCTAAAAGATTCTTAAACTCTAATATAGTATAAAGCATTTACATTAACATTTTCTGCCAGTAGCACTGACCTTCTTCAATGATCTATTATCTGAATAAACATGTTCATTATCTAATATCTGTAATCTACAGACACGATATTTATTAAGCACAGTTGTGTGCTCTCTTATCAAATATGTAACATTATTGATATGTAACATTATTGATACAGACAATGTATGTTGTAAATTGCTGATAAATATTTAAATTAAAGTAAAATATAGTTTCGGGTTTATAGAATCAACAGAACATTAAGTCTGCAAATCAACAGATCATTCAGTCTCCCAATGAGATCAAAGTTAACCAGTGGCTGCCAGGCAGGATACGCCCACATTTTTGAGAGATGGATAGAGAACAAGCTAAAAAGAAAGTGATTTTTCCTACAATCAAGGGCCATAATTCATGAAGTTACAATTCGATATGCGCAAATATCGAAAGGAACCAAGATCTTTGGGTTATAAACATGCTTTTCAAGTTTCATCAAAATTGAATTAAAATTGCGACCTCTACAGGGTCCACAACCTTGACATATACCATATTTTTACACTATTCGCGTACGGGCGGCGGCCATTTTGTCCAGCAATTTTGGTCCGATTTTCACGAAATTCGAACTCAACCTTCATTACGGTGTAACAGTGATATAATGAAACGTTTTTTTAAATCGGATAATAATTGTGACCTCCAGAGGGACCACAAGCTAAAAAAGGCGATTTTGCGTACAATCAGGGGCCATAATTCAGGAAGTAAAGATCCGATATGCGACAATATCGAAAGTAACCAAGATCTTTAGGTTATAAACATGCTTTTCAAGTTTCATCAAAATCGAATTAAAATTGTGACCCATACAGGGTCCACAACCTTGATTTACCCTATTTTTACACTATTCGCGTACAAACGGCGGCCATTTTGTCCGGCAATTTTGGTCCGATTTTCCCCAAATTCGAACTCAACCTTCCTTAGGATGTAACGGTGATATAATATACGTTTTTTTTAAATCGGATAAAAATTATGACCTATATAAGGTCCACAAGCTAAAAACGCGATTTTTCATATAATCAGGGGCCATAATTCAGGAAGTTACAGTCCGATATGCGACAATATCATAAGGAACTGAGATCTTTAGGTAATAAACATGCATTTCAAGTTTCATCAAAATCGAATTAAAATTGTGACCCATACAGGGTCCACAACCTTGATTTACCATATTTTTACACTATTCGGGTACAAACGGCGGCCATTTTGTCCGGCAATTTTGGTCCGATTTTCACGAAATTCGAACTCAACCTTCCTTAGGGTGTAACGGTGATATAATGAAACGTTTTTTTAAATCGGATAAAAATTATGACCTCTATAGGGTCCACAAGCTAAAAACGCGATTTTTCGTACAATCAGGGGCCATAATTCAGGAAGTTACGGTCCGATATGCACGAATATCAAAAGGAACTGAGATCTTTGGGTTATAAACTCACATGTCAAGTTTCAACAAAATCGGATAAAAATTGTGACCTCTATAGGGTCCACAAGCAAAAAGCGTGATTTTTCGTACAAACAGGGGCCATAATCCATGAAGTTTCGATCCGATACATGCAAATATCGAAAGCAGCCAAGATCTTTTTGGGATAAACCTATATTTCAAGTTTCGTCAAAATCGGACAAGAATTGTGACCTGTAGAGAGTCCACAAACAAATTGTGGACGGACGTCCAGACAGGGGCGACGACAATATACGTCCACATGAAAATGTGGGCGTATAAAAAATAATTGCCAGCCGGTCAATTTCAGTTTTATACATTAAAATACCTAATTTTATTGCATATGTAGTTTTAAATTATAAATGGATCAACACAATGTAATGTCTTTATTTTGTTATTTGAATCATTGTTTCCATAATGTACAAGAATCAAATACTCCAAATTCTTTCAGTTTATCGACAGTCATCAATAAATCAGTCCGCCCGTCGAATATCTCATCAAAAAGAATTGTTTAACCAATACTTCACTTTAAATCAATGGGTGTAAAAAATTGTTTATCCAATACTTTAAATCAATGGATATAAAAAAAATATTGTTTATACAGTACTTCAAATCAATGGGTTTAAAAATTTTAAATATGCGTTTGAAATTGAATTCAATATTCTTTCTTTTACTTTCTATTCAATATCTTTCAAGTCTATTGTGTAGTTTTAATATTTGTAATTATCCTACATGAAAGAGCTTATGTTGTGGTGTGCAATGAATTTTAGGGAAGTCCTCCTGCCATAAATTAAAACCATACCTGAATTGTGTAATTTTTCTTTCATTATTTCTTGACATTCTTCAAACTTTTCTTTAAATTTTTGAGCATCTGAAATACAAAACATTGAACTTGAGATAAGGGGTTCAAGGTATTTGAAAAGTACATAATGATATTCTATCATGTGCAGAGCTCGAAATGTTTGCTGGTCTACTTAACGCCGAGAGGCAATTTTTACACATAGGTAAAATCATTTAAAAATTGTGACCTCCAGAGTGTCCACAAGCTAAAAATCTGATTTTTCGTAAAATCAGGGATCATAATCCATGAAGTTACAGTCCATACACGCCAATATCGAAAGGAACCAAGATCTTTTGGGAGATAAACATATTTCAATTTCATCAAAATCGGATAAAAATTAGGACTAAAGCTGTAACAGGTAGCTTTTTTTTGTTTTTAACATTTCGAGGCCTGAATCTGTGATTTGGAGCAGGCGTTCTTATGCATGCTATAATTTGGTCTGCACAGACCATCCATTAAGAATTTTACTGGTAAAAGCATTAATTAGCATTCTGTATTTACTTAATTGGTTGAAATTTGAATGGCTATAACATTTTTTTCAGCTTCAACCGTGTAGTTCATATATCTAACTGCTCAAAATCTTCAGCTAAAATCCTGCGCAGTACACAAATATTGATTTTTTGGGGATCAGTTTCAAGATCTCTACACAAATCAAAGAATTTATTATATTTAACGTACTTTCAGCATTAGCAAATCTAATTGCTAGTAATTCTGCTTTCGGTTCTTCATCTGCAAAATCTGCGGTTGTTGACCAAACCCAAGCTCTTTCACTACCGCAATTAGGTTTTAACTCCATTAACGGGGAAACTGAAAAATAAAAATCATGCGAAGATTCTTATTCCAACAATTGTCATCCACACGAGTCAAGTTATGAAAAACATGAAGAATGACTAGAGGGCATGTATGCCCAAGTTGAATGTTCTCGCCAGAGGTGGGAACAAGTCGAGTGACCTTGAGTCGAGTCCCTAGTGGACGCACCCCCTGTCTGTGCTGGCAGGATATATCGTTGAATCACGATTCACCTTATCACGATTCTCATATTGAATCGTGTGACGCTGCATTGACGTATCAGGATTCTTTTTTGATGTTCTTTTCTCGCTTCAGTATTGTAACCTGCCACTCTTAATATCCACATCACACATTATCCATAGGTACATAAGCACTCTTAAATTGTTCTGGTCATTATTTTGAGCCACATGAATATCATGAATAAAAGTTTTACTAATCAGCTGGATTAAAAACAAAAATTATTCATTTATCCTGTTGTTTTTTTTTTTAGGTATTAAGTATTGATCTGGTTATGAATCGTGTTAAAAATCATATTGTAGCATATGATATGCAATATGTATCGTATCGTGACTGCAGTGGAAATACTCAGCACTATAAGTCACCGATTTTAGTACCGATTCACAAAGTCTTCACAAAGCCCAAGTCCCATTCAAGTCACTAGTTCAAATAAGTCAACAATTCATGGCGAATAAGACAAGTTACAGTTATGTCCCCTTATGTTCCCACTTTTAAAGCACAAAATAGTAAAATTTGCTAGAAAATTAACAAACTAAAATCAAATCTGGGATGCAGGACACAATTTCGAGCAGTGGCATAAATTAAAAAAGTGCTTTTTTTTATCAACTTCACAGCATCTGATCTACAGATTCTTTCAGTTTATCGACAGTCATCAATAAATCAGTCCGCCCGTCGAATATCTCATCATAAAGAATCTTTATAAAAGAAATTAATCTAATGAAAATTTCTGCTTGAAAATAATATAAATCAATTAGTAATTTGAAATGTTTTTGTTGCAGTGATCAACTGTAATATAAATACACCTGCATTATTATAAATATATAGTTTAGATTTTAATTATGATATATTACCATAATGATTGGCACATATTTTCAATGTTTTATCCCGTCTCATCAATAATCGTATCAGACCAGATTTTTTATGTTTTAGTAATTTAACATCACCGGTTCCTCTTTCCTTCCACTCGGGTGGTTCCAATGTGTTATCAAATCGAAATAATTTAGATCTCCTGAAATACAGAACAAATATAATCAAGAAATCTTCCTAATAACAATTGCTTCAAATTACATAGCTTGTAAATGAATTAGGAATGCAATATACGCAAACAGAACTGATAAGACAAACTTGCAGACAAGACACAAACTGCACACGCACTGCCAGAAATAAACAACAGGGTACATCTGGTTGTCGATCATTATGAATGGGTATGTATAGGCATTAAAAATTTAGAAATTCCAATCTTGCATAATTAGTCCAAAGTTATCCTAATAAAATATCTGCATGGTTCCAATGCTTTTACAATTGTTGTTAAGTGTGCATATATATAAAAAAATTTCGATTAAGATTCTCTGATCTGAATTTCATGTGCAAGCACAATATTTCAATTAACAGTCCATCTCATGGAGACTGATTATTTTTAAGATACAAATTGTTTTAAAGCGCTACATAGGTTACAAATATAAGACAATAGAATATATCCTAACATTTTAAACAATTCTTCTTCATTTTCTTCTAACGTGGAAGTTTCAACTGCAGGTAATTTTACTACTGGTTCAAAATGTGCTGTACACGTTTCTTCATCTTGTGTTTCACTGGTATGTTCAACTTTTTCTAGACTACTAGTACTTGTTTGTGCCTGAAATATAAAATGCTAAATAGTAATAGTCTATCCACATGCATTTTTACACCTATATTAGGCTATATAATGACATGGTACGACATATTACAAGCCATAGTAGCAGCTCTACAAATAACACAAAGTTTAACAGCATACCCTACCAAGTACATGTACTTGATTACCTTAATACCTATAACGGTAGAACATCTTTACCTCGGATGATATACAGGCTATAATATTTATTAAACACCAAAAGGATGTGACTTAATAATACCACATTTATATGTTTCTTTAATCACATGTCCTGATTTAACAAGAGATAATACTTTGGAACAGCAAACTATACTAAATTTACATTACGTACTTGTATGCCCATAATTAAAACGTAATTTAATCATAATCAACGTGAAAATATATTAAAATATTGCTGGAATTGTATCATTTTATTTTAAATTCAAACAATGATAAATTATTACCTCTGCATCTGCCATTGTAATAATAGATGGGGATGGATTTAAATTTCTTGCTTAAATTTTCACTGAACAACCATATCAACTTCCCGCTGAATAAGAAGGTATGGTTAGTTTCGTAATTAACTGATCGACGAGATTATAGTGTTACATTTTCTAATGAAATCGTTAGTCAACAAAAATTGTGGTCTTCTTTTCTTAATTCGGTATTTTTTTTGTTATTCTTCGGTAAATAAATTAAATTTTTTAGTATAAATCAAATCTTGTGATAAAAATCAGAGTTTCGTATTCAAGATGTCAGCGCCCATAACGGTACATGTTTATTATCGGATGAATGAGTTGAATTGAATAATTCAATAAGCACGAAAATATATGTCAAATGGGCATACGCCAACTGAATATGATACTGTCTCAACTCATCAATTGTAAAACTGATCATTGACATTATTATGCCATATTAGTACATGAGTAGGTCCATAGATTTACCCAAAACACCATTAATTATTCAAAACACCCTGTATTTTGAATAAAACAACACATTTTTGTTGTTTCTTCTTTCTTTTTATATGTATAGATGATTAATATTCCCTAAATTTTCCAATTTTTTTAATAGTTCTGAAAAAAATAAGAAGTCCAATTAAGCAAGAAAGAGAACTATTATTTTGCGCCTCCCGACGCACCTCGACTTATCTTCAGGGGAGTCATTAAATACGCCCGCTAATTAAGCTCAATCGCTCACCTAATTATTGAAATTCATAAACTACCGTACTTTCAGTTTTTGTTTATTTTTAAAACTGCATATGTTTGAGCATAGTGACCTCCTCCTTCGAGCGATGAGCATTTCCATGGTAAAACTAGGGCTGCCATAATTATTCACCAAACATATTAAATGCTAATGTAAGGCTCGTTTTAACTGTATAGCAGTCTAAAACCATCCAATAGAATGTGATGTTACTTGACAGCCTAATAATATGTCGCTGGATGATGATGGAGAATATCCGCGGGAATGACAGAATGACATATGTCTAATAATAACATTACGTTGTTTAAAATGTTTTCATGTGCCGCTTGTCACATTGGCAATGTGTTGATTATCGCTATCAATAATATGTCTGGAGATGGTCAAAACTGTCAATTATGTGACATTTTTAAATTGGAATTACTGGAGGGCAAATAGCCACAGAGGGAGACAAAAAAATGGGTTTATAAAATTGGTTTGGTCTTTAGACTTGGTGCAAATTGTGAGCTAAGTACGCTAACAAATTGATCAAACTGACGAAAATTCGTGGAACATATAAGTGACATAATAAAGAGAATATGAGACAAAACTAAAGTATAAATACAATTTGGCTCTCCTTGATTTAAAAAAAACATAATGTAGAATTACTCTTGCAATATAATTAAGAAGTGTTTTTATACGCCCACATTTTCATGTGGACGTATTATGCCGTCGCCCCTGTCCGGACGTCCGTCCGTCCGTCCACAATTGTTTGTGGACTCTCTACAGGTCACAATTCTTATCCGATTTCGACGAAACTTGAAATATAGGTTTATCCCTAAAAAATGTCGGCTGCTTTCGATATTGGCATGTATTGGATCGAAACTTCATGGATTATGGCCCCTGTTTGTACGAAAAATCACGTTTTTAGCTTGTGGACCCTATAGAGGTCACAATTTTTATCCGATTTTGTTGAAACTTGAAATGTAAGTTTATAATCCAAAGATCTCAGCTCCTTTCGATATTTGCGCATATCGGACAGTAACTTCCTGAATTATGGCCCCTGATTGTACGAAAAATCACGTTTTTAGCTTGTGGACCCTATAGAAGTCATAATTTTTATCCGATTTAAAAAAACGTTCTATTATATCACCGTTACACCCTACGGCCCAAAATTGACAGACAAAATGGCCGCCGTTCGTTCCCAAATAGCGTAAGAATATGGTATATCAAGGTTGTGGACCCTATAGGGGTCACAATTTTTATCCAATTTTGTTGAAACTTGAAATGTTAGTTTATAACCCAAAGATCTCATTTCCTGTCGATATTCGTGCATATCGGACCGTAACTTCCTGAATTATGGCCCCTGATTGTACGAAAAATCACGTTTTTAGCTTGTGGACCCTATAGAAGTCATAATTTTTATCCGATTTAAAAAAACGTTCTATTATATCACCGTTACACCTTAAGGATGACTGAGTTCGAATTTCGTGAAAATTGGCCTAAAATTGACAGACAAAATGGCCGCCATTCGTTCCCAAATAGCGTAAGAATATGGTATATCAAGGTTGTGGACCCTATAGGGGTCACAATTTTTATCCGATTTTGTTGAAACTTGAAATGTAAGTTTATAACCCAAAGATATCGGTTCCTTTCGATATTCGTGCATATCAGACCGTAACTTCCTGACTTGTGACCCCTGATTGTACGAAAAATCACGTTTTTAGATTGTCGACCCTATAGAAGTCATAATTTTTACCCGATTTAAAAAAACGTATTATTATTATATCACCGTTACACCCTAGGGACGACTGAATTTGAATTTCGTGAAAACCGGCCCAAAATTGACAGACAAAATGGCCGCCGTTCGTTCTCAAATAGCGTAAGAAAATGGTATATCAAGGTTGTGGACCCTATAGAGGTCACAATTTTTATCCGATTTTGTTGAAACTTGAAATGTAAGTCTATAACCCAAAGATCTCGGTTCCTTTCGATATTCGCGCATATCGAACCGTAATTTCCTGAATTATGGCCCCTGATTGTACGAAAAATCGCGTTTTTAGCTTGTGGACCCTATAGAGGTCATAATTTTTATCCAATTTAAAAAAACGTATTATTATATCACCGTTACACCCTAAGGACGACTGAGTTTGAATTTCATGAAAATTGGCCCAAAATTGACAGACAAAATGGCCGCCGTTCATTCTCAAATAGCTTAAAAATATGGTATATCAAGGTTGTGGGCCCTATAGAGGTCACAATTTTTATCCGATTTTGTTGAAACTTGAAATATAAGTTTATAACCCAAAGATCTCAGTTCCGTCAATATTTGCCCATATCGGACCGTAACTTCCTGAATTATGGCCCCTGATTGTACGAAAAATCATGTTTTTAGCTTGTGGACCCATTAGAGGTCATAATTTTTATCCAATTTAAAAAACCGTATTATTATATTACCGTTCCACCCTAAGGACAGTTGAGTTTGAATTTTGTGAAAATCGCCCCAAAATTGACAGACAAAATGGCCGCCGTTCGTTCTCAAATAGCGTAAAAATATGGTATATCAAGGTTGTGGACCCTATAGAGGTCACAATTTTTATCCGATTTTGTTGAAACTTGAAATGTAAGTTTATAACACAAAGATCTCAGTTCCTTTCGATATATGCGCATATCGAATTGTAATTTCCTGAATTATGGCCCTTGATTGTAGGAAAAATCACTTTCTTGTTAGCTTGTTCTCTATCCATCTCTCGAAAATGTGGGCGTATCCTGCCTGGCAGCCGCTGGGTTTTTTTTACTGGGGCATTTTCTCAATTTTTGAATTGGCAGGAGTTTTTGTATGGCTCCTGCACCATTTCGTAAACATGAAGGACTGGGTTATCGTAGTAGGTTCGAGACTTATTTTTTGTTATATGTTTCTGATGAAATGTAAATGTAATTTTTTTTATTTTTAAAAGAAATGTTGTCATTACATTATACGAAACAACCTTGTATGAAATGGTTTGCGGATAAAATGACCTGAACCTACTACCATAACAATAAGAGTTGTCTTTCTTGCTTTAATTTCCCTTTTAATTCTTTTTTTTTTCAGAACAGTTAAAAAAGAGTAAAGTTTAGGGAATATTAATCATCTTTACGTGTATAAAGAAAAATGTGTTTCAGGTTGTTTTGGGTAATTCTATGGACTGCACCTTTATGACTTGATTAGACAGCAATCTTCAAGTTTTTGTGTCAAAGTGCCCCTCAAAATGTGATTTTCAAGTATGCTTGGAAGTAGTAAAGCACAAATTTACCCAGATCTATCATTATATCAACGTATATTACAATCATTTATTTTGTTTTTTAATATACGACCATTCCTTTACCTAATTGTGTCAAAATCGAACAATTCAACAATTCATTCTTTTATGGTGTATGTACCAAAACTTCCATTTTTAAGCTCACATTTTGTCACAAAAACGCTGTGATTTAAATTGAAAAAGACAGTATGAAAGAACAGTAGATTATCAAAATAGATATAAATTGTTGTGATAGGAGTTGAATAATGGTGGATTTGGTTCATTTGGGTACATCATTTTGCTAAATCATGCGACCGGTGTGACGCTACAGCCAGGTTTCAGTTCTGTGCCACCTGATTGGAATTCCATCAATTCAGAATTTCCGTGACTGATAAACCAATTATTAGGCGATACATTTGTATATGCCCTATTGACCTAAACTGGCATTTGCAGATAATGTTTATGCAATGTGCAAACTGAAGTTTAACACTCGTTTGCGGTGGCTTGGTGGGTAAGGCACTGGCTCGCTAGCCTGGAGGTCGGGTGTTCGATCCCTGCATTGGCCGAGAAAGTTCATCCAATTTTCCGACGTGGTTCCCCCTTGTCAGTGATGCAGGTCGGAGGACTGACAAGGACAGCTGTCTAGTTGTTCGGATGGGACGAAAAACGTAAAAGGTCCCTTGACAGTTGGAATTCAATACAAGAGTAGGCCGTAGTGCCGCTGTCTAGGCAAAATTTCCTTCATAGCACACCGTATGGCGTATGCCCGTCTTCATTAGCCCAGTCGGAGCAGAACAGTAGGACGCTAAACCCCATTTCATTTCATTTAACACTCGTTTGTTCTTGAATTATAATTTTATGAATTACAAGTCAAAATTATCTTGCCTTCAATTTATCATAATAACCCTTATAGCACACTGCATGGCGTTTGCCATTCTTCATTAGTCCTGTTAAAAATCCATTTCATTTTTAGATGAGATAGAAGATAAAACGACTAAGAAATATAAAGGAATAAAGAAGTATTGGAAAAACGGATAATTCCCTCAGTAGGAATGGAAGAAAAAAAAGACACTGATACCCCTATAGCAGAATCAAGAGAAGAAACAGAAATTCCTCCTGTAGCATCAGATAATGATAAACCATCCGTCAAAGATTCAACAGTTGCAGATGGGAAATCATCTGAAGAAATTGATCCATTTTTTTACTTGAAAACAGATGAATTCACTTCCGAAAAATTTAAGATAGAAATTTTTAATTTGCCAAGGAAGTTTGGCTTTACAGTGAGTACTACTGTCTATTAAAGCGATAGTCCCATTTGGAATATAGTTCCGGAGATATTTTTTGGGTCCTCCACTAAATCCCATTGCAACCCTTCAATATAACATTCGGGAAATTGACATACGTCCATAGCCAATATATTTTTGATCAAATGACGTACAGAGGCTTTACATGGTACATGTATCAGCCAATATATTTTTGATCAAATGACGTACAGAGACTTTAAATACATGTATCAAAACAGTAATAAGTGTCACATGTTTTAAATTATAAGAAAATATAAACACAGTACCGGTAATTATTCAGAAAATTTGTTAACTTTTCAGATTGATATATATAAATGGTACTTTATTGAAACCTATCTTTTTATGAATTTTCAGCAATTAAAGAAACGTTTGAATGTAACATTAGGCCTGAAATCACACAAGATAAAAGCTCCTAATACTAATTATGCTTTTGTCACATTCAAGTAAGTACCCGGTAGGCCTTTAATTTTAGTTGTTTTTTTTTGTTGGGCTCTCACACACATATTCGAATAGTTTTTCAAGCTATTCAAATATATTTTTTAGCATTTGTTATTGATGTTAATTGAACCTAATGGAATCTTATCAGCATTCTTGCATGATAATTTACCATGAATGACTTCTTACGGCATGGATGACTTCATACAGAAACGCCAAATGTAGTGAACACATGGATATAAACCAACACTTTTTCAACTTTACTAAAGCAAGTACTTACTAGTCAATATCTGGACATACAGTGATGTGTAGCCTAAGCATAAACCTGAAGTTGATGTATGGCGTGGTGGTGCACAGAAGTTGATGTGTTGCATGGTTTGACACAGAAGTTGATGTATGGCTTGGTTTCATACAGAAGTTAATGTATGACATGGTTTCCCAAGCTATAATAGATATATGTTACTGAGTGGAAGGGGACGGTAAATAAAGCTATTTCACACACATTGAGTTAATTTAGGTCATGTAGCCTATGTTTTGATATTTAAGATGTGAAGAAGATAGAGAAGAAGCTATACAAAAGATTAATGGTCATATATGGAAAGGAAATAAACTCTCTGCAAAGGTTGGCTAAATTTATATTATTATGTCTTTTAAAATGTCTAATATATTTGAGAGTTGCCTCCCAAACTATATTTAGATGCATGTATCTTTCATTGTAAATTAATTAGAATATTCAAATATAATTCGTTTCCTATATATTCACCCACATGTGAAAAAAACGTCAAAATTCTCTTTCACAGGACATTTTTATATGCCCACATTTTCATATGGACCTATATTGCTGTTGCCCCTGTCCGTCCGGATGTCCATTCAGCTTTAGGTTGTGGACATTCTAGAGATCACAATTTTTTATCCGGTTTTAATGAAACTTAAAATGTATGTTTATAACCCAAACATCTTGATTCCTGTTGATATAGACACATGTCGGACCATAACATCCTGAATTATGGCCCCTTATAGTATGAAAATCGCTTTTTAGCTTGTTCTCTGTCCATCTCTTGCAAAATGTGGGCGTATCTTGCATGGCAACTGCTTGTTTTAGATTGCTAAACCTGCTGCTGACCCTTTACTGAAAAAAAGGAAAAAAGAAGAAGAAGGTAAGTACACTGTTATATCTTACTATGACATTGATTTCTCTAAAAAGAGATTTCCCAGTTTTCAACATGGCTAACAACATGATTGTAGAGAAGCACTTTTGTATAATATATTAACCATCTGCGGACGGCAGTAGTCAGTGGAGCCTAACATTAGCCCTGTAGCTACATCCCAAATGTAAATGTAGTTCAGACAGAAGATGATTATAAATGTTTTCTGTTATATAAGTTATGTTATGTGTTTTGATAACTTTATAAAGTTATAAAGTGAACTTAAAATGTAAAAACATTATGTACATTTAAAAAAATTAACTGATGGACAATATTTTGAAATGGAAATCCTGCTTGTCAGTCTTAAGATTAGATTTTTCATTCATCCATTATGTCTTCCATCAAACAAGTTTATTTGCCCACCTTCTACTGATTATTAGGAAGTATATTTGATGATTTTCTATACAAACATATGTTTGATAATTATATTAATTAATGTAGGAAAGTGAACCACTTATGTGTCACTGATATTCAGTATCGTAAGAACTTACTTATTCAGTAGATATTGATTCAATATGGTTTTAGATTAAGCTTACATTTCCTTCTCTAATATTATATGTTAGAATTATTTTGAATATGTACTATTAATTATTTGAACAGCTGATGCCAAAGGCCCATCAGAGAAGAAATCAAAAGTAGACAGTGTAATAGATGATACACCCCCACATATTAGGTATTTATTATATTTAATATCGGTTAAAGATCACATGATATTCAAAACTTTCGTCATAATTTTTAATGGACGACGGTCCGGGGGTGCAGGGGGCGGGATGGCCGCATGGTTAGCGGGTGCGTGCTCTATCATTAGGTCTGTCATTAAGTCATCTGGCATGGTTGCGATTCCCCGGCTGTATGTGGCAAGGAGTAGGGTCGCCTGTTCAACCTCTGGGGTTTTCTCCAGGTCCTCCGGTTCCCTCCCACTGCTAAAGACCCCTGCGAGCAAGCGAATTATTGAAATAAAATTGAACCAAGTTAGTCCTGAAATGAACTAGTTTGTGTAGAGTGGATGCATTAAAATATCAAGTAATCTTATGCAAGTCTTAGGAGGTAATCAATTGAAAGTTCTGGAATTGAATCTCTCAATCCTTCGAAAGGTGTCAATCGAGTAACCATGAGAATTATTGGTGACAAGGCTGGTGCCATTTAAGTATAATATTATCTCGATCAATCACTAGAACTGTTGATTACATAAAGATTCTACTTAAACCACATTTCACTAATAAATATTGTAAATATACCTTTATGTCAAAGCTTGTAATTTCTGTGACTTGACAAACAAATTCAAATATTTATATATTACATTCATAATTGACCAGTGCTGTGACTTGTCACTATGACTACAGTAATTACAAAGCTATTGGTCTGCCAGTCACATATACAGTTGAATTTCGATTGCAGATTGCCTTCAGCACGGATTTAAATTTAATCCAGGGGACTGGATAACAGAAATGTATTAAATATAGATTGATATTTCAGGATTAAGAAGAGTGTTACACCATTCTGGGATGTACCATATGAAGAACAGCTAAAGGTATGCCTAAGCCCAAACATAGAATTCTATTCGTCTAATTTAATGTGGATGCATATTGTTATCATCTCTGTCTGGCATATGTCGTCCATCATCAGTTTCTTATAAAGAGATCAGAGTTCTAGATAGACTTTTTCAAATGCAGGGATTACTCATTTGGTCATTAGAAAGTCTGAAATTTTCTATCAAAATTTTAATTTTAAAGCTTGGGACTGACTTGCTCTATGGACTATAATGCTTTTAGATCATTCATAACCATGGTGGTGGACATTTTAATGAAGAATTAAAAAAATGTGCTTTAATCTTTAATTGTACGTGCCTCATGGTCTTCACAGGACCACCAGTACATCAGTACATCAAATACAGAATATCATTAAATACAACATGAACCAAGTTTTATTCATTTATAAATTTTTGTGATTTCTTCAATAGAGAAAAACAGACAGTATAACAGATGTTTTATTAGCTGTTGCTATGAGACGAGATGTTAGAGATATCTTCACAGAAGCCAGGTCAGATCTTTGATTATATTCAAGTGTTGTCAGAAATCAAACATTCTACCTAAAGCATATAATCCAAAAACCCTCGCTGAGTGAGCCAAAGAATTCCTAAGACCTCAGACCAAGTCAGTAGGAATCATATTTGACAACACATGGTGTAGCACAGAATAATCTAGGCATCCTCAGATATAAGATCACAATCACACAGCATACCACATAATGTGAACCCTGTCTTGACCCATCTTCAATAGAAGGCTTGATCTTGCTTTAACTACGTACATCTTATCAAGGCCTTCACGCAATACCCTGCATATTTCGGCACTAAATTCGATTGGGTACAAGCCCAGATTGTGAGCCTATCAGGTTCCTCAATCGTCGCGAATACCAAGTCTTGCGCTTTCAAGCTAAAATGTCTACCTGTGATAATCGAGTTGCAAAGTTCAAAGTTCATTCAATGTCAATGTTTCCGTGGAGGTCGCGATGTCACAACCTCTGATTGGATGCTACTGCTCACGTGTCTGTAGGTAACATAGCTATAAGTTCGGGAATTGTGAAGTAAACAAGCAACTTCTATATATTGTAAAACTCGCAGTCGTTGCTTCAGGAACATGGTCTTGACCTAGTATTCACATTATGAGTATTCTATTATGTAGCTAGTACTCACATTTTGAGTATTCTATTACAGACCTAGTAGCTAGTATTCACATTATGAGTATTCTATTATGTAGCTAGTACTCACATTTTGAGTATTCTATTACAGACCTAGTAGCTAGTATTCACATTATGTGTTTTCTATTATTGGTTTAGTTTTAACCAGTATTCAATACTATTCATATGATGAGAATTCTATCCGGGCCTTGTTTTAACTTTAACCATGCACATGGTTCAATGTTTATTTTAGGAAGAAGTATGATGGTAAATGCTGTGAATTATTACCCATAATTCAGTCTGTGAGTATAGCTTTGTTTACATATAATGTTTATAATCAAGTGAAATTCTTTTAATATCACAGATATCTGTAATTATGTCATGGGAATAAGACATTTTTTTTTGTCTGATTAGTACCTGTGTATCAAGCAATTGTTAGGCTCAGTGGGTACTAGTGATATACCTTATCAACTTATCAAGTTCAGAATTTTCTGCCACTTTTATAGATGAAGCAAACAACTTTACTTTTGATAGGAATATATTAAGCACCACTCTGTGACAAAACCTCCCAATATTTCATTTTACTCTTTTCTATTTTATAGCCAGCGTTAGAGGGTTACAGAAATAAAAATGAATTTTCAATAGGAAAAAATATTGATGGAAAAGGTAAGTTCATATTTCTTTTCCTTTATAAAAGATGCTCGTGTCACACAGGTTCCACAGTCCATGTAGTACCAACACCAGTTAGTCAAGGACTCAATCAATTCGTATGGTTAAATTTGAATCATCAGTCTAATATGTGTTTATCCATGTTCCTGAAGCAACGATTTTGAGTTTTACAGCATCTAGCCATTGCTGGATTAGTCTGAATTTCCCAAACTTTTAAATATGTTATCTCCCTTTGACACAGACAAAGATATGCAAATATGTAAAATTTTATGGATAATTTTGATGTATTTAATATAAAGATGTTATAGTTTACAGATAATTGTGTTGGTTGTATATAAAGATGTTTTATTTTACAGATAATTGTGTTGGTTTTAGATATGGTTTATATAAAGATGGGTTTAGTACAGTAGGATCTGCTAGTCATGTCAGCATTTTGCCAGAATCTGTGAAAACTGTTGTTCAGGTATTATAGCTATTTATGTTCTTTAGTTAACAAGAGAGAGAGAGTCACATGCACGTAAGGGTCTTTGGCAGCGTCAGAAAACCCGAAGAAAGCTCATGTCTAAATATTAAGGCCACCTGCAGATTTCGTCAAGGGTTCGAGATGTAAATGGAGTTAGGGTAAGTGATTGTTGACGATCTGCTAGGATCTGCTAGTCATGTCAGCATTTTGCTAGAATCTGTGAAAACTGTTGTTCAGTTATTATAGCTATCTATGTTCTTTAGTTAACAAGAGGGAGAGAGAGTCTTTAGCAGTGGCAGAAAAACCAAAGAAAGCTCATGTAGTTCAGCAGTCAGGTCTAAATATTAAGGCCACCTGCAGATTTCGTCAAGGTAGCGAGATATAAATAGGGTTAGGGTACGTGATAGTTGACAAGATTGTGGGTTAGGATAAGGGCTAGAGGTAGGGTTAGCGCTAGCCCTGCTTAAATCTTATGACCTTGACGAAATCTGCAGGTGGCCTTAACATTTAGACTTAACCTTAGCTCATCTGTCAACTCTATTCTTTGTCACATACAAGCCTAGGATTGAAACACACATTACTTGACTCAATGATTTATTTCTGTAACCCTGACTATATAACAAAAAGAAGGAAAGAGTAAAATTGAAAATTGAGAGGTATTTCCATCGATTGTTGTTGTACGCTAGTAAATGCACTAGACTATCAGGCCAGGTAAGGCCATCCCATTTTCTTTCATCGAAAAAGAGAAAAAATGACACAATAATAGAATATAGTGATATTTTATATCCAGTCAAATTTGTTTGTTTTTATGTAAAGAAAATTAAATACAGATTTGTTTTTCTTTTTTTGTTCTCAGTTATTTGAAGAGTTTTTATCAACGAGTGTCTATAGATCATATAATCAGGGAACACATGAAGGTCATTGGAGACAGTTAACTGTTAGAACAACCCGGACAGGTGAAATGATGATTATAGCCGAGTTCCAACGTAGAGATATAATACAGGTAATTTATACAGCCCATAAAAATGTATATTAATAAATGAAATGAAATAGGGTTTAACATCCTACTTCTCTGCACCAAATTGCCATAATGAAGACATGCATATGCCATGCAGTGTGCTATGAGGGATATTTTACCCAGAGATCAGCATATCTGCCTACTCTTCATCAAATTCCAACTGTCATGGTTTCTTCTACATGCACGCCAATGTCTACACAGGACCTTGGTTTTATGTCTCATCCTAACTAACATCCTGCATCACTGACAATAAATTCCTGAGGAACTTTCTCAGTCAACACTGGAATTGAACAAGTTACATCCTTGTTAGTGACCCAGTGCCTTACTGAGTCACTGCGCCACCCCCCCCCCCCCTTTACTCACTGAGCCACTTATAATAGATAACAAATCTTTATAGTATTGAGATATTGAATTTGATCATGATTATCCATGGCAACTAGAATAATTGTCATTGAGGTTAGTTTTCTTAATAACATTTTGAGCTTTGATTCTTCTTTTTATTTGCAGGAAGACATTGACGCTGAAAAATCTAGATTAACTGAGTTTTTTACAAATGGACCTGGTAAAAGTTTTGATCAGTTAACGAGCATGTATTTTGTAGTTTTTGATAGGTGAGTAGACTACAATAAATTTAAAGTGAGTAATGAAATGAAACAGGGTTTAACATCCTTCTGTTCTGCATCAACTAGTCTAATAAAGATAGGCATATGTTATACAGTGTGCTATGAGGGAAATTTTGCCTGGACAGCTGCAATACGGCCTACTCTTATTTCGAATTACATCTGTCAAGATATCTTTTACGTTCACACTAATTGTTTTTTCATCCCATCCAAATGACTAGACACTGTCCTGGCCAGGTCCTTTATCCTGCATCACTGACAAGAGGAAACTATTCTGCAAAACCAAGAGAAACTTTCTCAGCCAACACCGGGGATGAATCTGAGACAATGTCTTACTCACTGAGCCACCATGGCTCCCCACGTGTGAGTGAATGTGGCATGATATTACCTTACTTCTAGGTGTCATGAGCATTTTTATCAGCAATCATGCCAATGTGTGCACGGTTGAACCTCTAGGGTTTTTGTTCCCATCAAAGGACTAGATACTCTCTGATACAGTAGAACCAAGTGCAGAAATCCCAAGAGGATCTTTAACTTCTTCAACTTCTTTATTGTCCAAAACTATATACATATAGTTATTGAGATGTTAACATGCATACATAAGGTGTAATTATTTATCATATATTTACCTGTACTTTTAGTGGCCAGGGACAGTCTGATAAAAACTATGAACATCTTTTTGGTGAAAAGGTAAGCATTAAGACTGTTTCAGTCGTATTTAGTGATTGAACTAGATATGCTGAAAAAGTTTCTCATTAATAAACAGTTGTTATAAGTTTATAGAATTTTATCCTGTCAAAACATTTGCAATACTCTGGTGACTTTTGTTATACACATAGTATGTTAAAAACAATTTGATTGGTCAGTATATATTTGTATGACACTACATGCAAAAAAATATTTCATAAACCGAATGTGATTAATAATAGCATATTCCATGAACCAAATGCGGTTGATAACAGTATATTCCATGAACCAATTAATGTGCACAGAAGAACATCGTGTCAAGAGTTATTAATGTTTTATGGTTCAAAAATTTTACATTTCAGATTATAAAAGAAAGAATGCTGGATATGACTTTCCAAATATCACCAGATGCCTTCTTTCAAGGTAAGTGGATCGACCATCTTACTGACTCTTGGTATAGTAATCTGATAAGCCAAGTTTGTTCAAGATAAGGAAAATTCAGACATGTACTTGCACAATGATTCAATTCCTGACCTTAACCTGTTAATTAACACCATACTATTACTATTTCATAAATGATCATAAATGATATAAGATTCTGTAGCAGTGATGGACACATTCATTTTTTCAACTACCAGTATTCTTGGTCTTTTAGTAGATTATGTTGAACATTTTTGGTATGAAGCATTGTGGTCATGAGGTGACGAACCTTATGAATATTCAACATTCTATTACCTTCTGTACCAAAGTTATATATGCCCACTGAGAGGATGAACCCTATCGATATTCAGCATTCCGTGACATTCTGTACCAGAGTTATGTCCCCTTTTCCAAAAACTTTATGAAGATGATGGAGGCTACAGTTTTTAACAAATTTATATCAAGCTTGTGAACATGACAGAGGTCAGATTTCTTGAAGGATCCTTTGGTCAACATCAAAGTTTTCTTTTCAGATAAGCTGCTGTCGAGACAGCTGCCTTGTGGGCGTATTTTATATAGGAATATATTTTTTTTTTATCATTCTGTCATTTTATCGTAATTTACATCATACTTGTGTTTTGTTTTATCAGTGAATACATCAGCAGCTGAGTTATTATATAATCAGATAGGTGACTGGTGTAATATACAATCCGGTGAACAGACGACAGTCTTAGATATATGTTGTGGTACAGGTACTATAGGACTAGCTCTAGCTAAGGTAAGCAGGATTCAATTTCATTTTTCATTGATATTATTATCCTAAAAAAAATTGGTTACTAAAATAAAATCCGTCATAGGAAATGTACATAAACTTACATAGCCAGAGGAGTTGTCTGTGAAATTTGGATAAACTTACATAGCTAGATGCGTTGTATTGCTTGTTGTTTAAATTTGTATGCTCATAAGTTTTACTAATGCTACATGCAACAGGAATCAGGTTTTTGGAATAGCAGTATGTCATTGCTATTTTATTTCCGTGTTTTACAGAAAGTAACAAAGGTTATTGGAATAGAAATGTGTCAACAGGCTATTGATGACGCTAAAGAAAATGCAAAAATAAATGGTAAATAAACTAAATATTAGACTTACTCTTCTTTGTTGATATTATCTTTTAGCCCACATTAAATTTACTTCCTCATAGTGGTTTGAGTCCTTCAAAATGAGTTATTTCCCTTTATAAATAAAATGCTTTGATCCTAGATTAATTTCTGGGATAGAGAGAAATGCAAGATTGATTCTGGGATAGAGTGAAATGCAAGTTGGTTGCTTAATGTTTAAAGAAGATCAAACATCTTTGCACCCCAATACCACATTAGAGCAGAAGCAGTTTTGTGATATTATGCAGTTTTTATTATGGTAGAAATATTAAATGATTGCTTCCGTCTTAGCACTTTTATGAAGTAAAACAATATGAAATTCTCTAATGCATGTCTCCCTTTCATCCTAATTATATATTATTTTAAATAAACAGAGATTTTCTATTGTCATATTTATTTTACTTTCAGGTATAACAAATGTAACATATTATTGTTCTAAAGCAGAAGATGCCATAGTAAATGTGATGAGATCATTATGGACATCAAACGTGGTAGCTGTGGTTGATCCACCTAGAGCAGGATTACGTAAGTACTAAACAAACTGTACCGTATTGGACCTATTGAGTACTTAAACTCTAAACCATTGCTATTTGAAAATAGTACTTGATTGAACATCCAGAATTGAATTATCACCCTGTTGCGAAACTGTGTCATTCAAGTTGTATCAACTGAATATATGATACTCACCATAGCTTTTTGATTTGGTCATAATTCTAATTACAACATGTTAGTTATCAGAATTGACAGAACTGAGACAGGACTTAATTCTGGAATGCTCCGGATAGCACCTCTATTGTAACTATTGCCCTTAAATGGCCCCAAGCAGCAAGCAATTTGATGGTGACCTTAGATCAGGCCCTGATATCAGGACCTAATTAAGATGGTTGTGTTAGCCAAGATTCAATGCATATCATCTCTTGTTCCCAAGTACAATGTATTGAAAATGTATAGAGAGAAATAAGAACAAGTATTTTTATTATCAGGCTATTTTGTTCCATTTCAGATAAGACTGTATTAAAATCATTAAGAAATTGTCGTCGACTGAAACGATTGATTTATGTGGCATGTAATCCTAATGCTGCTAAAGATAATTTTATTGAGTAAGTTTGTTTCTTTATTCCTTGTCCTCTTTTGTTTATCAGTTTTAATTTAAACCAACAAATTACCTCATAAAAAGGTCCTCTATGAATTTAATTTTTATATAACATTAAATCATTCCATGGAGTCAACAGTGGCTAACTAACCAGGGTTTGACCCCTTTGTAGACCAAGAAAGACCCAAAGGATTTTTCAAAATGGTTGCCTCTTGTCAGTGGTCCAGGGAACGGTGTCTAGCCATTCTAATGGGACAAAAAACAGAGGTCCTTTGTACAAGATGACGTACACCAGAAAGAACCTTTGAACATTGGAATTCTATGAAGAATAGGGGAGAATGCTGCTGTCTGGGGAACATTTTCCTCATAGTACACTGTATGGCACATGCCTATCTTCATTAGCCCAGATATGTTTGGCGCAATATAGCCCGGTTGGAGCTGACGTGCCATAAAACCACATTTCATTTCATTTCATTAGCCCAATTGGTACAGAAAAAGAAGGACATTAAATCTCATTTCATTTTATATCCTTTCATTCCAGCCTAGTTAGATCAGCATCAAAGAAATTAAAAGGGTTACCATATCGACCAATCAAAGCTGTTCCTGTTGATTTATTTCCAATGACCCCACATTGTGAACTTGTGGTATTATTTGAAAGAGAGGCAGAGGAACACAAGGATAGTGATTCGGACATTGAAATGATTTCTACGGCAACAAAGAATTCCAGTACTCTGGGCAGTTCAAACGCTACCGCTCCATCAAATACTAGTGATATCTCAGGTTCAACAGGGAAGGTTAAAATAGTTCAATCAAATGACGATAAACAATCTGATGGAGAAACAAACAGTACAAATAAATCCGATCAACAGACAAGCTAACAGTAATTTCAATGAATTTAACCGTAAAACACAATAAATATATTTAAAAATTGTCAATATCTTGTTAATCTGAAGTAAACAAAGCTTTGAAGTGAAAGCCTTGGTATGTCATCAGTAAAAATTCTCACTTAACTTGTAGATTATGCCCTGTGAAAGAAATTATTTTATTACATTCCCCATGTGGATATATTGAATATAAAAATTCTCATATGGAAAATATCTTTCTTCATTAGTTTGCAGTCCGATTTGGGAGAAATGTGTCACTGACTAATTGATTATATACTTTTTGCCGTTTCACTCTTTTTCATATTTTAGCATGTTACACAGAGATTAGATGTATTTTATCCTATGTCAAACGAGGTTAATGGAGGGATATTTAAAAGGGTGAAATTGATCTTTCTTGTCGATGGCTAGAAGACCTAGGTCGGAAGGTGGTGGGGTTTAAGGGTGGTGGAAATAAAATGAAATGGGGTTTAACGTCCTACTGTTCTGCTCCAAACTAGGCTAATGAAGAAGGGCATACACCATACAGTGTGTTATGAGGGAAATTTTGCCCGGACAGCGGCACTACAGCCTACTCTTATATCGAATTCCAACTGTCAAGGGATCTTTTACGTGCACGCCAATGTGTACATGGGAGTTCAGTTTTGCGTCCCATTCAAACGACTAGACAGCTGTCCTTGTCAGGCCCTCTGTCCTGCATCACTGACAAGGGGGGACCATGCCGGATAATCTGGATGAACTTTCTCGGCCAATGCAGGGATCGAACACCCGACCTCCAGGCTAGCGAGCCAGCATCTTACCCCCTAAGGTGGTGGGGTTTAAAGGTGGTAATATGTAGCAACATATTGTCAATAATTATCACCAGGGAGATATCATTTTTCACAGTCACACAAATTCTGCAGATAATCATTTTATGTAGATTTTATGTCTAAATAGAAATGACTGCTGGATGAATGAACAGTTTGACAGGGGTACCAACAATATACTCGGTCATGATTGAAGGTGTATAAATAATAAACCACAGAACAATTTGAATATATATTATTAGAAATGGTGTTTTATCTATATTTAACTTCATATGGTACTACAGTGTTATTATAGTTATTAGAATATTGTCATAAAGGATATGAAGAAAAGTAGTGCACATAAAAATGGCTTCTAACAAAAGCTAAATACAGCCAACATATATTATAATATACACAGTTTTCTATACAATGATCAGACTAGAACTTGCTCTTTGCACAATATAATATTAAACTACCAGGTTCTCTTCCCGCATGTAACTCACAAATTTTATTTGAAAAGATCGGGTCTATTATTCCATTTACATGTAAAACTAAACATGTAACTCCCCTAGGTGGGTGTCACTGTGAAAAGAGAGAGAGAGAGAGAGAAATGGGGTTTAATGTCCACTCGACACAAACTAGGTCATTTTGGGACTAACATATGGTTTAATTTTATTTCAATAATTCACTTGCGCATAGGGGTCTTTAGCAGTGGGAGGAAACCGGAGGACCCGGGGAAAACCCACGAGGTTGGACAGGCGACCCTACTCCTTGTCACGTACAGCCGGGGATTCGAAACCACGCCAGTTGACTCAATGACAGGCCTTATGATACAGCACGCACGTGCTAACCATTCGGCCATGCCAACCCCCCCACTGTGAAAAGATCTGGTATATTATTCCATTTACATGTAAAAATAGTATCTTGGTAAAACCATGCACTTATTTCCACTAGGTATCACTGTAAATAGAAAATCTTTAATTTGGACTTTCAGATATTTAATTTGGTGAAGGCGATATTGGCCAAAATGGATTAAATCTCAGACCTACTGCTTGATAACCCTTTAACATCCATGTACGTCGTAAATTTGTTTGGGTTTTGAGTCAGACAGCCATGGCTGTAATGTCTAGTTAAAGTTATTATTTAATAAATGGAATAATAGATCTTATGTTATCAAACATAGATTTTGTTAATTACACATATAGGTAACTTAATTTAAGAAATCCTGATAATTTAAAGTAGAGAAAATGTACAATAGTTTGTTTACAATGCTGACAGGTGACTTCTTACAGGTGATGTATTTCATGATATTAATGATATTATAAAAGTTTTATTATATTTTATATTCAAGATAAATGATAAATAAAGCATACAGTAAAAGCCATGCTAAACTATTATTATGAACCATTTGTATTGAAATTTATTTATACATGTATATGGTTTAAAAACTACTTCTGGTTTCCTTATGTAAACAAACATTTTTATTTATTTTTTTTTACAATCAATGGTAAGATAAAATCAGTACATGATAACATGGGGATTTAGGCCACACCAATTTGATTTTCTGTTTTTGGGAACACCTGCAAACATTTTCCTTCTTTATTTCTTTAAGAAAAAAAACCTAATTAAAACACCAAAATACTTGGTTGTGCTGTTCAAGAGCTTTTAGTTCCAAATTTTTAAGTTTTGAATTTCAAACAACATATTTCATGGGATTGAAGCTGCTATTTATTTATCCAGACTCTGAAGAACAGAAAATCAAATTGGTCTGGCCTTGGCATTCTAAAAGTTAGGTTTTTAAGATACACATTTCCTCAGCAGAATTATTGCTAGTACTTCAACCAATAAGTACATTAATAATATAATATTCTCTAAATATTATTATTTCTCTACACAATACATATGTTTAACTTACTATGGTTTATCATAATATTATAAATCTTCATGCAATTACACTTATAAAATTCTACTTGCATGCAAAACCTGAATACAGAAGACCTACTTATCAATTCAAAAGTAAAACATTTTACTTATTGATCATAACCACTTTGCAACAAGATACTAGGATTTCATTGCACAATGTCCACTTTTTCATCACCCTGAATTAAAGGTTATGGTCCCTCTGTTTCTATATTCTAATAAAACCTAGTTAATGACAGCTACTTAAGTGGCCTCATGCATGTGCTGCCTTTAATTAAAAAATACAGTAAAATACCATGTCTTTCAATTGTTCAAATGTAGCGCAGCAATACAGATGCCAAGAAAGTTTTCAATATTACATCCTTATCATTTATAGAAATAGACTGACCATCTCCTTTAAATTAGATTCTGCTGAAATGTCTGCATTCAAATTTGCATTCAGCTGTTTGGTTTACTGCTCCTGATGGTGTGGTTAGTAATAGTCCCACTCTAAAGATTTATTTGTGAAGCCATTCTCAGTCGTTTGAAGTGGATTAAACTTTTGTGGAAAAAGTGAAAGTAGACATTGGAGAATTTTACCCTTTAATTGACAACCTCCAGTTAAATCATACTGAAGTTGCAGATATAATTTGCATAATAATCTATAGCTACATTAAATGGTGTAATAATTAAATAAGAACACACCTAATAAAAGGTCAACAACCATGCATGCACACACTAACAACAATTACAATATCAAAAAGATGACTCAAGCAAACAACAAATAACAACATGCATATATTATCATCATCTAGCCATTCTACATTCATGCAGGGTTAAAGGTCATAAATCATTCATCCGTGTATACATTTTATTGTTAATATATAAATACATGTATACCAAAGATCAAATTGCCGGGAAGCAAACCGGTTGGAGTGGCATAGCCAAAATGCTTCAGAGGAGTCGCTGTGCACAAACTTAACCTTTCATCTCCTGAAAGGTGTGCTTGTGCCCGCCTGGTTATGCTACTGGTCTCCTTATTCAAAGAACTGGCTTGTACAATTGAAGATGAATTAAATAACTTACTTCACAATATAATATGTTATTTTGATGTTGAAGATGAAAGGGAATTTGAGTAATATTCAAATAAATAAAAGAAAAGAAATAACTTGAATTCTGTGGTAAAAATTGACCCATCCAGGGGTCTTATTGATGATAACTTAAACTAAAATATTCTAAGTATACAACCTTTTTATTCGTTGAGAGTTAAAATCCCAGTACACAATTTAGCCCTGGCCCAATCAAAGATCTGTATTCTTAAAAAAAGTATTAGTTTTAAGTTTTTGTGAATAAGACCCCAGATGTGTATGGAGGATGTATATATGTTGAATAAATTACACAAATGAATTAAATAAAACAATTGATCTGCCATTCTTTCTTTAACTAATAAACAATTAGAAAAATTTATTTCAAATACCACTGAATAAAGTTAATTCAAAGAAAGACTACCACAGTGAGTTGTAAGCTTTATATTTTACGATAGTCTCAAATTAACAATGATCATATCTTTTATATTTATCTACCTGGAGCATAGTTCTATGGAATAAAATTACTTGATAACGACTAGAGAGTCCTAGTTGATGAAACGTTGCTCAGTAATAATCAATAGTTGTATTCCATAGCATTATGTCTGTATATCTCCAGTATTATTAAATGCTATTGAAACAATCTATATTTATTTATAGACAGTAATCGATTAATTAAGTCATATAGATATATATATATATATAGGGTTTATATACATATAAAGAGTCAAAGTGAGGAATTATTTCATGCATATTTTGGGACAATCAAGCAGTGGATTAATAAAGAATGAATATAGACAGAGTATAAGATTCAGGCACAGAGCTGGAGGCACACATGTATTACCTACATTGTTACAATAACTGTACCATGTGACACAGCATCATTCTGGTATTGTCAAATTATGATCAAAGACTTGTTACAGAAACTATTTAATATATTAAACAATTTCATTAGCCCAGTCAGTTCAGAAAAGTAGGGCCTTTAACCTCATTTCATTTCATTGATATATTAGCACAGTATTGAGTAGCAAGTATAATACTAAAAGGCACCGTAAAAATATAATTCCTTTCAGATAAATGATCAATTCCTTAATATTATTACGAAGCTCTATTCTGTTATACAATTTAGACTCTCAAGACTTTAGCAATCTTTTAAAAACATTAGTCTTGAAGGTTTAGACTTTACAATAGAATACAGCCCAATTACTATTGTATATTTATGTATACTTATATAATAATATCATGCACAATGAAGTTAAGCCAACTAAAACATATAAGCTCCTTCTAAATATCTAATAGCATCTAATACATCTTGAAACAACCTCATGAATTCCTCACTCTAGGTAGCTGATAACAGAGTCATATTTAGTCCAAATAAATTTCTGACTCTATTGAAACATATGAAGAAAAGTAGTTACTTCAGTTTTATTAGCTTTACCAGATGAAGTATTCTATGATGTTAAGGTACTACAGGAAAATCGGAAGCAGACATATATTTTCAATGCAAGCAAACCAATGGGACACATGAGGAGTGCAGATTAATTTCCATGATTGACACAATCAATATGAGACAGTCAAGATTAAACCAAAAACATGTTTCAGTTCAGAATAAAAAAAGATGAATATACGAAGATCTGAGTGAGGTTTTATAGCAATGAGTAGTAAAATATATACAGTGATGTATGAATTGTTCAGTAGGCAACTGATAATATATGATCATTTATAAATAAACAAGATATTTGGTTTTACAAGGAGGTTTTGTCTTCGACAAATTGATCCACAGTTTCAGCTCTTGTGATGTTTTTAGATCTGGTTCTTCCATGAGTTCTTTATGTGAGTACATCTGGGCATACTGGCCTATGGCTCATCGTTGTTTAAACATTGCTCAAGCTGAGCTGTAGCGCTTAGTGAATCAAACTTGCACCAATATAAGAATTAGGCACCTATTCCTGATTCATATGGCCATTTGTCATTTAATTGCCATTCCAGCTGTCTGAATGATGAAGCTCCGGGTATCCAGCAGGCCCAAGCCAATAATAATCTTGATACTGTTATTATTCAAGATATAAAACCATGAAATCTAAATTAATTAATATCCTTATATGATCAGGCATAAACCCATGAGTCATTGTGGTCCAAGCATGAAGGCATGATTGATGATTAAGCATAAAAGCACAATTAATACTCCAGCTATTGCTTCAATACACAATGGTTTCTCAAATTTTCCTTTACTAAGACAGATTTCTTATGAAGAAATTCTCAGAAATAGCTTACTCTAACTCAATCTGATTAAAACACAGATCCTATTTCATTTTACTTGTCTTTACTACACTAGGATCTGGAAGTTATGTTCTAGTTCTGGTTGATTAGCCAATGAAAAACAGACTGTTGCAGCGAGTTCTTGGCGTGACATGAATGAAACTGTGGGTATCCCACTAGAAACATCAATGCTGATTGGTTAATCAAATGTCTGACATCATAGGGTCAAAAGTCGTTCGTATGAACTCTGACACGACCTCCCACTACACCCGGTTAGATCTTCATGTAGTGGAGACCATCGAAAGTATAAAAAATAAAATATAGACCTGTATTTTAATAAAATATAGACCTGTACACCCGGTTAGATCTTCATGTAGTGGAGACCATCGAAAGTATAAAAAATAAAATATAGACCTGTATTTTAATAAAATATAGACCTGTATTTTAATCCCACTGATTCTGATTTCCAAGTTGCCAGACACTCTCAATACAGACTACTCAAACATTCATATTACATGGACTGATTTTCAGTATAAAAAGTCCATTGTCAACCTGATATTTTTAGCCGATAACCTGAAATGCTCAGTTGTAATCTGAAATTCTCAGTTGTTAACCTGGAATTCTCAACTGTTAACCTGAATTTCTCAGCTTTAAACCTGGAATTCTCAGTTGTTAACCTGAATTTCTTAGTTATTAACCTGGAATTCTCAGCTGTTATCTTAAATTCTCAATTGTTAACCTGAAATTCTTGAAAGTAGTCTACTCTATCTGGTTCTATTATTATGTATATAGATGTTATGTACATGCACTTTTCTATATTATAAATAGCTGATTTGTTATATATAGGAGCAAAAACTTAACTTAGTATACAATATAAATACACAGAGAATGAGTTCATCATTGAAATAATGTGACTAATTGTTTGGCAGCTTTGGCAACATCATAAGCACATTGTATAACTTGACTTGTGGATTGTTTTATGTTCGAGGAAGAAGATAGTTTGCGACATTCCTCCTTCAAGCGGGCAGCACTATCTTTGAGCAACTGTAGAGCATGATAAACCTCTTCCTCCTGTATTTTCTGTAATAAAAATAAACATCCATGAACAATAATAATAATATTGACAACTACAGTCGTGGCCAAAATAATAGGACCATACTTGAAAATGGTTGCATTTCTTACATGTAAATTCATTTGATCATATATCTGCCACCTGAAGACCGTTTTTCACAAATGAGTTATCAATGGATAGGTTATGTGAAGTATGTTCATTACGCATGCACATGCATGTTTGAATGATGACGTCATCACGGCTATGACGTCATCAACGAATAGGATCGGCTTACTTGTCATCCGTTAGTACAATTAAACTTAAATTAGCATAATAAACAGAGATACCTCCCGTTAACCGTTAATTGCAGTAAACAGTTCAACATTGATTTTTGGCAGTGTTAAACTAATAAATGATCTCAACCTTCATAAATCATGGCCTAAAACCTTCACAGGGTCATGTTGGTTAATTTGATACCATGAAGCGTGATGAGCTAACATACACACACACACACACACACACCCACACACACCCATACATGCACACTTTGATTATATTTATATAGATTTTATTCATTTCATAGTGAACTTAAACTTCAACTATACTGAAAGAAAGAGAAAGAGAAATGGGGTTTAACATCCACTCGACACAAACTAGGTCATTTCGGGACTAACACATGGTTCAATTTTATTTCAATCATTCGCTTGCGTGTAGGGGTCTTTAGCAGTAGGAGGAAACCGGAGGACCCGCGAGGATGAACAAGCGACCCTACTCCTTGTCACGTACAACCGGTGAATCGAAACCCCGCCAGTTGACTCAATGACAACTTTACTGAAAGTTGCTTGGTGGCACCAATACAGTATATGGTACCTAAATTTCATTTACATACATCAAGCTGGACAACAGTTTTCTCTTACCAACATTGATTTTAGAAATGTAGAAATGGGGTTAGAATGCGGTAAATGTTTAATATAATTTTTACATTCGCACAATGAGTATAAAGAATCGAGCCCAAGACTGCATAAATAATTGATCTACATCACTTAGAATCACCAGTCCATTGTCTTCCATCTATGCCAAAATTAACTAATGGTTTGAGACATTTCCCATAAGTCATTGCATGAACAGCCACGTTAGTTTGTCCTGACTGATTTAAGTCATAGTCTAATTTCATGGTGAAGGGGTTGTGTAATTTGGAATATTCCACCCTAAAGAAGATACATGAGAAATTGAAGTAGAGGTACATTAAAATTATTATACCTTAGGAAAGAGACTATCCATTTCTGTTACAGCCATATATATTCTATCTGAACATGGGTTATAACTGAAAATACAATAACAGTTTACTATAATCTTTTTAATACATTAAAGTGATGATGTTAGTATTGTTACAGACTAAACTTGGACTCAAATTGATTCTAGTATTTAAAAAAGGGAACAAAAAAAAATGGTGTAGAGGTTCCCTTTCGTATCAATATGCAGCGATAAAAAGACAGTGAACAACCTTTTAGCTTAACAATAAATTCTAAACAATCATGACTTACCTAAATGAGATTACCAATTATAATGAAGAGCTTCAGTATCATGTGACATTCAAAATGACGACTCACATCGAAGTTACTGAATCCCAGTAAATTCTTTTTGATATATGGGCCAAAAGACGTTACTTCAATAAAATTAAAACTAGGGCCATTTGGTTAAATTTACTGGATGCCATCAATTTGAAAAATATGATTTTTCTTTGAATTTAATGCCGGGTTGTGGTGTTTCTTAAATGTTTTTGTTTGGCAGTATGCAATTACTGTTTCCAATTTTCTAAAAATGAGCTTGTCTTCATAAATATAGTTAATAAGTGCTTAATTTTCAATCTAATTATTAATTAATCTTTAAATTTACCTTTCAACATTGCCTTCTTGTGCCCGTATTAAAAGTTCTTGTATTCGTTTGGTAATTTTTTCTGTTTTTCTGACAACATCTTCCTGTACTGGTAGAACTAATGGTATAGCTACAGCACCAGGCATACTCTGTATACTAGATGTAGAATCTATCATACTAGACGCTATATCACCCCTAAAAATTAACATAATATATTACATTATATTCTTCAAAAGAGAGAGAGCTTAACAATATCACAAGATACAACTTACACAGAATCAAGAAGTCAAACTTCCAAATCCAGCAGTGATGACCACTTCGTAAATATAGGCCAATTACCATTCATTGACTGAAAGCAACCCAAAAGAAATTGGGTGCAACATCCTGCTTTTCTGCACTGAATGGGCTAATGAATACAGGTGTAAGCCATATAGAGATACTACAGTGTACTCTTATATCGAATTCCAACTGTCTAGGTTTCTTTTTAGTGCACACCAATGGCTACACAGCACCTTGGTTTACCATTCTCTCCGAAAGGCTATACATACAGTGTCCCTTACCAGGCCCTTTGTCCTGCACCACTGACGAGGAGGAACCACGTTAGAGAGCAAATGTCTTACTCACTGACCACGATGGTTCCCGAAAGCAACCAAATTAGATACAAATATTGTTTACTGTTTTGAAAGTTATTACCTGATTGGATCTTGGTCTTGTCGTAACATATCGTAATCGGGATCTTTAACGTTAGCATTGATACGATCAGACTCTGACAGTGTTGGTTCTTCTGATTGTAGGCTTAACTATAAATACAATATATTCATTAGACACAAATAGTGTTATCTCAACCTGACAAATTAGGGCCTATTTCACGAAAAAAAACCATTAAAACTAAAATATTTTAAGCATTCTACCTTTCATTGGTTAGGGATTAAACTCCCAGTACAAAGTCTAGCTCGTAGCCAATGAAAAGGCAGCATTCTTCAAATATTTTTGTTGAATTTTTCATGCATAAGGCCCCAGGTGTTCATATAATTGACAAACATTGCTACAGAATATTAACTCCACTGATAGCAAGAACATGGCCACCATCAAGTCTTATAAAGACTGATTTTAGTAGAGAAAAAAGTTTATTGTAAAACTATTACCTGATTTTCACCCAGATGTATATTACTAACAGACATAGCTGTCATAATCTGATCATCTTTACCATCACTATTCTGTAATACAAATATAAATATCATAAAACATCTACAATAATACATCTACATGGGGAGAGAAATAGGGTTTAAAATGTCCACTTGACAAAAACAAGATTAGTTTGGGACTAACATATGTTTCAATTTTATTTCAATAATTCACCTGCACGTAAGGGTCTTAAGCAATAGGACGAACCTGAAGAAAACTCACAAGGTTGGACAGGCGACCCTATTCCTGCTCACGAACAAGTGTGGGTTTGAAACTATGGGCCACTTGAATCAACCCTTTCTATGTAAAGGGCACACATTAGACCATTTGACCACCCAAACCCCCTTCTACCATAGGCAAAGACATGATCTATTACAGTCTGTTGAGTGATAAATCCTTTCTTTATTTAGTTTAGGAGCCACAGTGGCTGTGTGATCATGGCGCTGGTTCACTAACCAGGTGGTCCCAGGCTCAATCTTCGTGTTAGCTGAGAAGTTTCTCTGAATTTTTCAACCAGGTTTCCTCTTGTGAGTGGTGCAGGACAAAAATGTGTCTAGTCCTTGGGATTGGATGACAAAATCTAGGTCCAATGTATTATACCATTGGCAGTATGTTAAAGATCTCCTAAAGAGTTGGAAATTGCAATAAGAGTAAGTTGTAATGCTCCTGTCGGGGTATAGCACACTGTATGACATGTGCCTGTCTTCATCAGCCCAGTTGATGAAGAAAAGTAAGACCTTAAACCCCATTTTATTCATTATGTTCATTTTATTATTTAGTTTATTATCATAAACCATCTTCAGTATTTCTATTTCCATAAAGCTTTTAGCTGTCTAATCGTTCAGATGGGACAAAAAACCGAAGTCCTGTGTACACATTGGCGTGCACGTAAAAGATCCCTTGGCAGTTGGAATTTGATATAAGAGTAGGCGATAGTGCCGCTGCCCGGGCAAAATTTCCCTCATAGCACACTGTATGGCGTATGCCCGTCTTCATTACCCCAGGTTAGGAGCAGAACAGTAGGACGTTAAACCCCATTTCATTTCATTTTCCATAAAGCTTATCAAGATATAAAACCTTATATCAACGATTATCATATTGTAAGTATTTTTGAACAGCTTAACATAAATATTTCAGAATACTTCACTACTTATTTTCCGTGCAGGTTTTTGTACAATTAAGAGGTCAGTGATGACACTCCTCAAACCCATCACCCAACACATGTATTCAACTGTTTAATATGTATTTTGGAAAACAAAATTACCCTCTGAGAACTTCTAAGTTTGTCTCTGGCCTCAAACATGGATTGCGGTCGAGCTTTGACAACTTTGAGTTCGTATTTTCCTTCTATTAAACCCTGACTGATTTCATCATCTTCTTCTCTACCGTAACCATTGAGTACCTGACCATCATCACTCGTTCTATCAATTTTAACATCACGTAGCGACGCATTCTCACGAAGTAGAGATTCAATCTGAAAAGAAGGATGAATGAACATTATGAATCTGCATGTAAATAAATTCCAAAACTAATGAGGTCCAATGAACACTTTCGTAGTGTGTACATGTATTTTGTGGGTTTTTTTTTTATTATTACCGGGTATTATTATTATCTATTGTGGTGTGAGGTTATTCATAAATACTTTTGGCCTGTAATAAAATTCAAAGTTCATCCATGGTGGAAGTTCAATGAGGCTCATGTAGTTTAAATCTTTAAAATTAGATTATAGTTTCATTTTGATTGTTTTATTTCTTCTGATTTTAATTCAATCTACTATCAATCACAACCGAGTTCTGTCGGTGAGAGCCACTATACTCTGTAAACCAATCAGAATAACTCTTATATATATATTCTTTGGTTGTAATATAGAACTATGTCTATCCAATTGCTATATGGCATTATTTAGGGGTGACAGAGTTGTTAGGGAATGACCCCTTATAATATTTTAATTTCTCTAAATGAAATACAAGACAAAGTTGAACTCACTGTGCTCTGCATAATATGGACTTTCTGTTCTAAATCAGTTTTTCTATGGACTAAATTTTGAATGGTTGATTCGGCCCCTGCTAAAGCTTTCTTCACCTCCATGTATTCATCAGTGGAGACAGGACCTTCGATAGCTTCCGACGTCATACTCTACAAATATAATATTCACACCAATCAATATAAAATAAGCATATTACATATGACTTTTAATTCAATTATACTTTACAAAATCTGAAATATTTAAACATATCTTGATCCCATAAAAAGAACCATTTAACAAAAAGCATCAAAGGAATTCTAATTTAGTTCTACAGACTCTGTGCAACTGGTTGCATTTTTCTTCTCAAAATATCTTTGGTGAAAGAATATGAGAGACAAAATTTGCCTTAAGTACAGGAACAGAATAAGTAACAAAGTAGAATGCCAGATTAGAGAATTAACATTAGATATAGTAAAAGTACAATCTATATGTCTTGACATTCAATTATCTTATATCCTGTTATATTATTAACTAAACACACATTCTACTAGATTTATTCTAGTCTGAGGGCTGTATACACCACACCATTTTAACTTTCTCCAGTCAAACACACGTTCTACTAAATTTATTCTACTTTGAGGGCTGTAAACACCACATCATTACTTAAAGTTGTACAGTTCCATGATATTAAAGGTCAAATTTTAGTATCAATACAAAGTACAATAAAAACATGTTAGCCATGTGAACTCTCAAATTTTACAAGCAGCTTGAAAAGAAATATACTATCAACAGGTATTGAATGAAACTGATAATTATACTATCAACAGGTATTCAAAATCTGTAAAGTTCGAACTTCCTTAAAGTAAGAGAGTGCATACGGGCCTAAATGTTACAAGTCTTGATTTTAATTATAGAAATATAAATAATGATTGTAACAATTACAGGTGGTTGTTTTCTATTACTGGTTGGTTAGTAAAAATTTCGATAAATTAATTCAAGTTGCTGATGTACTGAGAGATATCTAACATGCTCGGTGTTTAATTAGTTCAACATGATTCCCAATTCACATAATAACATATTTCTAAAGATCTTTCTACTCAACACCCAAATCTAATTTTTTCTGACAATATGCTCCTACTATTCAACAAGAAAACTAAAATTATACACGGCAGGAGTTTGATCATTGAATCAAAATTATTAATAAACCATTAAATATCTGATAATGAAAATTGTTTTCATGGTAATTTGAATATATACGTATTCTTGGATAAACAGTATTATATTAGTAACACTGTTAATAACCCATTCACAAAGTAATAAATAATCTTTAATAAAGTTACATAACATAAAAAAATATTCACCCACAAAATTGTTTGAACCTAATACTGCAAGATATTAGTGAAGGACAAATGCATATCATATTATTATTAATTGGATATTTCATATGTAAGGATGGTGTTATTTGTTAGGGGGTTTTATTAGAGGTTAATAAAATCCAAGGATTGGGGTAGAAGGGTAGGGGTGTGGGGATGTAAAACTCATCTCACCTCAGTAAATGAGATCATAGAGGTTGGAGTCAGACCTCTCAGAACATTCACCTAATAGTGAGTAAAAAGCAACATAAAGATACTAGAAATACGTACATAAATTATAAACATAAATATAAGCTCCACATAAATATAATAAGCTCTCTATGTTATTTAATATCTCCTCATCATCTTACCGTTAATCATATCAAAAAGTGTTCTTGATTATGTCATAAATAATATTTTATCATATAACTCAACAAGTGTTTCAAATAAGAAGCCTTACAAACAAGTTTATAATAAATTTTCGGTTCACCAGAAATGCACAAACTTGTAACTTGTAAATTAAGAGCATATGTTGTAACTACAGGTATCTCTAACAGAAACTAATATTTTCCATTATTAAGCAAAAGCCAGTCATATTATTTTGACATTTAGCCCATCTATTATTGTGTCTATGATAATATCAACTGTCTGTATTGTAATATCTTCCTGTCTCGTATTATAGATATTACTATCATTTATTTGACAAATGTTACACCTAAGTTAACATAAAATAGCATTATATGCCCCCCCCCCACCGAAATTGTGACCCTAAATTCTTTGTCTCATTTCCCAGACCCTAAAAGTTAGTCTTGGTGTGGTTTTCTGTAGACAAATTTAAACACTGAAATTTTGGTATTATTTTTTCAGAACTTACTCAGTAATTTAGCTAGAAATCCTAGGAAATAGATAATACTACCTCAATGAACCAAAAATAATGAAAAGTAAAAAGATTTTCTGACCGACTCAATTTTTCGGAGGGTGGGGGCAAGTAAATGTAAACACAAGTATTTGGGAGGGGGGGGGGGGGGGCTTTTGCCAAAAGCCTCATCACTAGTCAGTGGTTAATCCATTTTATTTTGAATTCAATTTTAAGATATTTCAATCAGATAAAACAAAAATTCACAATACTTCCAATAAACGATCTAGGCTTTAATTTAATGAGAAAATCGTCATGTAAGTTTACAGAGCGACTATGACACATTTTGTGATATGGCATTTCAGAGGTCACTTTTATAATTTCAATGTGTCATCATATAATTCAGGGAAACGCTAATACTGACAAAACAAATAAAATTAAAGTCGTTATGGTATTATAATGCATGGCAAATGCACCCTAAAAGTTATATTACTAGGTTCAACTCATGAGAAAAACACAAGCAACTTATAATAAACAAAATCTATTAGAAGAAATAAAAAAAATCCCTATAAAGTTATGTAACTTATTTTTCCATGATGTCCATTTGTTTTATCAAATGGAGTTTCAGAGAAAAATACATCTTTGAAATTATGTATGGTGAATTGGTGGGTGGTGTGTCTAAGATACAGTATGTTTATCCTTTCTGGAAAAACTGCAATGTTTCTCCCACACCACTTAAGAATAAGAGAGGCATATTGTCACCATTAAAATGACTTTATATTAATGTTATTCAAAGGCGAGAATAGGGCACCTTAAGGTTAATTCACCTTAGCACACCCGAAAACACATTTTCAATTATTCACATGTTCAGTCTACTTGACATCCTAAGGATGTTTCCTAGGTGAAACCCTGACCTGATAAAACCCCATTACTCCTCAGGTGAGTCCAACACATGAGGTCTAGTAAGTATTATCTAAATTTTGATTATATTTCACAATTAATCTTTAAGATAGATAATATAGTATTTGAATAATTTGATTGATCTTTATGATAGATAGTACACTATTTTGATTAATCGTTAGGATAGATAGTACACAATTTTGAATAATTTGATTGATCTTTCTGATAGATAGTACACTATTTTGATTAATGTTTAGGATAGATAGTACACAATTCTGAATAATTTGATTGATCTTTAGGATAGATGGTTCAGTATTTTGAATAATTTGAGTGATCTTTAGAATAGATGGTTCAGTATTTTGACTAATTTGATTGATCTTTAGGATAGATGGTTCAGTATTTTGAATAATTTGAGTGATCTTTAGAATAGATGGTTCAGTATTTTGACTAATTTGACTAATCTTTAGGATAGATGGTTCAGTATTTTGAATAATTTGACTAATCTTTAGGATAGATGATTCAGTATTTTGAATATTTTGACTGATCTTTTGGATAGATAGTACAGCATTTTTAATAATATGATTAATCTTTAGGATACACAGTACAGTATTTTCCACAATTTGGTTGATGAATAGGATAGATGGTTTAATATTTTCTACAATTTGATTGATCTTTAGGATAGATGGTTCAGTATTTTGAATATGATTAATCTTTATGATAGATGATACAATATTTTAAATAATTTGATATTAACGGTAGACCGTACAGTATTTTAAATAATTTGATATTAACGGTAGACTGTACAGTATTTTTATGCTAAGATTGTAGAACTTACGTCTGCTGGTTTGTCCTTTTTCATCTCTACCCGCATACTCTGAACACTTCGTGTATCAATACTACTGTAATCATCATCTGATGCCACACTGTCATATAACGGTTCCTCGTCACTAAAAGCACTTGCCACCTTTGACTGTCGACTGGCACTAGATGGAAGACCGATATAACTCAATGATTTATCTGAAAGAAAGAAAAATTAATTACAAAATTATTTCTAACAATATCATAATTCACTGTACTTCATTCAGCTTTACAAATACAAAGACACCATTTGTTTTTAGTTAATACATTTTATACTTATACCATTCATTACTGTTTAAATCAACCTTAATAGTAAGTGAAGGAGGACAGCACCTCATACGAACACAACCGATAAGACAAACCTGCGGACAGGACACAATCTACACAGACATTGCGAGCAAAAAGCAACAAATATAAAATCATGTGAAAATTCTATATACGTTCAAACAATTAAATCATTTAATATTGTAAATCAGTTACCATTTTCTCCCACCAGATAGATGACAAAATGAAATATGTTTTGTGTCACAAATCACAAGATATCTATTCATCAAATTCTGTATTTATGAGACGTAACATTTTATTTCTATTATGTTGGACGAGAAGTGAAATTGAATAAATATAGATTGTTTAATTCACAGACAAGAAGAAAAGCAAAATTGTTGAAATCTATTGAAATTTTTTTTTTTTTCAACAACATATCCTTGAATATCTAAATTCCACCAGTAGATTTGGTAAACATCTTAATTTTAATGTATGAATAAATACCAGTTAACTCAATAACTACGGTAACCAAAATAACATAAAAATTGCAATGTTTATGACAATGACACTTTAATTATAAACACCGCAGGAACTCGGGCCACTTTTATGCAATTACAGTTGCGTTATCACATCAAATAAATTCCAACGACTAAATCTAATAATTTCACCATGCTTTTTACAACCTTTGTAAGTGATAGCAGGTTTCATAATTCAATAAAAGTTCTGCATAAAACACTTGCCTGTATACTTTATATATTACATAATATAAACAACATCGGTGATTCGGTTATCTATACTTTTATACACTTTAAGTGATGAAAGTATGGAAGCGAAAAACCAAACTAGAAAATTGGCGATGACTCACAGTAATAACATCAATCTCTGTAGATAAAATTACCATACCTTGTTATTAGCTTTAACACAAAGGAGAGACACATTTCAGCTCCTCTTGTATTATTGTACAATTTTGTAGATATAATTTATAAGATAGATGTCACATTTAATTACTTTTCAGTTGAGTTATTCACATCCTCCAACATCAACAATATCATACTTCATTGTAGAGAATCCACTTTGCATAGTATTAGATATCAGTATTCACTTTTTCATGACATCAAGTAGTTTTCTTCTTTAATTTGCACAGAACAATTGAACAAGCTGCATGTGCAAAAGTAATTCTATAATTTGCTCATCAACTTTAAAATTCTAGAAAATAATTCTACTCCCTCACTTTAAACGAAAATCCACAGTAACTAAACATTAGTCCATGTTGCACAGTATGATATATCAATATTTATTATTTCACTACATCAACTATCAAGTATGATTTACTTCTGAAGTAATTTTTGCATTTTAAATAAACTGAATTAGCTACATGTGCATCTAAATAACTCTACAATTTTCTCATAAACATTAAAATTTTAAAAATACCAGTTAATTCTTCTCATATGCTGTGATTGTGAAGGAACATCCACAGTAACTACATGTTAGTCCCAAAATGCCATACAATGTATATGATATATATGTAAAGTATTAATCATATTGTATTCCATTCACAGTTGCACAAATTGGGGAATTCATTATTTATTATGCCATCTAGCATTTTCCTTCTGAACTATTTCCTAATCTTCTACCACATCATTATCAAGTAAATCTCGAAATTTTATCCTAAACTTCATTTCGTTTTCGTGTATATCTAGCACATGCAGAGGTTTTTTTTCTCTCTGATTCTGGTGTTTTATGTTTATTGACATGTGTGACTATTTACATGAACTCTGCCAAAAAGTTTACTTTCTACATGTATGTACTCTGACATGCCACCAGTAAAATAAATACATGTTTTAATTTACAGATATCACTTATATTACCAGGTAAAAGATAAAGAATGTGATAAAGGGGGCAGATGAATGAGGGTGGTCTGTTGTATACTATAAATTACTGTTAAACATACATTATGCAAGAGCTAAATCTGCCTATTGCAGGTCTTTCTTTAGGCCTGAAATGTTATCTAAATTATTAATTAGACATTAATTAACTTATCCAGACCATAATCAACTCTCAATGTCAACGCTAGCCTGCGATATTTACTGGATTAGGATCCGATTTGCTGCTCAACTTTCATTCATGATTTATTCATTGAAGGTTTGTATCCACCTGGCAGAAGATGGTAAATCTTTATTACATGTAGAGCAATAAGGGAAACCTTAGAAAACCTACAAGTCATTAAGATGAAATTGACAGAAGTTGAGCGAAAAACATGGAAATGGTGACAACTGATTTTATATTTAAAGATATTTTGTCATCACAAAATGTCTGATTGAAAAAAGTCGTATCAAGAACATGATAAAAAAAAAAAAAATTAAATAATTTATTATCAAAGTGTCCGAGACTGTTTCCTGAAACTGTAGTTATATCTAGAGATACGATTTAAATCAAATATAAAACATGTCTTTAACAAGTAAACTATACGCTTCAGTAGATCTACATGTTAGTTGTAAGATATTTTAATTAACAAATCTGATCCTTTAAGGTGTGAACCTCATCACCTGTAGTACATGTAGAATAAATATAAGAAGCCTTTTACCTACAAATTACTTACACAGTATATTAATATGTGTGATATATCTACCAACTAGAAGTTTAATGTCAGTGAAATAACCTGACTACTTCAAGCTGAACTGTTCAACATTAATCTCAAGTGATCACCCTTCTACCCTGGTAATTTGATATGTGTAAAAGAGTTCGCTGCTTTCAACATCTGGTTTTACATTGCATTGCTAAAAATTCTTACAGAAGCCAAACATTTTCTTATCTTTTAATGATATAAAGAAGAGATAACTTGATAGATTTGGTATTCATATAGGTTGACGGATAAATAGAAATATGAATACAGCTAGTGTACCCCAGAAACAAAGAACAACAGATCCGTATTAAGTTATTATTACTAATAATATTAGCAAAATTTCAAATACTACAGATGCACCTTTTTACCTGTTATTTTTACAGGACTCCCAAAAAATCAAATCAATTTACAAATTTAAGGTAAGCAAAAATATGGCAAATTCAGATTAAATTTTTAAGTATTCTTTAATATAAATATGATAGCACAGACATCGGGACAAAAGACAAAATGGTATCGACACTCTTTATATAAGACAAAATTTTCAGCTTTTCTGTACAACAAATTTGCTAACTTTGTAAATTCCTCAAATGATAAGTTGTATGATGTGTTCTAGAACAAAATGCAAACTCTGCCTCATGCATGATACATATACAGTCTTAAGAGCAACTAGAAATCAGCCAGATTTACATACAAGTGTCACAAACTGGAGGATAAATGCCAAATGCTAGTGAAATCGATCTGTACCATAATACAAGATACAATTTTCAGTTTTCTTATAGATATAAATCACTGCTTTCAATCTTTCATGAAACTCTACAATTTAAAAATCCTGAATCCGACACATGGTATCTATAATAAATATATTTTAACATATGATAAAACAGTTAAAACTTTTATCACTCTAAGTACTATTACTATGTAGATACTGTTAACATAATTCCTGGTTAGTCGTAGATAGATATACACCAATAAATCTTGATAGACACATCTAATCAAAGCAGTAAATATATCAAAGAAAGAACATAAAAATACTAGGTTATTCCTTATCTTCTGCTAAAACATACCAAATGGTTCTCATACCTACCTACCTACCTACCAGTGTTGTGAATCAAAAATAAACTCGGCTGTGTAGAGAAGAAAATAAATTCTCTTCTTATATGTTTTACAAAGAGGTCAATTATAATTAGAACATTTTAGTTATGGAGAAAAATATCATCCATCTTAGTCAGACTTAGTGAGAATTTTATGACATGACCTTATGACATGTTGTCACCTTAATTTACTTACAGTCTAGAGAAGCCTTGTAAGGAATAACTGATGATTAAATTAAGACCTACCTACACACCTTATAACAAGATGACTAAAACGTGACAACAATAGTTGATACTAGTAAAGGACTACTGTACATCTACCACTCAAATAGGTTATAGTACAGTGGCTGTCTTGTCAGTTCTTTTCGTCACCTGTTCATTGACCACCAACAGCCAGAACAAAATGGTCAGCTTCCAAAAACATGCTGAGGAAAAGTAAACAATTTACTCAAACTGATGACTATCTATGTCCACTCTAATTATTTACCTACTGTCACTGGACAGTGGTTTAATGTAAAGTAAAAGATGCAGCATTGTTGTTTTTGTTAGCTTGGGGATTTTTATTGTGAAAGCCATCTACCATGTAACCCAATTCATCTTTTGTTCTGGCTGGGACAATATAACAACAATTATCTTTCATTCATCTATTGTGTTTTGGTATTTTAAAAATGTAACTTTAAACTATAAAATCATCTTGGTTGGTTAAAATTCCATGTAATACATCATCCATAATAAAATTTTAATTTCTTTTATTGACAGTGAATTTGTACATAGATACACAGTTTGAGGGTTAATAATTTAAAAGGGTTTAAAATGCTAAAATAGCAGAAGGTTGTTTGTGGGTATTGTTCAATTTCTTAATAGCTAGTTATATGAAGTTGCAAAGTTAGAACATAATTTTATTTCATTAAAGGCACAACAATGCAGATTGTTCACATAGAACTCAAAAATATGAAATACTTTAATGTTAACACATTTTGTTATTATAATAAAGCAAATTTGATTACATAAAAAAAAAAAAAAAAAATCCCATAATAAAGAATGATGGACCGACTTATATGAAAAATTAAGAATTATAATTACTTTGTTTATCTATGACATTGCAATAGATTTACCACACGAAGAAAACATATTTATGTACAAAACATCTTTTGATTGATTTGAAAATAATTTGATATTAAATACAGCCCTAAAAGATATATTTTGTGAACTAATACAATCATTTTTTAAAATTTGAACGACATGATTATAAGAAATGACAATGAAACTATTAAATTCATGTGGTTTTTTTTTCTAAAGACAAAATAGAGCCTTGATGAATCGCATGATCAGACCCACCAAGAAGGCGGATCAGTTGGGTTAAGCAGGATAAATTAATCTCACAAATAAAATCTTTGTTTTTTCCCAGTTTTGTGATGCAAAATATCAACTACTTAAAATTATAATATAAATCGATTTTAGAATTTATCTTACATGTATATGATATTGTTGATTGTTCAAGACCATTCTGGGTGTGGGGTGCCCAAGGTGTTGGCCTGTGGATGATGGACTTTGTTCGACAAGTATCAATAATCTAAATATTAAATATTTGAGCGGCTCAATGGAGTTATTATTAACCAAATGTCTAGGTTAAAAGCTATGCACTTTTGATATTTCTACTTTAACAGAGTTCAACAAGTAGCAGAAACGAAAAATTTATAAATGATCTTAAAGATATGATTTTTCTTTTGCATATTTAAGTTTTATTTGTGGATGCCTGTGCTGTTTTACAAGGATGTTTGATTCATGGTACTATAGAAATCAAATGTTTGCAAAAAATATTTATACAATATAAAGACTAATTACATAGGCTACCAGTCGGAGCATGTTGATGAGAACCGATAGAAACTCCATGACCATTTTCTTGCAACATGTATAATCAAGGGATATAATCTATGACTACTTTGATTAAAGATAAGATTTTCAGTTCATTGTTTTAACCCACTGATTGTTTTTGATGATAGAAGCTATAATGATTAATTAACAGCTTCAATCAACAAGAAAGCTACCAATTAAGTTAAAGTACAATCAAATTGATAAACTCTGTGTTCAGTGACAAATATTATTCACTTGATACTAGATTATCCCCAAATCTACCCCCAACTACAGACTGAGTAATATAAAATCAGAATGATTTATGACCTGTGTTAAAATTCAAACATCAGTAACCTTGAAAACAAATTTTTATAACACATGTACAGTACAGTGTAACCATCGGATTCTTGTAACATATTTCAAAGTAAAGCCCCAACATTTCTCTGAAACCCAGGGTCTTTCAATAACATGTTGATTCTAGGTTCCAGAAAGCCAAAACTTTTTCTTTCATTTTTGTACTATAATATTGCCTGTTTAGGGAGATCAGACAGTTATGTTAAATACTTTATAATAAATCCTTGAAATAAAGATCGATAGACAAAATTAGTACAGAGTCAATTTGTTTCTGTAATGGTTCAGTACAGTATCTGTCTATACTTTATATCAACGCTTTAACTCGGAATATTTGAACACATTTGGACAAAATCTTTTTTTTTGTTGAAAATTCAGTATTTCAAGCATTCTTAAGGAAAGTAGCCATAAGCCATGAAATTTTGATATTAGATCCCTGAAAGTGTTGGCACAATCCTGTAAAGATATATAACTAATTTTCTGTTTTTCTAATGTGGATCAGTAAGGTGGGTTTTTTTTTAAATTTCAAAGTTCAAAGATAAATCAATACAGCCTTGCAATTCTAACAAAAACCATAGTACATGTATAGTAAAATATTGTATATCATAATTCAGGAATAAAAAAAAAAAGTTCCTAAATCCTAAGCACATAAAAAGCAACGCTGAACACTCGGACACAGAATTACCCCATCTTAGCATACAATCTACGTTGGACACCTCTAGTAATCTGCACCATTACCCAACTCCACCAGTAAACAATGTCGAAGGTCACAGGAACTCCTCTTAAAATATGTGATTTGGGAAGTCCTTTCATTATATCATCAACAAATGTTGTATTTGATTATAACAGCCTTCTTGGTTGGCCAGTTTTGATCACGTGCTACGAGCAAACTCTGGCCGTACACTGGCATTTAAACCTACTTTTCATCAAATTTCAAATGTTATATCAAGGGTTCTTTTATGTGCATGCCAACATGTACAAAGGACCTCAGATTTGTTATCTTTCCTAACGACTAGACAATTGTCCTTGCCAGACCCTCTGTTCTGAACTACTTACGACTGGAAGAAAATCGTCAGTAGAAAGTCAAAAGAAGAAAATCAGAAGTGGACAGTAGAAAGTAGAAATTCTGTCGTTAAAGTAGAATTCAGATGATTTCAAGTTGAAAAGTTGAATGGTTTTTTAGCTTAAACGCAAAAAGTTATAGATATCCTCCACAAAAATCTCCATTACTTTTAAGTAAGAATTTCCTCTTTCGCTTTAGATTTTCTACTTATTACTACAAATCACATTTGAACCTGATATTCAATTGCTATTATTTACCTGGTTTAATCTAAATTATTAACAACAATATTGCTTAACACTAGGTGATAGAATCTTCTTTAAAAAAAAAGGTTGGGGGGGCTAACTTTGGGACAAATAAATTGTTCCTAAAGTGCTTTAAAATTGAACATTTGCTAGTAACTAGTCTTGTCTCAGGTTGCATATAATTAACGTTTGCTTCATATTTTGTGTCTCTTACTTTATTGAAATTTACCGCCCCCCCCCCCCCTTGTTTCTGACACAGATTAGAAGTAAACGGCAAATTTCACTTTTATATCACTTTTCTAACCATATTAAATGTGAGCCAAATTTGAATATAGACTGGGTATTAAGCACCATCTGGTGTTCTTTTATCTGCAGATTGCTGATTAATTATGTATGAATTGAGAATGTGGTGTGTGTCTTAATATAAATATAAATGTAATAAAATGTTATGCAGTATTTTTCCTACTGTTCGTAAATATAGTGCTCATAATCAGAAAATCTCTGCCAGTGTAACAGTCAAGGTCACTAACTCAAATACCTATTTTTCACATCTTCAGAACACAATCCCACAACCCCAACAGTGTACTAGAATTTATTTACAATTTGTCAAATTATATTTAACGTAATAACGCCCAATAACGAAAACAGCATTAAATCTATAAAACATATTAATTAGGTCAACTTACTTGGATCTTTTGGCGTTTGAACAGGGGAGGTAATTCCTGTTTGTCGCCGCCTGGCATCGTTAAGTATATCAATAATTAACGTTGTGAATTCTCGCTTGTTAAATCTGGCTAATTTCTGTCGCCCCTACAAATGAAAAGAATTACATTAAAGAATGTCATCTTCAAAGATAAATTCAATGGGTTTCAAAAATCATATTTCAATATATTTAGTAAATGTAAGATTCTGTATTCTCAATCTCCCAAATCCAAAGAAAATATACTCCTGCTAATATATTTCCTAAAGTGTGAAAATAGTGCTTTCCAAAAGAAATAAGTGCAGTGACAATCCAATTTCTAATCAACGACAATATGTAATGCAAAACACCCAGTGCACACTATACTAAGTCTCTTTATTTACAGTGGTATTTCATGTTCAAGAATTAGACCAGGGCAGAACATATTTTAAAGCAAGGGATTGATCATCTTCGAGAACTCTAATTAACAGGATCATAACTTTCCTCATTAACATATAACCTGATTAATGATCTTACCTGATTTCTAGTTGTAGATAGATCAGGATTAACAGGTAAAAAAGGAACTGTGGTACGATCACTGACTGTAGTATGGTCCTGGGTTTCTAACCAAACTAAAAAAAAAATCCCAATAATTATCAAACAATTATATATGATTTACAAATTCAAACATGTTAGCATATGTCTCAGAATTACTTACTCGTGCCATAGGAGATGTAAACATATAAATCCTTAGTCAAAAGACCAATATGATTTTCACCTTCCTAAGTTTTTCTCAAAGACATATATATGTTTTTACTTTTTAAGTGAAATCAGAATTAGTTTTTGAGAAAAATTCAAAGGATTCCATCTGAAATTAAATCCTGAGACTCTCCTAAAATACAAGAGAGATCACAATATTCAAGTAAGCATCATATGTGACCTGTGACAGCAAAATGAGTTGGAAGTCACGAGTCATTGTTTATTATAATAATATATGAACAAAAATGATGAAACATGCTAAAAATATAAAAACAATTTAGTTTGTTTTATTTGTCAAATATAAACATATAACTTTCGTGTTAAATCATTAAAATTTTTGCCTATTCTAACACTTTTGTTCACATCATAAAAAGACTTGCATCTTCCAAATCATTTTTCTATCACGGGTCACATATGGTTTAAGGTAACTACTATTAAGTGAACAACTTACTTTTATCATTTTCACGTCTGTCTACTTCATCATAAACATCCATGGCTAATTCTTCAAATAAATGGTTGGAAAGCTGAAATATTAAAACAATCAGTTCTTTAAAGATGAGACAATACTACTTGCTGATTTGTGAAACAACAAATTATGCAGAAAATCTATATTCAAAATAAAACAGAGGATCGATTGCACTTTTTTTTCCAAAATGGCATCTCACAATTATATTTAATGATGGTAGCTCATCATGACATCTAAGGTGAACTTTGACCATTGCAAATTCTTTATATCTTAGACATTATTTAGTACTAATATAGATTCAACAATGCAGCACCCTAAGCACAACTCATTTTGACATAAACAAATGAAGACCGAGACTGCTTTGTAAATTTAACAGTTACCCCCATTACATAGTAGCCAGTATGATAATTTATCAGTTTGTACCTCAGATTGGACATCGCTGGAACTATTTCAGTCTTAAATAATGTATAACATACAAAGATTATGCATTGGATTATCTTTCAATCTCTTGTACATTTTAAACAAACCACATACATGTATATTACTCAAATAATCTGTGTAATACTTACTGCTTGTAATTTCTTTTTTGCTTGTTTATCTAATTCTGATAAATCTAGGGCACTGAAAAACAAAATGCACCAAAAAAACTTGAAGAAATTGTATGTAAAACACTAAAAGAAATTGTATGTAAAACACTAAAAGAAATTTTATCTCATCAAATATCACAATTGGAGCCTGGGACCAGAACGAGAACAGATTTTCTATTCAAATGTAAATAAGCTCCATAGCTGATAGAATATAAACATGGACAAAATATATCCAATTATGCTACTTTGTCATTCAAAGCAAGGAGCCAGGGTTCGATATCGGTGTAAGCCGAAAAGTACCACCAGAAAAGTACCACCAGTTTTTCCAGCACGATATCCACTTGTCCATGTTGCAGGACAGAGAGCTGGAACAGTGTCTCGTCATTTGGATTGAAGAAAAAACTGAGGTCCCAGGTACACTTTGGTATGCATGTAAAAGAATCATTGACAGTTGAGAATCGAAATAAGAGTAGGCCACAGTACTACTGTCTGGGCAAAATTACCCCATAGCACACTGCATGGCATATGCCTATATTAGCCAGGTTGGTGCAGAAAAGTAGGACATTAAAAGGCATTTCATTTCCTTTCAAGTTGTTCCCTGTAACACTCGTCGGGTAATTCTATTGTTTACATTTACTGGAAAAATTTGGAAAATTATGTTTAAAATTCATTATTTACCTGTTATCACCAATTTCTGGTATTATAAAATTTTGACCGCTTCTATGATCTGCAAAATTAAAATTAGTAACCAATCATGAAACATGTCAAATATCACATGACCTCATCCCTACTGTTTAAGACATTTTGTTCATATTGATTGACAAATTGTTACAGAATAATGGTTCAATCATCCTATGATATGGTAGTTTGCATTTGAAAATCAATCTTGAGCTGTATTCTGAGATCAGCTCTTGTAAGTAACCAGTTAATCTTTAGAAGAACCTCTCTATATTTTTACAGGTCTATACATTATATCTAAAATAGCTAGATCAAGGTCGAAAACATAACCATCTGTTTCGTTAAATTTTATGTCTACATTCAAAATTTTACTTTCATAGTCATAGATAAACTTGTTGAGAAATAATCAATTGTGTGTTTCAAATTTTCAAATCAAAAATGTAACCAAATAGAAATTGTCCATCAATAAAAGCACATCAACACTTCATTTTTTTTTTTACAAAATTAGAAGAATTTTAACTTCTTTAAATATAGTATTTACCTGGTTTCCTACCACAAACATGAAAGGCAAGTCTATCTGTTAGTTCATACTGACATTCTATTAATCTATCTGCCACATCATGAAAACCACCAAGTCTGTAACACAAAATTATTATATATACTTATGACAGGAGAACCACACCACATACAAACAAACAGAAATGAATTAGACAAACCAATGGTCAAGACACACCAACATTGTATAGTTCCAGTGTCCCAACAGAATTGTTAAATTAATCCTGTACACTGTGGATCTTATGTGGCAGTCTTATTTAACTGAAGTTGTACTTGGGCATTTACAAGAGAGCTTTTTTACTTGTTTCATGTGGAGAACTAAAATTTCACCTGGAATTGAATCTATGTGGGAGGGATCGCACTTCTCCAGCATGCAGGCCTGTCCATTGGACATTTAGATTCAATAAACCATATATAATCTTACCTGGCATAATCTATAGGTGTTTTCTGGTTTATATCTATAGCACCTGGATCGGCACCATATACGACTAGAAGTTCTACCTGAGCTACCTGCCCTGCCTGAGCAGCCACATGTAGAGGGTTGTTACCTTTTTCCTAAAATGTATTTTTTTGTATTTAATAATAAGTAAAGACAATCTAGAAAATTACAGGGTAAACCAACGACAATATAATCTACATTACTGGTATTAAATCATGTAAATGCATCTGGGGCACAGCCAATATAATGTACCAAGAGAATGAACTTCTTTAATAATTCAGTTACATGAATAAAATTTGGTATGTTTGATCCTACTTCTTGTAAAATCTCTGTGAATCTTTGAACCTAAAATATTCATTTCTATGGGATCTCTTGAAAATAGATAAACTTACTTTATGAAAATAATTAGGATCTGCTCCCTTAGATAACAACCGTAAACAAGTTTCTACATTATTTGTCCGAACACTAGAATGAAGTTCCTGAAATATATCAATATGACAAAACATTAAAGCAGCTTATCTGACGGCCCCATTTCACTCGTCAAAAGTGAAAATTGACGTTTTTGATTTTTGTCTTAATAATGAGTAATTGCTCCGCCAATCCTCAGACATTCAGCAATTCGTTGTGGCATGCTCATAATCAACCGTCCAATCAGGATTTGGGGCAATCTGACCCACTCCTCTTGCACTGTCACATCCAATTCTTGCACTGCCATGTCCAATTCTTACAGTGTTGTCGGTCGATGTTGACACGTCTTCCGATCAAATTAAACGTAACACACTAAAGCAAAGATACACTAAACAGTAAATCTTATGCAAGAACCGATAGGAAAGCAAACATGGATAGGTTAACCAGCACGCGGCAGTTTTCATCAACCCTTCCTTGAAGTGTCAAATTTGACAATGAATGAACCCCTCCCACGTGTATGGCGCTATTGCGTGTCACATGTGCAGCTCAGTGGTTCTGTTGGGGCGATAAGTTCTTCATCTGTGAACATACTCTCAAAACATGTCAAATTTCCATGGCTATTTATCAAATCGCAACCTGCATAGGTATTTGCATTTCAATATCCCCTACTTTTTTTGAAGAGTATATTTTGTTCTGATGTGTTTTTCGATTGATGATGGGTCAAGATCTTTATGATTAAATTCTAGTAATTACTGAATGTTGCCCATAATAAGTAAGAAGCAGATTTGAAAATTCAGTATCTCGGAGGGAGAGAAAGAGAAATAAGGTTTAATGTCCAATTACTGAATGTTGTCCGTAATATGTGAGAAGCAGATTTGTATATTCAGTATCTCGGAGGGAGAGAGAAAGAAATAATGTTTAATGTCCACTCAACACAAACTAGGTCATTTCTGGACTAGCATATGGTTCAGTTCAATATCAATAATTCGCTTGAGTGTAAGAGTCTTTAGCAGTAGGAGGAAACCGGAGGATCCAGACAAAACCATGAGAATAGTCAGACTATCCTACTCCTTGTCACCTACAAGTGTGGGATCGAAACAACATCACTTGACTCAATGCAATTAGAACATTCGGCCACCCAACCCCTAGTATCTTGCACGGTTTCTAATTTAATCTACAAAGATAAATGTTTGTCACATTATCCTTACCTTACTGACATCATCTATAGAATTAACATCACTTTCCTTCTGTTTATTTACAAATGACAGAAACTGATATTTTGCCCTGATAAAATCTGCTTTATTTGGACTGAAATTGTAAGATTTAAAAAAAAAAATACAATATTTAAAGGAACATATACTTCAAAATCATAAATATTATAAAATAAAGCATTCCTTTCTTCAAAGGCCAGACATCAATTATTCCAGTAGTTCAAGGAGCTACATTGTACATACATGTAGACAGTGGCCAGAGGTCGCAGTCACGCAAAAATCGGCGTATTTCACACATTTTTTTCAAAATAAACGCAAATATTGATGGACGCTGCGTAACTTACACGCAGAAAATTTCCCCAACGTGAGAATAATTAGATTATTCTATGTCGTAGTTTGTACAATTTATGTGCTTCACTCGGTATTTACACACCTCTACTGTACGTAGTCTCCGTAGTTTTTTTATATTTCCTCTTATTTCATTCATAAGTTCATGGCAGTAAGCCTACGTAGCTATCCTATTGGAAGCAATAAAGCGCATTTCATACAAGACTTGGGATTGACTAGAACAAGATATACTGTTTACATTCAGCCAATCAAATGTTGGCTTTCATAGCGATAGTTTTCTCTTCACTTCCTGTCGAAGTGAAAGACTGAAATGACTTTGCCGTCAACCATAGACATGCCGTTAACCTCCAGTCGTCATTAGACTAAATACAGTAGGCATATCAATGAAATAAGGACGCTTAAAATAGGGTTGTTCACAAAACGACTTTACATGCTTCTATATTAAGGAATTTTGAGAGGCTCTTCAGGCAGATGTAGAGGGCAAAAACGCAAAATTTTGGAATGTCTGCATATTTTTACGCAACTCAAAATTGATCCACAGCGACCTCTGGCAGTGGCAGTGCAATACATGATGAGAAATAATGCTTATGCCATCTCATCTATAATTCCAATTGAAAAGCGATCAGAGCAATACTAATTTCTATATAGAGGTTTAGTTTTTGATCTCATAAATAAACACACTCTCTTTAACCCAGGTTTGAAAATTCCCTTAGTTTCTTCACTGCCCATAATGAGGTTTAAACTAGGAGCATTCTCACTGAGAGTACAATACAACCACCCTCATCATTATTTAAAACATGTATCACTTACTGTAATGGATCTTTACAAGAGGGTTTTTTACGACCATGTTTATTCTGTGAGGGATCCTTCAACTGATGTTCCCATATATTATTAGCACCATGATTCGCTAACTGATACAACATCTGAAAAAAAATATTGTTGTTACAATTAAAAATTTTATAGCACAGAGTCTTTGGCTAAAATCTGTATGGCAGTGGTAATTTTTATCCTACATGACATTTTATTTTCATCATAGCTCCATGATGACAATTATTTCAATAACCGGTATTATATAAATTGTTCAACAAAACATGGAGAAACCAAAATTGTTGTCTAAACTTACTGCATGTTGTGTTGGAGACCATTGACCTCGTCGAATCGACCGCACCTGGGAGACATGTCTTCCCAAACTGCGGTGGACACTGCAACATTCATCACAGATAAGAACACCTCTATTTATAGAGGCCCAAGTAGGATCTGAAATAAAATTAGTTCAAATGAAAATTTTTAATAGTTACATTTCCTTATACACTGGCTCTATAATAATCTTAAGTACATTTAATTATTTCGATTAGTGATTTAGGTAATTTCAATTAGTGATTAATGTAAATTCAGTTAATGATTGAACTTAATTCAATCAATGATTTAAGCAAAAGTCTTTTAACTATTAGGATTTATTTTCTGCTTTAAAGCTACATGTATTTGTACAATTATTTCCTGCTTTGAATTTCCATGATGAGATACATGTAAATCTTTAGACAGCTGATCTCCATGTATTAACAATTTCTCAATACTAGTCGAATTATATTGACATATTCATGTATTTATCCCACAAAATAAACAAGCTGTAGCCATGCAAGATATGCCCACATTTTGCAAGAGATGGACAGAGAATAAGCTAAAAGCAAAACATGATTTTTCGTACAATCAGGGCCATAATCCATGAAGTTGCGGTACAATACATGCCAATAACTAAAGGAACCAAGATCTTTTGGACATTAAAGCTATATTTCAAGTTTTGTCAAAATTGGTTAAAAATTGTGACCTTAAGAGTGTCCCCGAACAAATCGACGAAAGGACAGGGGCTACGACAATATACGTCCACTCCACATGAAAATGTGGCCGTATAATAATAGCAGTATAAACTACGACAATCTCTTTTTAAAAAAAATAAAATGCAAATTCTGTATTCGACATAGGTGAAATCCATTTTATGAGAAGGTGAATTCCATTTTTTTTCTGATTTGCATAACATTGTACTGATTCTGACTTAGATTTACATGACTACACCAATAAAATCTCAGATAAATTTTTAATTTAGGCCTAAACCTAAATATTTATGAGATTCAAATTAAATAATTAAAACATGTTCTATCGCCATTTTATTTCAACTTCAATATCACTATTTACAGAATACTTCAGTTATATGGCTACATGTACCTACTGTGTTTATCAGGTAGACATGAAATGTCATGATTACAAATTTCATTTTATTGTTTTTATGTATGGTGTGAGAAACAAATTGTTTAATAAAATGTTGGAATAACAGTTTATCGGATGCAAACAATTATATGATTACATTGAACTTTGTGAAGCATATATATATATTACCCAACAACCACAAAATAATACACATGGTATACCAATTAATGAGCCATCAATCGAAAATTGTCATTAAATAACAGTGTTACGGTGATATAAAATAAACAACTGGCATGAACTCTCAAGTGATATTTTGAAATTTTCACTAATTTTCAAAGAAAAAAAGTGAGTAAATTTAAACGGTGTCTACATTTCAAAATTCAGCTTCGTAACGCAAATTTTATTTCTTGAGGCCAATTCCATGGTTTCCACAGAAAAACACCAGCCCTACTGGGCAGTTTTCCTACAAATATTAAATAGAAATGTCATAATTATCAACTACATATATGTAAGGCGCATTTTTCATGAATAAAACTAACACAGTGATCCAAGGTGAATACCGAGTAGGGTTAGGTGGATTATCATCCCTGAGCAGATTTAACTTCATGAGTACAGATTAGTAAACGGATATTAGACAGAGATTCGAGCATGTGCAGGGGTAATCTGTGGACCCGCGAGGTGAAATCTGCACTCAATATATACATCTTCTTTAACACAGATACATTTGTATCATTCCAAATTACATTATGTCAATTTATGATTTATAGAAGAAATAGTCATAACATTATAAATATATTCTATACTGGTACAGCACTTACACAGGCTGTTTGAGCACAGTTGGTAGACATCAAAGCAAAGGAAATGGCACATGTTTTCCACATGATATTTACACTACAGTATGCTTCCCTTCAATCAGTCAGTATGAATCCACAATTAGTATACTCAGACAGCAGTGCCTTAAAAGTGTTAGTAGTTGTTTAACTCAGGTCATTAATTATAATCTTATAATTATCAAAAGGCATGTCTAATAATTAAATGCATAGAATGATGCAGAACAAAGACACTATAACTATAAGCAGGAACTCTTATTATAAACTGTCAATAGTGAATAACTTTAAACTAGGGATTTAATGAGGAAGGCAAGTCATGGAACTATGTTCTAATACTAAAGGCTTCATAATTTACCTGCAGCACTGCAATCCGCGCAAATTGACGAGGGTCTCAGGCTTGATCTTGACATAGAAACCAGTTTGACAGATAGATGATCACGAAATTATATTAAAATATGGTTGAAAAAAAAATTGTCTGAAAACGCCTTATTTGGCACTTGTCAATTTTTGACCAAAATCAGAGTAGTGATGAGTCCAATGAAACATGTCCTCTCCTCCGGCCCCCTTGTGGAGCACAAATTCTTTGTATTGTCAATTGCATAAAGCAACAATATATGTTTATAATAACACCATAACAGGAAACAAATCTAAATAACAAAACACAACAAAACCATATAAACTTCAATAGATTTCCAGTTTCATGAAGAAGTCTCTTGTCGAAAATAAGTCTGAATAATATACTAAGCTGGATGATGTCGTAAATATCTTGAAAAATCAGAATTTATCGGTAATTGTGGTATGAACATGTTCTGTATTTCAATATAAACTCATAAAATATCATATTTTTGAAATAAAATGATAACAGGAAACATATTCTGACAATTTCGCATATAGTTTACGACAACCATTTCACAGTTTATGAGTCATAGTTGTTTCACGGTTTTATTTTATCTTTCCGGTCACCATATGAACTATAAACAACGTCAAAAATCAGCTGCGGGTCTTTTCCATAATAAATATTTTGCTGGTTACGCTTTTCCATTTGAAAGTGGAGTCTCCATTGCTGCGAAGCAAGTAGAGATTTCGTGAGATTGGGTGTCATCTTTGTCAATTTTATGTATTTTGATTTCCTAGTTATGCCTGATGTCAGTCTGTGAATAAAGATGTCAGCCAAGACATTAGTGGAGGAATATCCCATTCATTGGCGAGTTTGGCATAATGAATATGAAGATTTAGAAAGAGAAATCCATAAAAATGTGGTGTGTACCGTAATTATGATTATGAACATTAATTGATAAATGTATGATAGGCTTATTTTTTATTGACGGTAGCATTGTAATTAGATTGTTTTTGATTAGAAATGACAGTTCCTTCAACAAGCTTGGATACTTACATATATACGGTACCTACATTTATATTAAGGTCAGGTCGGAACTAGGCCAAAGGTAGATAACAAATCTCATCTCTCAACCCGCCGCGTTTCGAGATAAAGAGTTGGTGCTATTAACATCAACGTTGCACATGCGGTACGATTCGCACTCGGCATTTGTAAACAAAATTGACAATATTTTTAATCAAAACAACGATTGATTATTGTTATTTATAATATTTCTGCCACACCCAACTACAATTGAGCATATAATCCTACCTGAATCGGGTACAAATTGTCGTTTTTAAAATCGAGGCGTTAAGCCGTTACTAAGACCGCCATCTTTTTAAACCGATTTGCTGTCATCATGAAGGCGGGGCTAAATGTAAGGCTTTTAAAACAGCCAATCAAAAGGGCAATCTAAAGCACTGTAACTATGAATGGATTTCGATGGCGGTGAATGTCAGACAAAAACAACGCTTCATTAATTTAAACGCGAATATTTGGCCTCTGTAAGTTTAATTAATCATTTTAAAGATGTTACTACATGCATTAATAAAGAAATTGAGTTTGCCACATTGAACTAAAGGCATCCAATCGTAGCTAAAAACAAACACATCAGTATATCGCAACGTTTTTAGCTACGTTCTCGTAGCTAGGCCAAAGGTACTCGCTACATCAATTACAAAACGCAATTTTACTTTTGCACTCAACAAAAGAACAAGTCAGACAATTTTTTTTATTATTGTTTTATCAAATGACTTTGGTTATATCTATCTATATATATATTTGTGACTGTCGTTTGTCTGTCTGTCTGTCTGTTCGGGGTTGGCGGCTACACTAGGTCTGCCCCGAGTCTGAAATTTGGGGTATAGGGGTAGCTCGGACCGGGGAGTAATATAGGCCAGGTGGCGTTATGACCCCCGAGCGAAGCCGGGTATCCTGCTAGTTAATTAATAAAAATAATACTCCATACGTGGCAAAATTGTACAAATTGTGAAGTGGAAGTTCTCTTACATGTTGGTAAGAGTAAGAACTGTTTCAATATAGTCTTTGTCCAAGACTAAACTTCATATCTGTTATTTGTTGTCTTTTCAATCACAGGACGTGGAAGGTAGATTATGTTTATACAGTGTCAGTCTATTGAATTAGTAGATTGTTGATTGAAGGAGGCATATATCTGTTTGTTTGTGTATTCCAAGTTTAGTTCTGGTCCATCCAATTTCGGCCTTACACCTGATCCTTCTAGCATCCCAGATGGAGCCATCATACCATGGATATTGGGGCTTCACAATTACAGCTCGGTTCTTTTCTGGGGTGTTACAATTGGTATATATGCTTTAATTGACTGTTGTATAAATTAATAAGTAATAATAAGTGCATCACATGATAACATTTCAAGAGACGACTGGGGTTGACTTTCTGCAATGTGTTTTGAAAGCATTTCAGCATTGTGTGGTTTGACAAATCTTTTGGTTAAATCATGTGGAATATTCTCGAATGGTAAACTGGCTTAATGGTCACTTAGGCATGAATCAAAAATTTGAATATTGAGAATACTTAATTCTTCCTTTCTAGTTAATACTAGGTCTAGTGTATGACCTTTTGAGTGGGTTCGTTGATTAACATGTTAAGTGAGCCCAAGTGTCTATGGTATCCTTAAATTTGATAGAAGCAGAATCATTTAGATTATCAACATGAAAATTAAAATCTCTGCATATGATGAGTTTACCACTCTTTAGAACAAGGGACCCAAAATAGTCAGTAAAATCAGAGAAAAAGTGTGAAGTTTTCTTGCAGACTTGTTGTATATTGGTGGTCCGTAGATTACAACGATATGATAAATTAAGCTTTTAGATTGCACAGTAGTTTCAATGTTCTCAAAATGATCCAAATTTGTTTGTGTGTGATACAGAGTATTCTGGTTTGTGTAAAATTCCTATTCCCCCACCTCTTCCAGGTCTAGGGACAGATTTGAGGTGGAAACCAAGGGACATTAATTCACTTCTAACAGTTCCAGAAATCTTATTGTTCAGCCAAGTTTCAGTCAACAGAGCGATGTCGCGGTCTTTACTGGTCAAATATTCTGTTTTTGTTAGATCTGTATATTTTTCATTAATTGAATTGATCTTATATTAAGAACACATAAATTCAATTTTTGGAGTTTAAGTTTAGAAACAGATTTGGTAACCACAGAACTTTTAGATTTTTTATACGCCCACATTTTCATGTGGACGTATATTGTCGTCGCCCCTGTCCGTCCGGACGTCCGTATATCTGGACGACGTCTGTCCTTTCGTCCACAATTTGTTTGTGGACACTCTACAGGTCACAATTCTTATCCGATTTTGCCGAAACTTGAAATATAGGTTTATCGCCCAAAGATCTCGGCTGCTTTCGATATTGGCATGTATCGGATCGAAACTTCATGGATTATGGCCCCTGTTTGTACGAAAAATCACGTTTTTAGCTTGTGGACCCTATAGAGGTCACAATTTTTATCCGATTTTGTTGAAACTTTAAATGTTAATTTATAACCCAAAGATCTTGGTTCCTTTCGATATTCGCACATATCGGACCGTAACTTCCTGAATTATGGCCCCTGATTGTACGAAAAATCACGTTTTTAGCTTGTGGACCCTATAATGGTCGTAATTTTTATCTGATTTAAAAAAACGTATTGTTATATCACCGTTACACCCTAAGGATTACTGAGTTCGAATTTCGTGAAAATCGGCCCAAAATTGACAGACAAAATGTCCGCCATTCGTTCTCAAATAGCGTAAAAACATGGTATATCAAGGTTGTGGACCCTATAGAGGTCACAATTTTTATCCGATTTTCTTGAAACTTGAAATGTAAGTTTATAACCCAAAGATCTCGGTTCCTTTCGATATTCGCAAATATCGGACCGTAACTTCCTGAATTATGGCCCCTGATTGTACGAAAAATCGCATTTTTAGCTTGTGGACCCTATAGAGGTCATTATTTTTATTCGATTTAAAAAAACGTATTATTATATCACCGTTACACCCTAAGGATGGCAGAGTTCGAATTTCGGGAAAATCGGCCCAAAATTGACAGACAAAATGGCCGCCGTTCGTTCTCAAATAGCGTTAAAATATGGTATATCAAGGTTGTGGACGCTATAGAGGTCACAATTTTTATCAGATTTTGTTGAAACTTGAAATGTAAGTTTATAACCAAAAGGTCTCGGTTCCTTTCAATATTCGTGCATATCGGACTGTAACTTCCTGAATTATGTCCCTTGATTGTACGAAAAATCACGTTTTTAGCTTGTAGACTCTATAGAGGTCATAATTTTTATTCGATTTAAAAAAACGTATTATTATATCACCGTTACACCCTAAGGACGGCTGCAGTTCGTTCTCAAATAGCGTAAAAAAATATGGTATATCAAGGTTGTGGACCCTATAGAGGTCACAATTTTTATCCGATTTTGTTGAAACTTGAAATGTAAGTTTATAACACAAAGATCTTGGATCCTTTCGATATTTGCGCATATCGAATTGTAATTTCCTGAATTATGGCCCTTGATTGTAGGAAAAATCACTTTCTTTTTAGCTTGTTCGCTATCCATCTCTCCAAAATATGGGCGTATCCTGCCTGGCAGCCGCTGGTTATCCAATTTAAAAAAACGTATTATTATATCACCGTTACACCCTATGGACAACTAAGTTCGAATTTCGTGAAAATCAACCCAAAACTGACAGACAAAATGGCCGCCGTTCGTTCTCAAATAGCGTAAAAATATGGTATATCAAGGTTGTGGACCCTATACAGGTCACAATTTTAATCCGATTTTGTTGAAACTTGAAATATAAGTTTATAACCCAAAGATCTCGGTTCCTTTCGATATTCGTGCATATTGGACCGTAACTTCCTGAATTATGGCCCCTGATTGTACGAAAAATCACTTTCTTTTTAGCTTGTTCTCGATCCATCTCTCGAAAATGTTGGCGTATCCTGCCTGGCAGCCGCTGGTTTACTCTAGTTATGTAATGTTGACTGCCAGAAAAAGTAGTTTTATCTTATCTTATTAGTTATAGATGATACTTTAAAGCTACAAATCATTCCAAAAAATGTTACCTGTATCAGTCCTATATTAATATTTACTGCTAATCCAAAATAGAGATATTTAAAATTTATCTGAAATAGCAATGGTGTTATTTATCAGTGTTAGGGTATTAATTATGTAATATACTTTTAGCCACACAAGTTTATTTTCACAACTGTTGTTTGCAATAGATGACCTCATTAACAACAAATAAATATATCTTAATGCCCTAGCTATCTGATAGTGATGAATCATCAGGAAGTGTCATTCAATGGTCCCATATACATGTAATAATCAGAAAGATTTGAATGACTCACTGTTTGTTTTTATAATCATACTGATATGTTTTTAATTTTAAGACTGTATTTATATAATTGACATAGTTACAGTTCTTTTACATATTCAATTTTTATGAAGATGGTCTCCCTTCCTTTCTTTCTCATCTCGTTTGGAAAAAGGAATGGCATTGGCTATCAATTTTTAAGTGTGTTTATTTCTACCAACCTTACCATAGTAAATTATATATTGCTCTTATCTTGTTTGTACCTACCAATTTTGTTCTGTAGAATTTTGTGGAAACATATTATCCTTCATTTTGTGATATGTCCACAATTTATAATGGGTGTATTTTTTTGTCACTCACATCTTTCCTTCAGTCCACAATGTTAGATATCCTGGTTTCCTTTTTGATATAATTCCGTCAGATTGAAAAGAAATAATTTTAATGAATTTTAAGGCAGATCAATTGATGGATCCCTCTTGAAATATTAGTTTGCACATATACAAAATATTTCAATCTTTTACATGTACAAGTAGCTTTGATTTTATCACTGATGGGCAACTATTATGTTGATTTAATATATAATTTATCTTTAGATTATTTATTTAATTATTTCAGCATGATCTAGAGGCAGTTGATGCTCGAGGAAGAACACCATTGCTGCTAGCAGTAACTCTAGGTCATTTAGAAAGTGTGAGAGTTTTATTAAGAAATGGAGCAAATGCCAATGTTGAGAATTCAAAATTTTGGTCAGGTGAGCTTAGATTATGGGGCAATCACGACATGAAATAAATCAGGTTTATGAAATGTATACAGTAGATAAATGTGTGTATAACAGACTTGGTGAAATTTTTAAGATATTACCAGAACTAATTTTAACTAAAACATGGAGAAGCTCTGTAAACATATGGTACCCTACATGAACATTTAAACCATGATATTTTACCAAGTAGCCTAATGATTGTCACTGTAAATTTGAATTTCTCTTTTAAGTTCTTCATGAAACTGTCAGTACTGGGGATCCTGAATTGGTTCAGTTAGTTTTACAGTATAGAGATTATCAACGTTACAACAAACGTACAGCCAGTGTACCAGAATTATTGCAAAAACTAAAAGAGGTATTTATTACCCTATTATCAATCAATTACCTAAAGGTCTACATGCACAATAATGCATGTGACCATGTTGGCAGTAGAGCCATATGGTTATAAAATAAATTTATCTGACTAATGATATCTACTCTAGGGGAAAATGGTAGTTATTAGTTGTCCCCAGCCTTTTGGAGAATAGGTTTGTCTGCCTTGGTGGCCGATGGTGTAACATGTGCGCTTTAGATCAGAAGGTCTATCATTGAGTCAAGTGGCTTGGTTTTGATTCCCAGTTGGTAGGCAACAAGTAATAGGGTCGCCTGTCCAAGCTCACCGGTTTTCTCCCACTGCTAAAGACCCCTACGTACAAGGGAATTTTTGAAATAAAATTGAACCATATGTTGGTCCAGAAATGACATAGTTTGTATCAAGTGGATGTTTAACCCCACTTCTCTCTCTCTCTCTGTCTTTTCATCCCACTTTTTGAAACACAGTAACTCTACTTCAAGTTGAGGTATAATGTCAAAACTTGAGGTAGATGTTCAAGTTAAGTGAGTGATGAGCAGTTTGATTGCTCAAAGCTTTATAAAAAGATAAATGTGCCAGTATTTAATGGATACTTGAAGCAGGGGGCATCAATATATTTAACCAATCACAGAACAAAGAAAGCTACAAAGAAATTGACATGTGCCACATGTTTTTTAATCTGTCATTTTTTTTTTCAGACACCAGATTTCTATGTAGAAATGAAATGGGAATTTACAAGTTGGGGTGAGCATTATATAAATTACATATATTTTGATGCTAAATTGATTCCTTGTCGAATAATTTGATTTGATATATATCCACTTGGCTAATTCCGTAGTAGATATTTTAATAGGTAACTTTATATAAAAGACAATATTGTATTTTTTACTATTTCAGTTCCGTTGATTTCCAGGATGTGTCCTAGTGATACATATAGAGTATGGAAATGTGGTAAGTAGGCCTATACACATTATATTTACTATTTGTGTTTATCTGAGCAGAAATGTCACTGTCTTGGCAAAATTCTCCCTACTTATCCATATATGAAAACAAAAAAAAAGACTTTGATAGTTTTAGAATAACCCAAGTATTGTGTTGGAAAAAACTCAGAAGAGTAAAACCACAAACGAGTAATCTTTATAGGATGGATCTGTCTCACAAGCTTATGTCCTAAAATTCATACGTATGTATGAGGAAATTTGACAAACAAAGCACAATATCTAATTTTACTGAACTAATTCTTGTATTTTATTTTACTGTTCAACTAATTCTTTTATTTTTAATATCTATATTTTAAATAGGATCGTGTGTAAGAATTGATACAACTTTATTAGGTTTTGACAACATGAACTGGCAAAGAGGGAGTCGAAGTTATATTTTTAAAGGAACAGGTATACATAGCTGTGTTATTTATACAGTATTGTAAAACTTGAAATTAATTAACGCAACCAAATCACAAGACGTGGCTTATTCAACAGATATTGCAGATGCCAATAAAATCAATACACTTATATGTTGAGTCACATTGTGAAATGTTTTGATCAATAAGCTAAATATTATGATCTATATTATTTTCGAGATGCATTATGTAAGAGCTAAATCTGCTTATTGAAGGTCTTTATTTTGGCTTCAAATGTTACATAAACTATTATTTAAACATTTATTAACATGACAATCCCTTAATTAACTTAATTAGAAAGCTGTGGTCATTTAATGATTTAATTTAAAAATGGTGAAGCGTGGCTAAGTGTCGAATAACCAGTACTATTACAATAATAAACAATCTATGCCATATCTTGTCAAAACTACCAACAGTGATATCCTCGCTCAGAATAAAGTAATTTGTATGAATTTTTCAATATATTCATTTTGCAGAGGATGTCAAAGGTTGTGAAATTTTTAATTAATCAGATCTTTATAAATACTAAATCAAATTAAACCATATTTGGACTTCCAATACAATAGAGGCAACATATTTTTTGCACTTGGTTAATGTCTTAAAGGAAAATCTTGATACCACATTTAATTACCTTGGATGCTAATAAAAATGAAATTTGAGTAATACATGTTGATCAAAAAAGAACTTAAGCTCCTGAACCCCAATTATGAAAATTAAAATTGTACTAATTATTGTTCCAGTAAATTCAGCAACTGTTATGGAAATAGATCATGATAAACACGAAGTTTATACACAAATGTTACAAATCTCACCATCTCCACCAGATGTAGCAGTGATGCAACCATCAGAAGAAGCCGTTGCAGCACGTTTAACCTCCCCTCTCGTAACAACTTATATAGATACTGATAAAATATCATTTGAAAGGTAAGATTTATAGTCCGTGCATTGCTGTTTCATCATTGGGATCGCCTGAACCAGCAAGGTCTCTATACAAGAAGAGATCACACTGAAGGTGTAATTCCAAGAAAAGTATATGGAAATGTCGCCTTCTGTGTTAAATTCTCCCTCATACATTGAATATGTAAAAATTAAAACTACCACATGTTGGTGGCAGTATGGCCTGAGTATTTTGTTGACGAGAAGTTGGCAGAGAATAATCCAAGAATTTACATAGCTTTGATATTTATGGTATATGGACAGCAACTAATGATAAATAGAAATGTGCGTTAAAGTCATTTTCTTTCCTTGTCGGATATATTTTAGAAATGACTATCATTTTACTGCATCATTTATTTATGTATATTTTTTCTTGATATTTGAATCCTATATTTATATAGCCTATACAATTTTTGTTAGAAATAAAGCAGGTATATGGGGGTGGAGAAGTGATAAAACCGAAACTGTCAACACATATGAATGCAAGGTAAGAAATTACATTTGCCCTCACAATGATAAGGATATGCTTACAATTTTATTAGATTCAAATCTGTATTTATTCATAAAAGTATGACTTGATAGTTTTAATTCTTTCAAGATTCAATATTAAAATTAGATAATCAATAATCAAGACCTATAAACTAATTAAAGTGCAGGACAGGGGGCCTGACAAAGACAGTGCCTAGTCATTTGGATGGGACAGAAATAATTCTGTCATAGCACACTACATGGCGTATGAACATCTTCGTTAGTCCAGTCGTTGCAGAAAAGTAGGACATTAAAGTTAACAGTTTAAATTTCATTCCAACAACTTACAATACAGAGAGAGAGAGAGGAATGAGGTTTAACGCCTACTCAGTACAAACCAGGTCATTTTGGGACTAACACATGTTTCAATTTTTATTTCAATAATTTGCTTGCGTGTAGTCGTGGAAACCGGATGACCCGGAGAAAACCCAAGAGGTTGGACAGACGACCCTACGCCTTGTCACGTACAAGTGAGGAATCAAAACCATGCCACTTGACTCAATGACAGACCTTCTGATTTCACGCACACGTGTTAAACGACTAGACCACCCAAACCCCCACTTGAAATACAGATTACACAAAAACACATGTACATTTCTATGAAATCATCACCTAAACCGTCTTATATAAATAATTTATGATTGGCACAATGCCTGTACCATTATTTGAAATAAGGATGATGTCACACCTATATGTTAAAGGATGTTATAAGTTTCTGGTAATTATATATTTTTTTTACATTTATAGGTTTTTAGTGCAAGTAGTGTAGAATTAGTGACAAAAACTAGAACAGAACATTTAACACAACAGGATAAAGATAAATCAAAACGAAACAACAAAACACCATTAGAGTCTTTCTTGGGAGTAGCAGAAGAACATACTAAGACTCAGTCCACATCAAATGGTGTTGGTGTAAGTCATTAATGCTAAGAATTGTCTCTTCTTACTGACCTTGCATTTCGAAAGTTCTTCTTTATCATTCAGTACACAATGTTATGGCAGTTAAAACGATTTCATTATGAACTATGTGACTACAACCTAGAATGTAGCCGAAATATTGTGTGACAACTTTGCATCCACTCCTCTCATAATTCACATGATGTTTTCTTTTTTTGATGGAATGTTATTTTCTATCTTCAGGATATTACCAGCGTTTCCTACAACCCTTCTTCTATAACACCGGAAGAATATTTTAATAAACATATCTCATTGGAGGATCGTGATATAGGTCGACCAATGGAACTCTCTACAAAAACACAGAAATTTAAAGCCACCCTATCTCTGTGTGAAACATTCCCTCTGTCTTTACAAGAGCAAGTTGTACCTATTATAGATCTAATGGCTGCCAGCAATGCTCACTTTAAAAAACTGAAAGATTTTATAACGTTACAACTTCCAGCAGGGTTTCCTGTTAAAATTGGTAAACAATCTCTTTATTTACTCTTTCCATGGATTAAAGGACCAAACCTCTAACTCAATATTATCCGTAATATCGGAAATTAAAAACACGAATTAGAATTCAATATTGATCTATTTCAATCAGTATTGACATTGTTATCTTGCTGTGAAAATATTATCTAAGATTTAAGACACAATGAACGCTTTATGACAACAGTCATCTATTCGGGTGCCATTTGTGATGAACAAAGAAAAACATATCCTACAAGACAATACAGAAGTAATTAATGATGGCTGTTACAAAAACGACACTATAATAAAGAAATGTGTAGAATGGACAAAGCATGCGTAAACGACTGTCTTTCAGTTTGGGATGTTTACTTATTTCACCAAACATAATTAATTAGAAATTAATATAGTTTTTTTTAAAAATTGAATTATTATCACTTTATATACGTGTGCTTTTAGACCCATTTTCGCCTATTCCAATATTCCAAAGAAAAAAGAGCCGTATGTTTAGATTACACAATTTATTCCATGTCACTTAAAAACTGTTGCGTTGGTTTTCGATCTTTTATCATCTATCACCATTAATCTATCTTTATTGGTGAAAAAAAACATTGATAATTGGTTTACCTTCTTGAAAGCTGTTGTCCAAAAGAGATCTACAGTGGTTCTGTGAGTATGGCGATGGTTCACTATTCAGGACATTTTAGGTTGGATCCCAGTGTAGTCATAGAAACTTCTTCAGGAGTTTTCAGCCAAGTTCCCCCTTGTCAGTGATCCAAGCCTGGCCAGGAAAAGTCGCTAATAGTAAGTGCAGGAGGACCGCACTACACGTAAAATAGACATTGCACCAAACAAACAAATATCAAATCAAGTGAATGGATCCGGGGGCCAGCCGTAAGCATCCACTGCGCTGTACTTTCCCGGGTCTGTAGTGACAATTCCTTATTTTGTTGGAACTTTTGACTAAGATTCTAATGGACTCTTCAGGACAACTGGCTCCTAACCAGGTCTCAGGTTTACTCAAAGTGTTGGCCAAGAAAGTTCCTCAGGTTTTTTCGGCACGGCTCCCCCCATGTCAGTTCTGCAGGACTGAGGGCCTGACATAGAACAAGCCCCATGTAATACATTGGCATGCACGTAAATGAACATTTGACAGTTGGAATTCGAAATAGGGTAGGCCTTAGTGCTATTGTACTGGCACAATTTCCCTCATAGCCTACTGAATGGTGTATGCCCTTCTTCATTAGCCCAGTCGGAGCAAAACATTTCATTTCATTTCTCTTTAATATAAAATTAATCAACTCCTTTAGGAATTTTACCATTTCTCTAACAATAGCACAAAGAAGGTACTGTACATTGAGTTTGGTGGATGTTTACCATCCTAAATAATGAGGGATAAGAATTGGATGGATCTTGAACAGTTCAATTTTCAAAAATATATCCCAATTACAAATGAACTAAACAGAGTTTGATGCATGGTTGATGTATAAAATAAAATTTTATTTTATTTTACAGAGATTCCATTATTTCATGTATTAAATGCAAGAATAACATTTGGTAATATATATGCGTCAGAACAGCCTGTAGAACATGTGACTTGTATACGGGATGAGAATATTAGTTGTGATATTAGTGAACAGTGTTTTGAAGTGCCACCAGGGTATGGAAGATTAGGTAATAAAATATTGCTGAAAGGGGCCCGCAGTAGTTGTGTGATAATTATGAACTGACAACTACTGTGGTATTGGGGTGTATAGGCCACAGAATGGATAGGATTGTTTATGACAAGAAGAAGGGCTAATTAAAAACAGCCATCTTTCATTTCACTCCATCCCAGATTTCCATCTAGGATCAAAGCCTTTTATTAATCAAGGGAGGTCACATTTTAAAAACGTCACGCTTAACAGGTTAAAATAGTTTATATTTAGAGAAGCATAAATGGAAACTCTAGTCAAAATCTCCCTTACTGGTATTGAACATAGAACAGTATAGAATAAAAATTACTGTATGTGTAAATATTGCCTGCCAATGTTTTAAGTTCATAAGACAGTAAGATCAATTTCCTTTCTAATAATATGGTAGTGAATTATTGACATTGAATACTGAATGTTAGAGTTGAAATTACATGATCTGTCGGTATTCTCTCCCTAGCATATTTTGACAATAGAAAATGGAAATAACATGTTAGTATTTTGTCCTTAGTGAAAATAGTGACTTGTATGATATTGACTATTATAGGTGATGGTCATCATGAACGATTACGTGACGAAGATGATGAGCTATTACAGTTTGCTATACAACAAAGTCTCATAGAAAATGGAACAGAGGAAGATCAGGTATGGTATATTTTAATAATACAGTCATTAGCCAAAAACTGAAATTGTGTTATAATTTAAGTTATAATTTAAAATAGTTTTTCTCTCTATGCTGGAATGTTGAATAAAATAGGGGTTAACTAAGGGGACCTTACTCTGGCATGAAAGGTCACGGAACACTGATTATCGATACGATTAGTGCTCTCATGAACCTTATGCTTCACACTAAATTTGAACAAATCAGTTAAAAACAATAGCCTCTATCGCAATCACAAATTTTTTTAGATAAATGGGCATAACTCAGAAACGGTAGGTCAGATGGGCACCAAAATCAAACCCACTCGGGACATATTGATCCTTAGGTTTATTTGGGTTTTTTTTTGTTAGATTACAAACCAATATGCATATTGAAATTAATGCGACTGGTGATATGTTTTCAGGTAACATTCTTTGAAGCTTTAACCAACACTAAACCACCATTACCAGCTAGAGAAGATGATGATAGATTATTACAGAGGTGAACCATTTTTGATCAATCAAGATAAATTTCAAGCAATTTCATGACAATCTATAATGAGTAGATTTAGGTCAGCTAGGTTCGAAGATCTGTCATGTTTAGTTCATTTTAGCAGCAAGAATTCTGTTTATTTATAATTCTTCTTTTTTTCTTTTTTTTTTTCAAATCAAATCAGACAGAGATATTCCCCCCATGCTGTTTTTTTTAATATTTTTAATGATCTAACTTGAGTTTGGATTCTGCTGTCCAATTATTCACATAGCTGTTTCGAACTAAAACATACATATATTATTTCGTATACCGCTTAAGTTGGCAATAATCAAAATTTATTGGTTTTATTTCAGGGCTATTGCTGAAAGTCTGTCTCTCAATAGCAATGGCGTACCTGGAAATATATCTGATCGCACAACTAACGGTCAACCCCCAATTACAGCATTTCGTTCCGATGAAGATCAACTACGTATTGCTTTAGAGATATCTCAAAATGAGCTTCATGCAGCCGAGAAACGAAGGAAAGAGGAAGAAGAAGAGTTAGAAATGATCTTGAAATTATCGCTTACAGAGAAATAATATGGCTGATATTTCTGTGTGTGAGATGTCCTCGTCATGTGATACTTTTTATAATTATTATATATATATATAATATTTAATCCTCTTTATATATCTGTTTATAGGTATAGAGAGAGATAATCAATGTTAATATCAGACCTGCCCTCATCTTGCTTTATATCAGAACTCTCGTTTCAACATTCTGCAAACTAGTCAAATTTGTTCACATATTTTATTAATATCCCAGATCTGAACAGTTGGTTGTATTTTTAAGAAATGTTCGACTGTGTATTGTATCCTCAATACACAGACCAATTTCTCAGGTTTTTACATAAAAAAAACCCCTGCAACTTTATTTATTGCGTTTTGAGCTGAAGAAGTTTTGTCAATGCCACAGATTTTCTGACAGTAATACCTGGCAAATATGAAAGAAACGAGAGCCCTGCTTTATACAGTCTTTAGTTAATATCAAGATAAACTAATCTCTGCAAATTGTTATGAAGATGAACAAAATGCTGGCAAATTTGTTCTTTTTCACTGAATGGCAGCATTTTGCATTCTTTAATATTATGAGGTTATTAACGGTGTCTTAAATTAAGTTGATGTCAAGTCCATATTATTTTTCTTAACCAAAGGTTAATTGCTTAATTTATTTTTGTTTGTTTGTTATTTTGTTATTAAGAAAGTTATATGAATGATATAAGGTATAATGTTGATATTATTTATGTTAAATGTATTTCCTGAACTAATGCTGTGCAAATTTTTCACCCTGGCTGGATTTACCAATATGCATATAGTAGGATATATTCCTATACCCAGAGGCCTACTGAATCTTAATTTGTCATGCAGCGTGCCAGAAAAAAAACCTTGTTTCAAGTGTACACTCGGGTCAGTGATGAGTTTAGCCTAGGGCCAACAAGAAGGTAAATCTGGTCCTGATTATCCTAGAACTTCGTTCTAAAGCTTGTGTATGAGTTGATAAATAGGTCTATTAGGTCTAAAAATATGGTAGACTATTTTCAGCTTTAGTCTTTCGGACATAGCAGAATTGCCAGGTGTCAAACTCCGCTTTTAATTGTCATTGTTATAAAAGTTGACTTCTCATTGTCATTGTTACAGATAGCTTTGTTATGACTGTAGCCGAAGAAACAGCCAATGAACAAAACAGCTTCAACAATGAACATTCATAAGTATATCAGTCTCTAATCAACACAGCATTGCTATTATTAGGTACACCAGTGATCTCAACAATCAAGTATGATCTAGTGTGTGTTATATCTACCAGTAAATGACTAGAATTGTAATGGTCAACATGTATCTTAGTGTTATATTCGGGAAAAAAACATGATGATTAAATAATTATAAATCCATATTTTTTCTAAAAAACAGGTTCAGGACGTTTTGCATCTCCACAAGGGGTGTTACACTAAAAATGATTTCCTCCCAAGGCTCATTTTGAGCTAGTGAAATAAAGAATTTAAAAATATAATATGCTAATAACAAAATATCTCAGCTATTCAAATGTGAGATCCTCTTGTTTCTCCATTGTATATGGTACATGACCACATAATAAATAAATTGTTAATCAGGTGTAGTCTTTTATATGTAGAAATGTGGATATACAAGTATCTTTTCTGATACTTTCTTATTCAGTGGGCTATTTTACTGGTAATTGTTTAAAGTTACATGCTGTGTTTAAGTTGGCTGTAGTCTTCTCTTTTTCTTAATTATAAAAAATATGTCATATATGCCAGAAATATTTTCTATTGTTTTATGTTCCCTTTACAGGATAAAAGGAAACTGATTTCTAATTCAAAGTAAGATTGCGATATAAAATTTATGTTGGAATTTATGACTGTATTTCCATTGGACTTTACAATTCAATTGACTCACCATTGTATTATTCGAAAATTGGATGAAAGTTTGGTACTATATGGTTTTTCAAAAGATAGGTGTACATTAATATATCTGTGTATCCCAAATTTTTGTTCCTTACAATTTACAACAGGGTTTGTACAGAATTTTACACCTCAAATTCTTGGATAACTTTAGCAATAAAATTGCAAACATTTCTTTGGGGGGTCTCTAGTTTAACTGAGGGAGTGTGTAATTGCCAGGAATCCAAATCTAAATTACCTTTCCAGATCCATGTCACAAACAAACATTTTTACTTATCCAGATTTGATTTCACAAAAGAATGACTTGGAAATAGTTACCATTTTGAATCTGAAGAATCCTCAATATAAGGCAGATTGGTAGATTCATGTATATTTGGATTTGGATTTTAAAATCATAAGGAAACAAACTAAATGTTTGTATCTAGAAAGAACAGAGCTTTGAATTCCTAGCATAGCATAGTATAAGCATAGTATGTAAGCCCAAATATGCCAGATGCATTGTAAGAAACTGAACCTGTAAGAGCAGATGTCATGAGGACTTCCCTATAATCCAATGCACTTTAAAACATGTAGAATATTTACAAATCCATAATATTATGACATGGGCCCAAAGGAAAGGACTTGCATGTATAGCTGTATGCTGTATGAAGGTCCTCCACTGGTTACAGAGACCTATTAGTTCTTCATATCTCTGCTTAATTTACTCACTGCCCAGATGGTCAGCAAATCTGAACATAAAAATAACCGGTTTAATATTATTTTTATAAACAGACAATAGTAAATTCTGACAGGCCATGACTTGTGTAGTGAGAGAATAGGGGATTGAGTAAAGTATTATATATGTTATTCTGGCATGTTGGGCCTTCAGTTATAGAGTATATTTTTAAAGACCTACCATAATTACTAGCTTTCTCGGTATAATATCTTAATCATAATGAAAGCTGTTTTAGCTGTTGTAAAAAGTGTAAAATATTTGATGTTTATTTAACCGGCTGTAATGATAATTTATCATAAGGAGACATTTACAAACTGGAAAATAGTTGATTACCTATTCTTTAACACAAGATGTCCTTAATGTTTAATTAGAATTTGTAATGCTTTTTATACAATTAAAATATTTTAGCAACTCAGTAATCAAAATCAAATAGAATCCATTGTTTTGTAGTGTTATCAAAATCTCCACATATCAGAAATAAGGCTATTTAAGGCTTAGTGAATAGATATTCTTTTAATTTTTAATAGTTGTATACCTGTACATGTATCAAATCAAATCTGTGGCTATTCATGCAGTTTTATAAGGGAAGTAGATAAGCTTATCTATTTAATTGTATCAATAATCACGCTTTAACCAGAATAAAAGAAAGGAATTACGTTTGTTGTTTTGGGGGGTTTTTTTCACTAAAGAGGATGTACCAGTTGTTGTATCACCTAGAACCTTTTACTTTTTCCACTTGCAAACCCCTTTTTATATGCCCACATTGAAATCTTTGATGAACCTTAATATGATTCATTTTAATCTGAAAATTTAATTGTAACAAACCAACAGTGAGGCTGATGTAACCACCGAAATCCCAAAATAAACAGATGACATTAATTAATTGCACATTTATCTAACTTTTTCAAAAGTATCAGTAATCAAACTTATCTTAGTCTAAGCATAAAATGTTCACGATCAAACTCAGTCGGGTTTCATCACCCTCCATCTGTTATAATCAAACTTATCTTGTTTCAAAGCATTGAGCAATGACATTGTTTAGTTCTGCTTAGCTTTAACAGGAAATATTAATCATTGAACTCAAGTCAAGACATTCACCTAATGAACATCTATACCTCAATTAAAAGCAGAGTTGTTATGTTCCAAAGTCTTGACCAATCAAATTGCTTATCGCTACTTAGCCTAAGCAGAATAATATCATCATCGAACTTAGTCAATGTATTGATATAATGAATCTATACTCAGTTTCATCGCACTCACCCAATTAGAACCAAAGTTATCGTGTTCCAAGGTCTCAACCAATCAAATTGCTTTTGTCGGCATTCTACCTCAATTAGAAGGAGAGTTATTGTGTTCCAAAATCTCCAATCAGATTGAAGTCTCTACTTTGCATAAACAGAAAATGCTCAGCATCGAACTTTAAGGTATTGATGTAATGAAACTATACACGAAGTTTCACCACTATCAAGCAATTACAAAGTTGTCGAGCTCCATAGTCTCGACCAATCAAATTGCTTATCGCTCTGCTTACCCAGAGCCGAAAATGCTGATTATCAAACTTAGTCAGGGTATTGATGTGATGAAACTATACACCAAGTTTCATCACTCTCACTTACTTAGAACCAAAGTTATCGTGTCCCAAAGTATCAACAAATCATATTTCTTATACCTACACCAAGTTCGAACATTTTAACTGAATTCGAAGGAGGGTTATTGTGTTCCAAAGTCTCAACCAATCAAACTGCTCTTCGCTCTGCTTACCCCGAGCAGAAAATGCTCCTTATCGAACTCAGTAAAGGTATCGATGTAATGAAACCATACACCAAGGTTCATCACTCTCACTTAATTAATTAGAACTAAAGTTATCGTGTCCCAAAGCATCAACCAATAAACACCTATTTCAAGTTTAAATATTCCAGCTCAATTAGAAGGAAGGTTATCGTATCCCAACGAGTGTGGCGGACAGACAGAAGGAAGGACAGACCTATTTTAATAGTCGGGAAAAACAAATATGTATATGGTGGCATCATAAATATTTGTATTCACTTCCACAGCGGACCTTGCAGGATATTGGCAGTCTTTCATTTCATAAAAATAATTTCAAGTACTACTGGTATAGTTCATACCATCTTGGGGGTGGGGGCATCTTCAACAGAAGGCTTGATCTCGCTTTAACTACATACATTCAGATGTTGTAAAACTCGCAGTCGTTGCTTCAGGAACATTGCGGCAGGGATGTCTTGGGGTGGATTGAAATATTCCCACTGGAATTTTCCAGCTTTTTTTCCCCAAATCTCTGTCTAGTTCTCCGGAAGCTGACAGTTGAAATTCAATAAATAGTAGATGTAGGTGAATTATATTGGCCTTCCCTAGGTCAATTTTTTAGATACTGAGCGCCATGGAAAACGCATCACTTTTTTTCCCAAATATTTTATTACTAGGTGGTTTTGTATGTATAATATTATGCAATACTATGAACTCAAGGCCTATTTCAAGGTTTTATTGACGAAGCACGGTTTCCGGAGATGGAAGTTTTTTGATTGGGTTTCCCCCCTTTGGGTTCCAACAAAATTTCCAAAACGTGACTCACGATTTTCCACACAGAACTTGGTAGCTCAATTTAGCTTCTTCCATCACCGTTATTAGCTCTAATGTGTTGGAATAAACCTTCTGAATTAGTGACCAAAACAAAGGCTCGCCAGAAGTGAAATAAAAACTTCCTGAATTATCACCACGCTTACACTTCTATAACAAAACAAGCGGTTGGCATACACGATACGCCGAGATTCTGTAAGATATGGATAGGGAACAGGGAAAATCGATAGGGCTCAACCTCTCATTGTCCCAATGCCTCACATCGAATATGAAACTGTAGCCTATATCGCGTGCACAAGGTTTTTGGCAAAGTTTGGTAACTTGATGGGGTTTGTCGCCTCATGACCCCAAATACTTCACATCAAATGTGAAAAAATAAAACACGGTTAAAACGCAAGCCCCTGTCGCTGCCACAAGGTTTTCGAGGGGGCTTAACTCCGGAACAGAAGGTCGCGGAATACTGATTATCGACATGATTCTTGCTTCCGTGTTCTTAATTCATCACAATATAATAAAGCTCACAAATTTTGTTACACTCTGTGTATGTAAGGGAATAATCCAAGCAGATGCACCAAAATCGAATTCAACCAAGATCTTTTGATCCTCAACATCTAAAACGGTCAAAAATTGAGGCCTAAATTAAAATTTGCATACTATTATTACTATAGACATTTGTATTTATAGCTGCGTATCGGTATCATTGGCAGTCCAAAGAAACGCCCAAAAGCAGACGAACCTTTACTGTAACATGCAGCTGACTACTTGCGTCAACAACAGCTTTATTTTTCGACATTTACATACAATCCACGAAATTGAATCGAAACCAAACGCATTGATTGATGATCACAATGATTGTTAATGACACACTTGCTAAATTTCCTCATGCCATCTTTTCAGATTCACAAGGATACATAACATACCATGAATCCATCTTTTCAAAGCATGAATTTTAGATTCTCCAAGCACGGATTTTTCATTTCGAGGCACGTCCGTGTCTGTAGGCACGTTAAAATAGGCCCTGTAAGATAAGATAAGATAAGATAAGATTTTATTGTATCATAACACCCATTTCAGGCCGCATACAATTCATATACATGACATAAGTAACATGACAAAAAATAAATAGCAATATACATATATATATTTATAAGAATACTAAACATAAAATACATAGGTTCATGTTAAAAGTGAAAATATCTATCAGAAACATTACTTCAAAAATGTATAGATGTCAAAAGGATAAAAAAATAAAATGTGAAGTTTTGCCTTGTAATACCTTAGTAGGTCGAGGCTTGATTTCTACGTTGAAATGCTTTATATATATAATGGCATACACTCACAGAAACTGAAGGGGGAGGGTCAAATAGATTTTCAAACGTTATGGCCAAATTGTTGTTACTGAATGTAGCAGAAAGAATATTTAGCCTAAGAGATTGATAGTGTGGACATTCAATTAAGAAGTGAAATTCGGTTTCTGCTTTAGAGAGGGAACAGAGTGCACATAGTCTCATATCAGGGGGGACGTTCTTGTACCGGCCCCTCTCTATTTCTAGTTTATGGGAACTCAATCGTAGTGCGGTCATAGCAGACTTGAAGTTTTTATTGTGTACATGAAGCAAATAATTAGCTGGATAGTCTATAGTAGGTTTTACAGTGCCGTAAGTTCTAAGTTTTGAATTGCCAGAAATATATTCGGTTTTATAAATAGTATTGAATTGGGACCTTATGGCCGTTTGAATGTTAGATTTTGAAAGTTGCAAGGGAGATAAGTTGAACTGGTCCATGAGGGAGGATATTGCTGCTGACCATGATAATTTGGGATTTGATTTGCCTATTTCTACATCTTCCACATATGCGGCGGATAGTAAAGGATTTGTACGTTTTATGTCGGGTGTATTTAATCTTTTATAAAATAGCAACATTCGTTGGTAAATATCAATTTGAATTGGGAAGATACCTAGTTCAGCCAATGATCCTATATGTTTGATGATTTTTTGGGTTGGAGTAAAATGAATTTGCAAGTTTTTATTGTGATTTTATTATGCTCCACATAGTTCCATTTGTGTAAATTCACATTTCTGCTATGTACTATTTGCGACCCCCATACATCACAGGGCTATTTGTTTCACCACTGCTTCATACAGTCTTATGAGTACTTCGGTTGGCAGGTGATCATCGGTGCACACTTTCTGACGGATACCAAACCATGACCTCCTAGCCTTTTTACTTAATTCATTTATCGCACTTTTGAAGGATGCGTTATTCGTACTATAGACTCCCAAATATAGATATTCATCAGTAGTTTGGAGCAGTTGATTGTTAAAAAAGAATTTCAATTGGGATTTGTTTTTCAGACTTATCTTATTGTTATTAAAAAGCATCACTTTCGTTTTTGCAGAGTTAATATTAAGTTTCCAATCAGTGCAAAAAGAGTTGAGACATACAAGACAATTTTAAAGACCGACAGATGATGTTGATAACAGAACAAGATCATCTGCAAAAAGAATATGAGATATTTCATGCGAGTCAAGATCTGGGCTGTCAAAATTTAAATTAAATGTATTTAAACAAGTTTGCAGGTCGTTTAGATATATATTGAATAAAGTCGGGCTAAGGACACATCCTTGTTTCACACCCAAGGACGATTCTATATTTTTTGACAGACCATCTAAGGTTTTCACAGTATAAGAAGTATAGTTATACAGAGATCTAATTAGACTGAAAACTTTCCCATTGATATTATGCTGAAGTAATTTGAGCAACAAGCCCTTTCTCCAAACTGAATCAAAGGCTTTAGAGAAGTCGACGAAGCATAAGAACAAATCAGTTTTTTCCTTCTTACATTTATTAATCAAGGTTTTTAAAATAAAGACGTTATCAACAGTTCTATGATTTTTACGAAATCCGCACTGTGCATCATCTATGACATTATTATCCTCAAGGAAGTTTGTAAGTCTCTGATTTATGATTGACAAAACGCATTTGCTTAGACAGCTAGCTAGAGCTATCCCTCTATAATTGTTGGGGTCATTCTTATCTCCTTTTTTATGAATGGGAACAATAAAGGAATTTTTCCAAGATTGGGGCAAGATCCCCGTTGAAAGAATTAGATTAAATAATTTCAAGTAGTGATCTAACATGATTTCCTGTGACATGAGTAACATTTCATTTAGTATGAGGTCAGGCCCACCAGATTTGTTTCTTTTAAGGCTCGAAAAGGCTGTTCTCACTTCATCGGCAGAGACTGGGTTGTTTAGGGATGTATTTTCTGCATTAGAATCTAGCAAAGTTTTAATTAAGGTTTCCGTTTTATCATCATTAGTGGTTGGGGAGTTGTTTTGAAAAAGACTTGTGAAATGATTTTGCCAGTCATCCAGTTTAATATTACTATCTTCTGTTTGCTTATTTTGAATAAGAGAGTTCACAAGATCCCAATATTCCCTTGGATTATTAGATTCAAGTTCAGCGAGTTTTTTGAGGATAACATTTTATGAACTATTGTTTCACACAATGCTCCCAAACGCAAAAAATATCGGCCCGTGTGCAAAAAAAAAATTGCACGAGATGCACATGAAAAACCCAATTCACAAAAACTCGTATAACAAAATGATCCTGTAAACATATCTTATTTATTTTGCTTCTTATTGTGAACAATATTCAAATGGGAATAACAACACATTTGTACACTTAGGCCTATGGATGTTTAATCTGTAATCAACGGTACAAAGTCAGAGGGGTCAAAACCAAAAGTACGACACAGATGTCAGTAGCGCGTGTGTCCTCCACGGGCTCTTACGCACGCTGTGCAGCGACGTCGCCTGGAATTAACCAATGTTTGAAAGAAGGCCTGGGGCAAATTGTTCCATTCTTGGACAAGAGCAGCTTCTAAAGCAGCAATGGTGTGCATCTGTGGTCTCCGATACAGACGGCCTCCAATCTCATCCCAGACATGTTCTATCGGTGCAATGTCCAGAGGCGAATTCAATGGGGGCGCGAGGGGCGCCTCCCCCCCCCCCCCCTAATTTTCGACAGTGTCCTTTTTTTCTGCTGAAAGTGCCTTTTCTCAGACTCAAATATGTCCGTTCCCAACCCGTTGTAGGGATCCCAAATGACTCAAACCATCGACTCAAACACACCAGTCTGGGAATAATAGCCCTTGGATTGGCTACAGGTGCAAGGAAATGACGGATAATTTTCTTGGCCCCCCCCCCCTCAGCGGCGTGCCCCGTCTCCGCGGTCAATTCCTTCATTTTGCAGTGCCCCCCCCCCCTTTTCAAAATTCCTAGATCCGCCCCTGATGTCTGGAGACATGGCTGGCCAGTCCAAGACATTGATGTTGTTAGCAGCCCGGTAGTCCATACTAAAACGGGCGGTATGCGGACGTGCATTATCCTGTTGGAAGTGCTGAAGTTGTGGGTGCGCTCAAAACATCGGAACAACAATTGGTTGCAAGACATCATCACGGTAGGCTACAGCATTAACGCGACCCCTGCAAATGTGTACGGCGGTCCGGTGATGAAATGTGAAGCCTCCCACACCATTACACTTCCCCCACCCCATCGATTCGTTTCGAAGACACAGCAGTCTGCATGACGTTCCCCAAGACATCTCCACACACGTTGACGGCCATCAGCGTGATAAAGACGAAAGCGACTCTCATCATTGAAGAGCACACTTTGCCAGTCTACTCTTCTCCATGTCTGGTGTCCTTGAGCCCATATCAAACGCCGCTGACGGTGATGATCCCTGAGGATAGCTCCAACACAAGGTCGTCGTGCACGGAGTCCTACTTCTCTTAGACGACGTCTTACGGTGTTGGCACTTACTGGTCCTTGTCTTCCGACGGCTGCTGCACCTGTTCGAGTCGCTGGGCGGAATCTGTAACGCAGATGAGTGACCCGGGTGTAGGGGTCTTGAGCCTGGGTTGTAACGCGTTGTGGACCAGGACGTTGACGGGCACGTGTTGATCCAGTAACTCGAACACGTTCCACCAACCTTACAATAGTGGACTGATGACAATTGAAATGGCAATAGCACGTGTAGACATGCCAGCCCTGGACATTCCCATGACTTCATTCCGTTGATTTTCAGTAAGTCTCGGCATCTCTAGCTCGATTCCTTCACACGTCCAACAACAAATTACGACAGATTGACGTTTCACAGTTCATGTACTGCACATTAAGTTGAAAACATGCTTTTAAAGGGCTCACACACAATGCTGCACGTGGATATTGGGTTTTTCATGTGCATCTCGTGCAATTTTTTTTTTTTTCCACGCGGGCCGATATTTTTTGCGTTTGGGAGCATTGTGTGAAACAATAGTTCAAAGTATTGCATAATATTATACATACAAAACCACCTAGTAATAAAATATTTGGGAAAAAAAGTGATGCGTTTTCCATGGCGCTCAGTACTTTTAAGATAACCCTTGGATATGAAATTCACATTGTTGCAAAACTAGGTATTTGATTGGTCCCTAACCGGAAATACTCCAGTACAAACGATTACAATATAACCCTTTCGGTGCAATTTCCATTTATCTTGGATATCAGCTCAATTACTTAACCAGCGGCTGCCAGGCAGGATACGCCCACATTTTCGAGAGATGGATAGAGAACAAGCTAAAAAGAAAGCGATTTTTCGTACAATCAGGGGCCATAATTCAGGAAGTTACGTTCCGATATGTGCGAATATCGAAAGTAACCGAGATCTTTGAGTTATAAACTTACATTTCAAGTTTATCAAAATAGGATTAAAATTTTGACCTCTATAGGGTCCACAACCTTGATATACCATATTTTTTACGCTATTTGAGAACGAAGGGCGGCCATTTTGTCTGTCAGTTTTGGGCCGATTTTCACGAAATTCGAACTCAGTCGTACTTAGGGTGTAACGGTGATATAATAATATGGTTTTTTAAATCGGATAAAAATTATGACCTCTAGAGTCCAGAAGCTAAAAACGCGATTTTTCGTACAATCAGGGGCCATAATTCAGGAAGTTACGGTCCGATATGCGCGAATATCGAAAGGAACTGAGATCTTTGGGTTATAAGCATACATTTCAAGTTTAAACCAAATCGGATAAAAATTGTGACCTCTACAGTGTTCACAAGCTAAAAACGTGATTTTTCGTATAATCAGAGGCCATAATCCATGAAGTTACAGTCCGATACATGCCAATATCAAAAGGAACCGAGATCTTAGGGTGATAAACCTATATTTCAAGTTTAATTGAAATCGGATAAAAATTGTGACCTGTAGACTGTTCACACAATTGTGGACGGACGGACGGACAGGGGCGATAATGTACCGATGCCGGTACTTCCACATGAAAATGTGGGCGTATAAAAATTTCAACTGTATTTGCTGGCATTCGAAACTTTATAATAAATACGCTTTGGAAAGAATGAGCCGCAAGGCTGCCGTTCAGGCACAATTTTTCCTAAAGTCATACTACATGTTTCAAACCCATCTTCATCAGCCTGGTTGGTGCAGCTAATGTCAATATTGTTGAAAATCAATTGGAAACTGATTAAATTTCAAGTCAAACAGATTATACTAATTTCAGTCTTTTCTAAATGGTGGTGAACTAAAGTTATTTCCCTTTAACTTCTCCATAATTTTCCAGGTTAGTCCCAGCCATTTCAAGACTAAAATGGCAGTCATTAAGTAATGGTTTTCCACAGTAGGATACCGAGAAGGTAGAGAAAACCAAATGTCCCATGTTTCAATGACCCAACTCTTATCACTTGAACTAGTTCATCTTGGCGACTTTTTAGTTATCTACCTAAGGCAGAAACATTTCAGGTCTACTCTTTTGCATCGTTTAAATGTAAATTATCATTACTTTGTTCAGGTTTCAAGTTTTGAGCTGGTCTACCTACATGGTTCAGAATCTTTCATCTAGTGTATACCAAAGCCACATACATGGAGAATCTGTCTAACTATTTTCTCTATAGCAAATTTGTAGCAAAATGGCATTTTTGTCCATTACTAGTGCTATACAATTACAGATTTTTAAAACAGTTCCTGCCTCTGGCCCACTAGCATTATTTTTTATATGTTTTGTTCTAATGTTGATCTATTTAACTTACATATTGGGTAAGAAAATGGTGAATATGGCCACAGTTGACAAGACTCTAATATATATGACTCTGGAGTACACAAGCTAAAGTTAACAAATCTAGCTGCAGTTGGACTAATTTACAACAGTCAATTGGGATATTTCATTTTACCCGTTAGCATCGTTTTAGAAATCGAAGACATTAATTCTTAAATTTTTGGGCTATTCAACTCACAATATGATTACATGCTGAATACTTAAAATTTGCATTTAAGGGTAATGAGATTTAGCATCAACAGAACCATGCAAGTTTGGACCTTAGGAGGACAACTTGTGAAAACACACAAATTTAAGAGTGAAAAACAAGAACACAATTAATGGGTGTATAAAATATATTATCTATACAGAGATAAAATTATTTCACACATTAGTCAAAGAGACCGAAACCCATGTCTTCATCAGATTCAGATTCTGGCTCTGGTTTCTTGGCAGCTTTTTCTGAAAAAGAAAATCAGTTTTAATCTTTAATAACTGTTCAATTCAAACAAAACATGAATATACACAAAATATATACATTTAAAAGATAGTTGCATGCAACCAATTATAAGTTTGATAAGTATGAACAATTTTAGGATATGACTAATAATTAAGTTAAAGTTTCCCTATTCTGTTCCTACACATTTGTTACTGTAATTGCTTGAAATCAGTGAGAGATTACTCTTTGAAATGGTACCAAAACAAATGAGTAATTGTTCTTCCATGAGCATGTGTTATAGTATATTTATCCTGTGTTAAATAAATCATCCATATCAGATAGGTCTCATCAGCTGAATTTTACGCAAGGGGTTGCAGAGATACAGGCATTTTAGCTGATTCAACATTTTACAGTAGAGCCATTCGGCCAATTTAAGATCTAAGAATTTTACTGTGTTAGATTTTTTGTTTCGCAATAGTAATATATACTAATTGAAAATATACTAATTCAAAGTTGTCAATTTAATAATTTCAACCCCTAAAAAAGGAGGAAGAAAAGATATTTTATCAATATAAAAGAATGTATTTTACAACTAGGAGGAAATATTTTCTAAACCATTTCAAAGGATCGAAATATAACTGATTCTTTTGCCGATAAATAGAGTATAATGGATTGATTTCATTAGACTACCCAAGAGAACCACATTTACCAATAGTACAAGAACAAAGAACAGAACAAAACACTATTTGCATAAAGGATGCGGAAGTGACCAAGAACCTTAAGAGATTACAAAAGTTAATTTACTAAAAGAATGAGGATGTATAAAAATATTTATAAATCTTGGTCACTTCACAAAGATGGGTTGCCAGGAAACGAAACCTACGCCCACAGCAGCTAGATCATCCGAGCAGTCGACAATTGTTGTCGTATATTTATTCTTTTGTAGGTAATTGGGGGAATTTACAAGACAATTTCATACAGATGAGATTATAATTTTTGTTGAGGGTTCACAAGGTTCTACACACTGGAATTGTTGAAATTTGACAGGCTTTTTTGTTTTACTAATTTAAATAATGCATATAAATTTCATACAGATCAGATGATAACTTGTCATTCAAACATTCACAAGGTTCACAAAGTAAAACAAGAGCCATAAATGTAGAAGTAATTGACGGAAATTGCCAAAATTTCACTATGGTACTCTAAATGACGCATATAAATTTCATACAGATCGAATGGTAACATTTTTTGGTCGAGCATTGACAAGGTTAACAAAGTGAAACAAGGGCCATAACTCTAGACGTAATTAATTGGATCCTTCATCTTATTAATGTAAACATATATCAATTTTAAAACAATCAGATGATAACTTTTGTTGTTAGAGAGGTCACAAGAAATGGTGGACGACGGATGGGGGTGACGTCAATATAAGTCCACATTTTAATGTGGGCGTATAAAAATAGAAATCTATGCACCAGTCCCTTTAAACCAGAGTATAAATAAATATATACATCAAAAGTCCATAAACTTACTTCCTCCTTTAATAAAATAGATAAATAAAATGACATGAATGATTTGACATTTATGTGATTAAAAAAATATATAATACTTAGAAAGGGAAAAAAGTCATGTGGATTTTCACAATTGGTATACTGTTCCATTAATTTGCCCAAGCACAGTTTTTAATCAGTGGCAGGAGATCCTAATCTTTGTCATGTATGTGCACACTTATGATTGAACTCATGGCTTGAACAGATGACAGGCCTGAAATCACCGCTTAGGTCCTTTTGAAGATTATGCCACATAAATGGATAAGTTTTCTTGAAAGGATTTTTAAATCCTGTATAGCATACCTTCTTTAGCGGCTTCTGGTGCAGCTGTTCCAGCAGCGGGTGCAGCACCACCACCACCTGATGGAACAGAGGCAAGCTTCTTTTGTCCTGAAATAAAATACCATGTTAGCAGAACCTAACGTAATATCTGATTTGACTAAAATACTAGGTGAATGTGGCTTTTTGCTGGATTTTGGCAGGACATTCACAGATAAAAAAAAATAAACTGCTAACCAAGGTCATAACTACTTTACAATAAAACATGGGCACAGGCGCTAAAAATCAAGGGGTGTGTTAACAGCACATTCAGAATTGCAAGAATAAAGCGTATTTATCAAACAGGACCCATGGAGGACCAAGAAAGTATCTCCCATGAGCGGTGCAAGACAGGGAGAAAAAACCTAGAAAGATAGTGCCAGGCTGTTCCTTGTACATGTAAAAGAACATATATGATGGGTACCGGTACATGGAAATGTTGCTATCCAGACAAAATTAGTTACAATGGCCAGCTGTTCAATATGATGAAAAATAGATTCCTTGGATGGAATTTGACAAGTATTTGGAAATGTTATTCAGACAAAATTATCCCCATAGCACACTGCATGATTTATGTCGGTGCAGAAAAGTTGGACTTTAGAGCCCATTTCATTTCATTTCCCTATTACAAGGATTTACAATCATTTATAAAACTGCTACATTTTCATTGCATCAGTAAAAATTTTACCTTCAGCAATTAGATCTTCAAGTTTTTTCCCTTTTAATTCATCAACAACTTTTTTAAGTTTGTCAGCTTCACTTTCAATACCCACACTACCCAGAATCTTTTCAATATCTGCAGATGTTGGATTGTCTTTACCCCCGAGGGTAGCAAGTAGGTAGGCGGCTACGTAACGCATTCTGAAAACATTATGGAATAACAAGTAAAATAAAATGTACAGAAAAACACTAACATCCATGGCATTAGTTTAGCCTAACTAACAGTGCTATGCTAAAATGGTGTCTACACAACAAAGGTCATGTCAAACTGGCATTCACATTGTACCTTTTCATTAATTTGTTTGAACTCAAATAGACCGCATAAGAACAGCATCGAGTTCGGCATGACATTAACCTGGCAATAAGCATTACGTAACATTGTTACACTTTTACAGTGTTAGTAATCTATTTTGAACTTGAAACAAATTATTTGATGAATCAATTTCGCAGGATGTGATAAATACAGTTCACAATGACCCCACTCACTAGCTAAATACACCATCAGTAGTGGTGGCAACCCTATGAATACTGTGATCTAGCATCTGCTGCACTGCAGGATGCAATGCAATGCCAATTGAACTAATTTCGACAGATTTAGTCAAAGCAAATATGAATTAAAAGGAATATTTTGCCGTCATCCCTTTAAGCGTCATGTTCCAATTGTCGTTCACACTTTAATTTCTCGAGTAAAATTCAATTTTGAGGTCCAATTTTTAACTGGTGATTGAACAGTCGGCACAGAGCAAGCAATGTGAATGTTCAAGTCGAACACGTGGTCTTAGTAATAGGCTATACTGGCGTGCGGATTTTATTTTCATTTATAAATCTAAAACATTAACTCTCTATAATTCAATATGCATTTTTATTCAAGCATGTTTATTGCTGATAAATTAAGATTATTTGACGATGAATATTGTTGTTCAGAACGCTTACTTTTAAGTCTTCTTTGAGACACGAAACGTTAACACGCTTTATGTTAAAGTTTAATGGCGGAAAGGCTGAAACGAGGCTCGACCACGTGACTAGTTCACATTTATTGAGTTGTATATAAGTACAGGCATTCGATTAAACAAGCGGACGTAAAATTACAACTAAGTAAGAATTAAACAAGAGTGAAATTTATTTCAACGGACAGCGGGTCGATTGTCTGTAAAACAATTCGTCATAAAATCATAAACTAATCACATTATATACATCTAAAAGTTATCCAAAAGTGTAATCAGGGTAAAACAAAATATCTATAGGGATCAATTCCAAATCATCATTTATATACAACGTGTAGTGTTCATAGAGCGACTAGCATAATCTTGACTGAAAAGTCGAGCCTTCTTCTATCCAGTCATTTGTCGTGCATTACAGAGACAATGGCCGATAGGTTGACACAGTTGCAGGATGCTGTGAACCAAGTAAGGAGCTTGCTGACAGAATGACAGTTTTTGTAACCCCAACGTGAACAATTGAAATACTTATTAATTCGCCTAACATCTTTTTTTTTTCAGCAAGCAGACCATTTCTGTAACAGTATTGGTGTTATTCAACAGTGTGCACCAGCCAGTCCATTTCCAGGATTTGAAAGATCTGGTGGTAAAAGTTCTCCATCTCCACCTCAAGAAGGTTGGTTTCCTTTCTACTCAACGATAGTAAATATTTTTACAAAATCACAAAATGATATATTGACGATTGTGACTGGGAAATATACTCTAGATATTTGAATCCTGGTTCCAAATTGTCTTTGGGTAGTTCTTGTGGAGCTAACAACTAAGGAAACGTACACTTATTACTAGTGTATTAGTATTACTATTAGTGCAGGGTATCACGATTCATAACCAGGTCAATATTTACCAAGAAAACAATAGAATAAATGAATAATTGATGTTTTTAGTCCTGCCGGTGGCGAAGAAATAAAACTGTTTTATATCACGATATTGAATTTGATGTAGTTCAAAATAGGGACCAAAACAATTTAAGGGTGTTTTTGTACCTATAGATAATGATAATGTGTGACATGGATAATTAAGAGTGACAGGGGAGTTACTGAAGCGACAAAAAAACATAAAAAAAAGAATCGCGAGATGCTAAATCGATGTATCGTGAGAAGGTGAATTGCAAAACATCGATTCAACGATATATCGTGCCCACACTAGTACATATTAATGTGCACTTTAAAGCAGCCTTTACACTGCTTTGGTATAACTTTATGCCCAATATAGGTTTAACTGGTACTGGTAGATTACAAATATGTCTACATTGTAAGTTTGGCCTATTTACAACGTATATACATTCATACTATATTTCAGATTATGCTGTTTTGTTTGCAAAACTAATAGCTAGAACTGCCAAAGACATAGATGTACTGATTGATTCCCTCCCCAGTGATGAATCAAACTTAGAACTTCAGGTTTGTACAGGACACAAGCAAATAATCAAATGCAAGCAATTTTAATCAAACGATCCTGGCCAGCCCATTTTCTTCCTTTCATTAAAGATGCATTACCGGTATGGAAGAGTGAAATCTGCCTGTTGCAGGTCTTTATTTTGGCTTTAAATGTTACATAAATAATTATTTAGACATTTATCCACACAACATGCTTGTAATCAACTCTAGACTATCAGATGGCAGAGTTTTAAACGGATTGAAACATGATCGCCATTTAATGAATTAATTTAAAAATGGTGAATCGAGACTTAGTGTCAATTAACAAGTACTACGATAATAAACAATCTAAGCCACATCTTGTCAAAACTTCAAACAGTCATAACTTTGCTCTAAATAAAGTAATTTTCAATGTACCGGTATTCATTTGCATTATCTATTTTTGAACAATTATAGCAAGAACAGCCAGTTCTTTATCGAAACAGTAGGACGTTACACCCCATTTCATTTCTTTATCTAAATCTTACATAATGCATCTTATAAAGTTTTATTTTAAAGGACCACAAGTAGATAACATAGCCATAGCCGGTGATGAAGATGGGATCGCTTTGATTTTGGTCATATATGTGTCTATCAATTTGGATTTTAAGTGTTGATTTGCTGTGTAAATTCAAAAACTTTGTAAAATATTTTATGTCCATATGTAAAGCCAATTTTGAAATATGACCATTTTTTTGTGTTAAACTGTTAACAGTATAGGTATGGAAAAAAGGAAACCCCCATTTGCAAACAGGTCAACTTTAATTAAACCAATTCTAGCAAAATGGAAATGTATGCTGTAATTTTCCTCTCATTTAAATGGAATATTGAAAAGGAATTAGTCAAACTCACCAGGTGTTTTTTTTTTAAAGGAAACACTGGGTTGATGTATCATGAATGATGGTAGCTTGGAAGGCAGTGGCGGTTATTAAAACAGTTATGCCTTAATATCCAAGGAATTTTAAGATCTCAAATTTGAAATGTTGGTCATTTAAAGTGTAAGATTACAATTTGACAATGGATTTGAGCAAATAGAAATTTTGATATGACTTAACCTGCTTTTGGTCTCCATCTCCAGTTTTCTTTCACAGCTAGGTCAAGGGTTGTTTTACAAGGTCAAATTCGTGGTTACTTGAATTCATATTTCATAAACAAATTATTAACCTCTTATGCACAAAATAAAGTTTTGCAGATGCTTTAAACGTCAATTTTATTTCATTTCACGCATAAATTATCTTGATACCTAAACAGAATATATGAATAAACTATAATAATGTTTATATCAACTTTATTGTATTTCAGATTGCAAGTTTGAAAACACTAGAACAAGAAAATCAAGAGTCTGCACGTAAACTTGAAGATATAGTACATCATGGAGAAACTTTATTATTACAAATACAAGCAGCATTACATGATATAGCCCAGTCACAGTTAAACTGTCAGGCTATGATGTCAGGACAAGAAAACACCCCACCTTGAGTTATGCAATTGTTTACGTGCATTTTTCGAACAATATCCAATGTCACTGCTTAATCCATGTTGAAATATACTGAAATTGATTAACAAGAAAACCAAAACCAAAATATCAATGCTAGATAATCCTACGGTTTGGATTTAACTGGATTTAAAGGAGACCCATCAAAATATGCCACCAACACTTCATGGGGAAACTGGCTTGTTTATATTTTGTGTATAGAATACCCGATGTTGCAGAAGTTTCAATTCATCTTATCTTTGTAAATGCGGAACAGAATTGAACCATTTTCGGGCTGATATACCGTTTAGAAATTCAATTTTCACATTTTTGTAGTTTGCAAGCGATTTCATTGGTATTTTGATTGTGATCTACATACTGTTACATGTATTAGACATTATTTTCACTTTCAAATTTTGATAGATGAATAGAACAAAATTATTTTTTAACCATGTAATTATTATGGTGTCACATGTTTCTTCTATATCTCACTCATAAGTATTTATATTCATCTAAGTGCAGTACTTGGTGTAATATAGCCTGGTTGTTGATAAGTGCCATTAAACACCATTCATCCATTCACTGATTTATACTGCATTGTACTGTAAATCCCAAATAAAAACAATTATTTTGTAAAGCATCGTGTGGGAGCTGTGTACATTTTTACTAGCCATAAGGGCTTACTTACTGCCATATCATCCATTACCCATTGTATCTAATTTATAGATATTATACTGATTATGTCAATATTAAACTATTGTTTGTAAAACATGATAATGCCATTCAGAGTTCAAACGCAGATTCAGGATTTATTGGAAGATGTGGAGGACTATGCAACAAAATTTCACATAAAGTGAATCATAGTTTCTTTTATTATAAAGTTTAACATACCCATGGCATCTCGTATCAAAAAGGATTTCTTTAAATAATTTAGTGACGCAGAGGGTGCATTTGCTGCATACTATGTTGACTTATAACACACTAACTGGAGAAAAAGGTTCCGGGGGTTGCTGCTTTCGGTAGGCCTCTGGTTTTGGCGACCCAAGGCATCAGCCTTTAGGACAATACGACATTGGTGGGGGAACCATTCAGAAAGAGTCTGTTTACTTTTTAAAACACTGACTGTTTCCCAAAGCTTTTCAATCTGTCTTTGAAGTTTTTTCTAATGGTTTCCTAATTGATGATACTATGCCATACTGATATCTGATATCATAAAACAGAAAATGAATTCTAAAATACATATTTAAATATTGTTTTAAATGTGTTTGGATATTGTCTGATAATTTCCAATGTCAATGATGCATGTTATTTGTATGGGTTAGTTAGTTCTTGGTGTTTAACATCTGCTTCCACATAAGTGATATCACAGACATGACATAGGAGAGCCGAAGCCGATTCCTGTTTTTTAGAATATGATTTTGCAATCTTTCCATTTGGCCTTAGGCCATGGATTTGGTTTAGTGGGAAGTTCTTCCCTTTATTTAATATAAAACATATCGTTTGGTAGATGATCTCGTCTGCTTCTGGATTGGTAGTTAGTTTGGGGTTAGTGTTTAGGTGCCAGGCCCGTCTTATTGTGGCCTCCCCTTACTCCACTATCCCACTCTCTGGGTTTGGTATCAGTTTTATTTGCGGAATAGTGTTTAGGTGCCGAGTTCGTCTGACCGTAACTCCCCCTTACTCCACTATCCTGCTAGTTTGGTAGATGTCATCTTTGTGGGGTTTGTGTTTAGGTGCCAGGCCCGTCTTATCGTGACCTCCCCTTACTCCACCATCCCACTCTGTAGGTTTGGTGTGTGTTTTTGGTGGAATAGTGTTTAGATGCCGAGTCCGTCTGGTCGTGACTCCCTCTTACTCCACTATCCTGCCAGTTTGGTATAAATCCCCTATGTAGTTTAGTGTTTAGATGCCGGGCCCGTCTAACCGTGACCCCCTCTTACTTCACTATTCTACTTCGTCCAACTGTGTCCATTAGGGCGTGGATTTGTTCGAAGATTTGCAGTTTCAGATCTGGTCTCGGGAAGAGTAGGTTCTTAGTGTTGAATGGTATGTTGTTGGTCTCCATTGTTCTCACTAGTTGCCTTCTCTCCTCCTCATATACCTCGCAGTCTACCAGGACATGGTTGGTGGTACATTCTTCTCCGCACTCACAGATGATGACTTGGTGTTTGTAGTCTCCACACGAGTTCTACTTTGCTTCCCTTCTCTAAAACCTTCTGGTACAGCTGCCTGATTTCCAAAATGACTTCTGGTCTTGAGTCCGAGTTGTCATTTTGGATTGAAATCAGACTGCTCAGAGAGTCGCTTGGAATGACGAACTTACTAGTCTTTTGATGGGAAATCCATGATATAGCGTCACGAATGGCCACAAGCTCTGCAGTGTACACCGAACAGTTATTGGGAAGTTTCCTGCTTATTCCCTGTTCCCCGTTTGGCAGGTATATTCCAAACGAGCTGGTGCCCCTTTCAGGATTGCATGAGCCATCCGTGTACACATGGTCCCAGTCATCAGACGGCCAGTTGTCTTCCAGGTGTTCTAGAGAGAAAGCACGTGCAGCAGTGGGGTTGCTTTTCTTGTCGGTTTTCTGTAGTAGATCTAGATTAACCGGCGGTGTAGGGAGCGTCCAAGGGGCGATCGCTGGGGGGTCGTTTTCATTTATCACGAGATCCCCCAGTCGCAGTTCCTTGATTGTTTCCTTGATACCCTGGCCGAAGAAAGAAACTTTATATATTCTAAACTTCATACACCAATCTATACACATGTATTATTTATGTGGCAATCCGCATAAAAGGCATTTGGAATGAAAATTGATCTCTTTAAGCTTCAACATCAAGGGTGGATCTAGTAAGGGCACACCCCCTCGATTGAAAAGTTCTATTATAAATCGTTATTTTATAATAAGATTCTTGTCTCAGATCACTAGAAATAACATTTCCAGGCTTTTAGTTTTTTAAATTTTCTGGGGGAGGCCACCTGGTCCCCTTGTGCAGTTAGCGCCTTTAGTGTTCGCAGCTATGGCTTCACCGCCCGTGCGCCCCTGCTATCTATTGTCTTTGGATGCACCCTTGAACATCATCTTGTGTAGATCAAACAATGCATGTAGACAATTATATTTTCATAATACAAAATAATTCCATTCCAAGATATACATTTCTTTTCATGCAATATATATTCTGTAAAACATCCATGTAATGTGTCTTGTATTAAGTTTGTATTGAAATTTGTTTAATAAATTTATATTCTCTAACATCTTCGTTTAATATAGATTTTAAACATGGCTCGTTATGAAAGTTGTTGACGTCGTTTTTTATTGTTATGAGCTGGAAAGCCCAAGAATTTTTTAGTAAGGCTGGTAAAAACAGAATGGTGAAAATGGATACATGTATATAGGTTCCGTAGGCGTAACGGGGTGTCATTTTGATCTGAGTTGTCTTTCCCACTTTTCTTGTGAAATTTCAATTAGGCTCAAAAATAGAACTAAAAGGTGTATTATTATTTATTATTAACTTAGCTAGGTTAGGGAGGGCTTAATTTTGAACAGATTTATTGCTAAGTAATATTTGTGTATGAATTACTATAAACCGTCCATGGATCTTACAAGTTTATTTAATTTTCCGACAAAATGTGTGGTCTGTGGCTAAACTCACAGAAACTTGAGTAGTAGTAGTAGTAGGCCCTAGCCTTTGGAAAACTCCAGTCCAGTACAAACAAGTGGGGAGTGCATGTATCATGTAATGTTAGCTACGAGAACGTAGCTAAAAACGTTGAGATATACTGATGTGTCGAAACACGGAGGGTTGAGAAATTAAGGTTTGTTATCTACATGTAATGTATGTCACGAGTAAATCATTGACTTTAGAGGGTTTGATTTCAACAGTATTATTTGTGTATTAAACCGTCCATGGACCTTACAATACACAAAGTTAATGTAATTTTCTGACAAAATGTATGGTCTGTGGCTAAACTCACTGAAAGTTGACGTAGGCCTTCTGTAGCCTTTGGAAAACTCCAGTACAATAAGTGGGAGAGCGTGTACGTCACGAGTAAAATCATTGGCTAAATGACAAACAAGCAATCCCCAGAATGACGCGATCAATTGCGGATGAATACATTATTCTCATTCTGCGATATAGTCCGAAATACTTTTCAACATAAAAATATATGTTATGGAATCTAGTATACTTTGAATTACGAAATCGGAACGCAAAGGCATACTGTTTAATTAAAAATCGCACAAGTCAGTTGTTTGGCATTAGCAGAATTTTCGCAATTAAGAATTTATGCGTAGTATTTAGAGCACTACTTTTTTTTAAGTCTCTACGCCAATGGCCGCCATCTTGAGTGATAAGTGAGGGACGGTCATCTACGAAGCCACCGACATTAAATACTGAGGAATAAAAACAACAAGAGGAACTGGTGCATCCAGAGAGCAACAACCCTAGCGTTCGGCTATGGCGCAAATTCTTCCGATTCGTTTTCAAGAGCACCTGCAGGTAAGAATTAGTTGACCGGCACATTCATCGGTTATATTATTCTTTTACACGCCCCTATAATAATATGGCCGACAGGTACGGCATTTTCGAATGATTATATTAGACAATTTTATGTGTTGAAATATGATCAACATGGGCCAATTATTTCACTAAACATTACTTGTTAGGTGGGCACATATTACATTTTATTTCGCTGTTGTTTTAGTTGTTTTTTTAAGCTGTCAAATTACCGGTATGCTGATGACTTGGCAGTTGAAACAGGAACCGGAAATTATAGAATACTAACTGCTCAACATTTCCCATTATCTTTATCTTTTCTCTTGTAAAAACCTTAAATGTTATTAGATTTGCCATGGATCTTGCAACATGTGTAGTCTAATTTATATCCTGCTAGTGAAGATATAAAGGCAAGAAAGAAGAAGGAATCAATCATTGACCCATCACTGTGGGAAATTTATCTGCATTGATTACTATTAGACCTATATCCTCAGTATCCTGCATCAAATTTACAATATATATTTATTTCTAACATAAAACATGATAATTTGTCCCCTATTTTAAGTATTTCTATAATATTATTTTATTTAAACATTCCGCTTATTATGGATTGATAGTTGCTTAAGCTTACGACAATTTTACTATAATTTCTAAACATACGTGTATTGTCTACTAACACACTGTCATTATATTATGACTAAATCTCAAGTTATCAATAATATTAATATAAAGTGTTTGTCCGTTGTAAAGGATTTTGCATAATTAGTAATTTGTACAGTTTTTATGTTATTTCAAATGCAAGCTCACTTCAAATCGGGTTAATACTGTAATGGGACATCTGAACTTGAAAGATGCTTATTTATAGGTCAGGAAGACATGTCATCAGGGGGGTGGAGTCCCTGTCTGCTTTATATACTTATTAAATTACTTGCAGCCTAATTCTTTTATTTGCAAAACCTATTAAGTTAGTTTTTATCTGAGTTCATATTTTTAATAAAATTTATCAAGGGTTAGTTAGACATGTATTTATTGTACTAAGTTTATTTATAGAACTATAGGGTGACCTTAATTCTTGAAATTTAACCGATAGGTTGAATAGAGTGATTAGCTTATATGTCACATTGATTAAGGTACAACTGGTGTCCACTTTGACTTAGCATTTTCCTCATAAATGTAAATTATGTACATTCAATCTGTCTATTTAGGAAGTTCATTAGTCCATATTTATCAAATTTCATGAATAGTTTGACTTTAGTTTCATTTATGCAGTTTAAGTATTAATGTGTTAAACATACAGCTTTTTATTTTAATTTTAAAAGCTTATTTATTTGAAATTATTTGCAATGGTCAATGTTTAAAATTTAATTTATTGTTCACATGAACAATACAAATTAAACACCAGTACCAGTATTGTATTTTTTGAAAAAAAAATGAATTTGAAAAAGCAGACCACTAGTATATCAATTATATAAAATGGCTGTATGCACAAATATATTTATCTTTAAATGGATTTATGAATTCTATGAAAAACAACAAATTCTGACATTGAACAATTATTTATTTAAATTGTAAACCAACTTTATTTTACTTGGGTGTTGATGATGATTTGGGAGCAGAATAACTGTAACTCTCCTCAATGGTTATCACTGAATAGTGGCATTGATTGATTTGTGAAATATCCCACTGTGAAGGCTACAATACATTGTAGAACCCGACCCTATCCTCCTCCATTCATTAAGTAAGGTTTATCCAAGTCTGTACTTGCCTTGTCTGTATAGGATCAATAATATGCCACTACTTCAGATCTGATTTCTCCTGAAAGATTGATATTTCTAATTGGTAGTTTATAGCAAAAAGCAGTCTCTTGATGTTTTATTTTTATACTGTCCGATTCCCATTTGGTTTTTAGTCAATACATTAGTCAATTTAGTGAAAGCATTGGGAAATGTAGTTTATTAATAGAATTTTTTTTCTGTTTAGGCTATATTTAAATCTATATCACATACGTTGTATGTACTTCTTCAGTTGAATTATTTTGGTATTGATTTATAGCAAAAATTGAATAGTTCATTAGCATTGCATCTGAAAATAGACTGAAAAATGTCAAGATGGTCAGCTGAAATTATTTACCTGTTCTATTTTCATCCTAATTTTTAATGTCATTTTTGGGGAAATTTATTTGTACGTTACCAAAAATAGTCTTTCCTGTCTTAAATTATTTTAAAGCAAGACATTGGTTGTCTTGGTACATGTAGCATCCTCTCCTCAAATCACATGGTTTTTGCCTTCAAGCTATTGGCTTTTATTGGGTGTTATGTCAGATTAACATAACTTAAAATCAAACCACTGTTGAGCCTAGTGTACTAATGTACATGTTATTTGACTGCATATTGTGATGTGTGCAGTTATGTCTTTTGTAGAAGTGGGCAGACATACATCAATTATTTATGTTGTTTCTTATAGTTTATTTATTCTTTTTGATCCACTTGTTAGAGATTACACAAGAATATGTCAAACTGAATTTAATTATTCAATAAAACACGTACATACATAAACATATGTTAAATAAAAACAACTACACACTTAATGATCAGTATCTACATGTATGTTAAATAAATTATTAATCAGTCCCACCCTAGCAAAAGCGACATCTGTTGCTTATTATGAATTAATTAGACAGTTCATGAATAAACAATCTGATCTAATTTCTCAAACTAATCTTAAGTTATATAATTGATTAGATTTTTAAATACATGTTCTGAATTAATATAGTCTTGTGTAGTTTCTACTATACTATAATTTATATCAAATGAAATTGTATCGGATTACAATTAAATAAGGTTTAGATATTTGGCAACTTGATTGTGTTGAAATTTTATCTACATGTATTTATATTGTATGCATATTGGTCTTTCTGTAAAAGCTATGGTACACAGTAACTTTGATTGTAAAATATGGTCTAATAAATGATGGATTTATTTTATGCATATTTAAATATAAATATTGCCAAAAGTTATCTGATTTATCACTATTTAAATACATGTAGGTACGTGTATGTGAACTGAATCATGAAATAAATCATTAGACATAGAATAAAAGTAGGCTATAAACGGAACATCAGACTGATTCTTCTAATTGTAGAACCCCAAAAGAAAATATACTGTAAAGGTTGAAAGGGGGAGGGGGTTGACCTTCATATAGAAAGCGTTGAGTTGTTAATTTTTGTTAAGAAGATATAAATGTACATGACAGCTAAATCTGATCTTAGTTTCTGTATTATTGAATTTTATTTCCAGCTCCAAAATGTGGGTATCAATGCAGCAACGATTGGGTTCAGTACCCTCACTATGGAATCAGATAAATTTATCTGTGTGCGAGAGAAGGTTGGTGAAACAGCTCAAGTTGTTATTATTGATATGAATGATACAGCCAACCCAATTAGACGACCTATATCAGCTGATTCAGCTATTATGAACCCAACCAGTAAAGTTATTGCTCTCAAAGGTAATTAGGTTTTTTAATCTTTAATTTTGTGTACCGAAGATACAATTAAATTTAAAGTCTATTGTAAACTACAAATATTCCTAGATAGTTTTGTTAAACATATTAGTTGGTCTAAATTGACAATTACAACAAAAGTCTTATTGAAAAAGTGAATTAGTTAAGTTTAAACAATATTTTATTCATTTGAAAAGGATTAAACAACAGGCAAGGCCTATATAAGTTTTCCTAGGGATACAGAAAATAGTGAAAATGTGAATTGCTTGAATGGGAAATATTAATTGTTCTAGTCAGTGATTTAACTCATGGCAAACACATGTTACTACTTATTTGTAATTTCAATTTCAGCTGGAAAAACTTTACAGATTTTTAATATTGAGATGAAAAGTAAAATGAAGGCCCACACTTTAACAGATGACGTTATTTTCTGGAAATGGATTTCGGTAAACACCATTGGTTTGGTTACAGAAACTACAGTTTTTCACTGGACAATGGAAGGTTTGTTATATTGTTTCTTAGCCAGATGTGCTTCATCTCTTAGGTGACCTTCAAGACTAGTGTTGTTTACATGTTACAATAAAAGATTATTAAACATACATTATGCAAGAGCTAAATCTGTCTATTGCAGGTCTTTCTTTAGGCCTGAAATGTTATCTAAATTATTAATTAGACATTAATTAACTTATCCAGACCATAATCAACTGTAGATGGTATCGCTAGCCTGCGATCTTAAGTGGATTGTGAGTCGATTTACTGCATAACTTTCCTTCTCGATTAAACTATTAAATAGATAATCAAGACTATGCTGTTTATCGTACTGACTTTAGTAATGATGACCGAGGCTAGGCAGAAATTTCATTCGCTTAGTTTTCGGTTCATAGTGGATCAATTTGAATGAAATTTTCAGCAAATTGCCTTTATGTTATCTAGTTTTTAACTATTATAGTGAGAACTGCCAACTCGTTATCGAATCTCCCATAATGTATCTTTAAGACATGGGAGAAATGAATGATTTATTGAATTATAGTTAAGTTGAGATACATCGAGATCGATTTCTTTTAGTTTTGAATTGTAGACAGTATCAATATTCAATAAGCCATAACCAGCATGGCTGGAAATTCCGACAAAATTCGATTGAATTTTGCAACTTGTCTGGTGAAACTTCCTACTGATCTGTCATTTTGTGTGAGGAAAAATTTGTCAGCAGATTTTTGCCATTTTCGGAAAAAGAAAGTATGGTAGACTACTTTTTGTGAATTTCTTACTTTACTTGCTATCAAAACTCATATTCTATACAACAGTGAGTTCCCAAAAGAAGATCATATTTTTAACCCTTTATAGAAAAGGCGGAAAATTGTAGCATGATTAGGCCAACATTGTAGGATGAGAGGTCCCAATAAAATTAAGGATTTATATTGTAATGAACAGTTAATATCTCATAGTCTAGAATCATAGATCATACTGAATGGATGATGTGTATTTTCAATCCGTTGGAAGCATGGCCCAATTATTCATTCATTAAAAATTGTGTTCGTGTTTGATTTCTGAGATATATAGAGCACGGTGCATTTCCCGACCGACAAAGTCGTGTATCTACCCTGAGTGTCATGACATTCAGGGCATTAATGAGTAAAAAAAATTTATATCTGACCAATTAAAACCAATTTAGTCAAACAAATTAAAACTAAGTAAAACTGCCCTGATTGATAAATGGGCATTTCAATCTGAATCTTTATACAAAAGATGTCATAAAACCCACCCACCCATTAGTCAACAGAATAGATCTTGATAGACTTTGTGCCAACCCAAGAGCACTTAAAAGACCCCCTGACAGTTGGAATTTGAAAATATGATTAGATGTTATCACCACCAACTAGGACACTGTATGGCATATGACTGTCTTCATTTCTAATGGTTAAATTGAGTAGTCATATAATACACTTATTTATGTCATGTTTTCCATTTTAGGTGATTCACAACCACAGAAAATTTTCGACAGACATACAAACTTAACAGGTTGTCAAATTATCAACTATAGAACTGATGCCAAACAACAATGGTTACTTCTAGTAGGAATTTCAGCTCAGGTAAATTTCTGCAAAGATACGAAAGAAAAAGTTAGGCTGGTTGTACAGTAAATAAAAACTCATAGTTAATTAAAAACTTCTATGGTTATGTATGATTATGATTCTGCATAGTTCCTGTGTCTTCATTGAGAGATTGGCTTTTAAAATGTCCATTGAGAGTTGTAGCTGTACAATAACATTACAACTACTGTTACTTATCACCTTGATCTGTTTCTGTATATATTTCCAATTTTAATGCATATCACAATGTTATATTTTATCTGTCATAATTTTACTAATAAATTCCTTTTTCCTATAGCAAAATCGTGTGGTTGGAGCCATGCAGTTATATTCCGTTGAGAGAAAAGTCAGTCAACCCATTGAAGGTCATGCAGCTGCCTTCTCACAATTTAAACTGGAAGGAAATCCCCATGTATCTACACTCTTTCTGTTTGCAGTTCGAGGTCCACAGGGTGGAAAGGTAATTATCTATTTTATTTCTAAATTCTTGTTTGGTATTTATCGTTGCATCATAAATATTATTTATTACAAATTATCTCCAAAATTGTTCTTCATTACAACTTAAAATTATTTTGTTTCTTTTTCCTCAGTTACATGTTATTGAAGTCGGGCAACCACCAGAGGGTAATCAACCATTTGCCAAGAAAGCAGTTGATGTTTATTTCCCAGCAGAAGCCCAAAATGATTTCCCAGTAGCCATGCAGGTAATAAAATAATTTCATCATGCATCAATTTCTTATCTCTCTCAATTTAGTATATTTAGCCTCAATGCTTTTATTTTGAACCGTAAAAAAATGATTTTGTTATTTACATGTTCATTGTGCTTTGATTTTGGTATTTGTAAACCTTAGATTTATGTTTGACAGTTGAACAAAAAATTCATTATATCTCAAGATTAGTTTACCTTTTAGACCAAAATTTTATATAGACAATCTCTGTCTTACAAAATAAACTAATAAAAAATAATATATGAGATTAAATCGGATAAAATTGACACTTCCATTTTCCAACTAAATGAAAGAAGTCATGTCTTTTAATCATAGTGTTTACGCTTTAGGGTTTAGGTAATATATTGTAATAAAGGTTATGTATAATATGCATGTTGGCTATTGATTATTCTGACTTGTAATACCAAATCAATGATCTCTTATTAGTAAACATCACTCAACCTATAATATCTTGATTCATAATACATGCTTACAAGTGTAGATTTATTCATATTCTCAATATTCATTATTCAACATTAGATATTAACCCATTGATGTCTTAAATATTGGATTTCAAGGGCCCATGTCAGTTTGATTTGTAAAAGTTTTTCACCTGTAATTTTAGTTGCTAGTTGTGACTGTCATTTGGAAATGGAATTGTTGATAAATAATTTATACACACTATTTTTTGAAGACATCTGATAACTTGATATCTAGTTTTAGAAATTAACATCTGACAAAATATGTAGGGAGCTTTTTACTGTGGATTTGTCCAATATTGCGTCTAACATACAAATTAATTGGAAGATAGTCTGGCTGTCTCCCAGTGTTGGCCGCTATCTAGTCATTCGGATGGCACGACGAACCGAGGTCCCATGTACACATTGGCATGCATGTAAAAGATCCCTTGGCTGTTGGAATTCGATATAAGAGTAGGCCGGGCATATGCCCGTCTTCATTAGCCCAATCGGAGCAGAACAGTAGGACATTAAACCGAACCCCATTTCATTTAATTATTTACCTAGATTATAAGTCTCAATAAATGTACCTGATAACAAAGTCTTAATTTCTCTTACAGGTGAGCCCTAAACATGGTGTGGTATTTTTAGTGACTAAATTTGGGTACATCCATCTACATGATATAGAGACGGCCACATCTATTTATATGAACAGAATTAGTGGAGAAACTATCTTTGTTACGGCACCACATGAAGCAACGTCTGGTATAATTGGTGTAAATAGAAAAGGACAGGTAAATACACAAAATGGTTGAACTATCTGTAAATTAAATTCCACAGTATTGAGTAACTACTAGTTGACTTGCGACATGACAAAAACCTTGTATTAGAATGTAGAAGGTAAATGTTATGCAAAATAGTAATATATGAAATACAAATTTAGTAAACTCTGGTTGTAGGAATAGGGGTCTGGATGGCTGAATGGTTAGCACCTGTGCACTGTATCATGAGGTCTGTCATCGAGTCAACTGACGTGGTTTTGATTCTCCGGTTGTACGTGATGAGGAGTAGGGTCGCCTGTCCAGCCTCATGGGTTTTCTCTGAGTCCTCCGGTTTCCTCCCACTGAAATAGAATTGAACCATGTGTTAGTCCCAAAATGACCTAGTTTGTGTCAAGTGGACGTTAAACCCCATTTCTCTTTCTCTCTCAGACAAACACATAAACAGTCCTACACAACCTGGATTTTGGCCAAAAACACCTATCTAAGAAAATGATGTGGGGGGTTTTATCGTCCTACTTTTCTGTACCATCTGGGGTAGATAAGGACTGTCTAGTATTAATTGTTAACTGTCATCAACAGTCATTGACAACTACTGGAAGAAATGATTTAACTACAATATTTGAAATAATTTACCACACTTTTGTTCACAAGAATTTCAAATTTGTGACTATATCAAAAGAAAGTCTGATTTGGGTAATGGTCAATGACCAATTGATCGTGTACTATTATAATGTCAACAGTAGCAAGGTTGCATTGACGGAAATATTATGGTGAGAGCAGTAGAGATCTTTCTAACACTCAACTTGGGTAACTTTCAGACTTCTAAGTAATTTCATTATAGATATATGTTTGCGTATATTGTGTTTTCTAGGTATTATCAGTAAGTGTAGAAGAAGATACGATTGTACAATATGTTGCTAATAATATCAACAACCCAGACTTGGCTTTACGTGTGGCATCTAGATGTAATCTACCAGGTGCAGAAGATCTCTTTGTTCGTAAATTTAACAACTTATTTCAAGCTGGATCATATGCTGAAGCTGCCAAGGTTGCTGCAAGTGCTCCAAAGGTAATTTTACATATTCCTTTAAGTGATTTCTTGGCAATATCTTTTATGGTGTGCCTGTTGCTAGATATGGTCTTTTGTGTGTAAAATTTTTTATTGGATTTTGAATTCTTATTTCCAAAGGAGTCTTGATTGATTTTCATTCATTTGTCCGTTTCTAATTGTAAATGTTATTTTCTTTTCTTGCAGGGTATTTTAAGAACTCCTCAAACAATCCAAAGATTTCAACAAGTTCCTGCTCAACCAGGACAAACATCACCACTGTTCCAATACTTTGGTATTTTATTAGATAAAGGTCAACTGAATAAATATGAATCTATAGAATTATGTCGTCCTATACTCCAACAAGGTCGACAACAACTTCTAGAAAAATGGGTTAAAGAAGAAAAGGTAATATTGTGTTAACTTTTAAGTTTGTGGAATGTTAACTTTGTGAACAATGATTTGTTTAAACTTAAATTCTTTGACAAAAAAAATATAATAAGTCTTCTTTGCATATTTTTAAGAACTTTTGCATTTAACTTGTTTACTAAAGAAATTATTAATAGTCAGACCCTTTTCCGAAGATTTTACAGAGTTATGGGGCCTTATGCTGTTGATAGTTTTGTTTCTATTTCTAATTCTTTGATTTTTTTGTCTTTTTAGCTTGAGTGTTGTGAAGAACTTGGAGATTTAATCAAACAGGCTGATTCTACCTTAGCTCTCTCAATATACCTTAGAGCAAATGTGCCAAATAAGGTTGGTTTCTGTCAATTATGAATTAAAAATACACATGGTAATATTACAAGACACCTGTATAAATCAATAAGTATTATCAGACATAACACCTTTCAAAAACGAGAAATGAATGAATTCTCTCAGTTGACTGTGGTCATTGTTTTTGTGTATCTAATGTAGTCTTTATTCTTTTTGTTATAGGTCATTCAATGTTTTGCTGAGACAGGTCAGTTTCAGAAGATTATTCTCTACTCAAAGAAAGTTGGTTTTACTCCCGATTTTATCTTCTTATTACGTAATATAATGAGAATGAATCCAGAACAAGGTTTACAATTTGCTCAGATGTTAGTAGCAGATGATGAACCACTGGCTGATTTAAATCAGGTAAATAATTCAACATTCATCGGGTTTGTACTTAAAATGGCAGATCAGGGTTGTATTTAAAATGGCTGATGAGGGTTATATTTACAATGGTTAATATAATGTTTAAATATTTGATATACTGGTACTCATCTTTTGCTTGATAATGTTGAGAGAGCTCTCAAAGAAATGTTGCTTTAATTAAAGTGGTTATTGTGTTTTATATTATGTTTTTGTGTTTATTACACATTTCAAATTGCTAAATGCCACTCAAACATGGTACTCGAGATGACTTGTAATTAATCTTGAATCAGAAATGTAATCAGATTTAAAACAATTAATTCCAAATCAACTAGGCTTATAAAGACAGGTAGAAAAGGCCAGAAGTGTGCTATATAAGCATCATTTGCCTAGGCAGTGGTGCTACATCCTACTTGAAAATTCCACCTATCAAGGTACCTTAAATGTACTGCCAATGGTATACACAGGATGTTGGGTTTTCGGTCCCATCTGAATGACTTAGTCACATTTTGTTGCCAAGCTTCTTGTCCTGCACCACTGGCAAGGGGGAAACTAATCAGAAATGTTTTGCACCATAACAACTATTGCAATCAATATCAGCTGATAAAGCAAAATTATGTTAACTCAGTTTAATAATATGAACTACATCTTTATTTTCTTTTTTGTATCTGATCATTATTTGAAATTGGTCATTTGTATTATTTAGATTGTTGACGTATTTATGGAGTTCAACTTGATACAACAATGTACATCATTCTTACTGGATGCCTTGAAGAACAATCGACCAGCTGAAGGGCCATTACAGACTCGACTCTTTGAAATGAATTTACTCTCTGCTCCTCAAGTAAGTCTTGCTGTTATTGAATATATGGAGTATATTTTATATCATATATATGATCAAGTGTTAAAATTATCAGAAATACCATTTTGAATTATAAGAAGGTAACAAGTAAAGACCAGTGTTGCCAGTAAAAACTAGATCAAAGTACAATCTCCTGATAATATTAATTCTCCAGCATTATAGCTTTGAATACTAACCATGTATGCTATTTTAGAAAGTGAGCCAAGTTTATGTTCTGAAAGTTGATTGTAGAATTGTAAGAAAAAACTGCATATGTTTTTAAGAAGTATGGATTATTGTAATTGTATTATTCTGTTTGGTGTATTTTCAGGTGGCTGATGCCATTCTTGGTAATCAAATGTTCACTCATTATGATCGAGCCCACATCGCCCAACTTTGTGAGAAGGCTGGTCTTTTACAAAGAGTAAGTATAATAGATCATCTTTATCAAAAAAATTTTATTGATAGATATATTTTTCTATGTGTGTTCTGTCCACATTTAGCATGATTCTGTAATGAAGAACAAGTTATAATCATTTGTCATCATTAGGCCCGACTGTAGCTCTTCACCAAACCATAGACGGATGGAAATTATTGAATAGGACTGATATATTTTGTTTAAATAACACAGCTTATTTTATTTTATTATTTTAGGCTTTGGAACATTATACAGATTTATATGACATCAAAAGAGCCGTAGTACATACACATTTATTAAACCCTGAGGTAAGATTTACATTATCAAAAAATATGTTAAAGGTATACTCAGTTAACCGTTCTAGAATAGATATTCTTTCAATTATATTTAAGTAACAATTTAGTCAAAAGAACAGATCTCAACCACCCACGACAGCTGCAACCTGTATGTGACACTACCTCTATTTTGTCAATTCAGAATATAAGAATAACGTCAGATAATGCCTGAACCCACAAACTTTGATCATAATGTGATAATCTGGCCTTCTAATATACTATTCAAAAAAAGTAGGGGATATTTGATTTTTAAGTGTTATTAAAGTCACCTAATGAAACTGACGAAGAAACAAATGACAAAATGAAATGAAGTTCACATTCATCGATTTATTCCAAATGATCGTTAGACTAAGTAAGGCACAGACTGACCATTATACGGGTAAAATGATACCCGGGGTCAAACAGCAAAGTTACCACAGCATCACAACCAAGTCAGTAACGGGTAAATCCTCCTCTGTTTGCCAAACAAGCATTGATCCGACGTGGCATACTCCTAATGAGACGTCTAAGGTCATTTTGGTCCAGATTGTCCCATTCCTGTTGCAACGCAGCAGCAAGTTCTTGGACATTGGCAGGACGTTGTTGACGTTGACGTAACCTCTGTCCAAGCATGTCCCAGACATGCTCGATGGGGGAGAGGTCGGGACTCAGTGCTGGCCATGGTAATGTGGTGATGTTCTGTTGTTGGAGGTAACCTGTAACGATCCTGGCCCTGTGACATCTTGCGTTGTCATCCTGGAAGATGAAACGGCGGCCATGACGTCGTGCGAACGGCACAACATGGACTGCCAAGATGTTGTCCCGGTAGTACTGGCCTGTAACACGCCCTGCATCAACATGTAAAGCCGTTCTTCCAGCAACAGTGATGCCTCCCCACACCATAACAGAACCACCCCCAAATCGATCATGTCTGATGACGTTAACGTCTTGGAAGCGCTCGTTTCGACGACGCCACACCCTCCTACGTTTGTCCAAAAAATCAACAGTGAACCTTGACTCATCTGAAAACATCACATTGCTCCAGCGTCGATTATCCCAGTGTTGACGATCCCTACACCAACGATGTCTTGCCTGAATGTGATGATCTCTCAAACAAGGGATCACGCGAGGACGTAGGGCGCGAAGGTGACCCCTATGCAGTCGATTCCGAATCGTCTGGCCACTCACTCTCACACCAGTGTCTGTTTGAAGACGAGCGCTGATCTGATTTGCTGTGATGACACGATTTCTCAAGGCCAAGGTACGGATAAATCGATCCTGGGCTTGAGTTGTCGCCCTTGGTCGACCTGAGCGTATTCTGTCCTGTACAGATTGTGTATCACGGTATCTGGACCATAGCCTGCTTATGACAGACTGAGAAACATTCATCGTCCGCGCCACAACCGCCTGTGTTGTGCCGATCTGTAGCATGCCAAGGGCACGTAACCTTTCATTTTGGGTAAGCCGACGCATATCAAAATTTGTTTTCTGGTCACTAAAACAATTAAACTGATGTTTCCACCCTGGAATTCAATGCCACAATGACTGTAACATTCAAAGTCAGAGTCTTGCAAATCTTGGGTTGGACCCCCATGATGATCCCAAGCATCACCTGCATTCCATGCGGTAGCTATTGGTGCGTTTGGGCGTCACATGTAACTGGAAATGTTTCTTCTGTTAGGTTCTATAGTGACTTTTTTCGTAGTCATTTGCATATTTTAGTATTATGCCCCCAAAATCAAATATCCCCTACTTTTTTTGAATAGTATAGCTTGAAAGACCAGTTTGTCAATAAGCACATCAAGTTTTAGTCAGGGTTGTTCCTCAGTTCTTGTTATCATTGTAAAGTCTAAACAATGTGTTAAGATTTGAAGATTTCATTTTAATCAGAATATATTTAAACAATTTGTCTTTTGTGATGTCCATTTCATAAATTAAGAATACTATCCTATTTATTTTTAGTGGTTGGTAAATTATTTTGGTGCGATATCTATCGATGATTCACTGGAATGTTTACGTGCTATGTTACAAGCTAATATCAGACAAAATCTACAAGTATGTGTCCAGATAGCATCAAAATACCATGAACAACTTGGAACTCAAAGTCTAATAGAACTCTTTGAATCATTCAAAAGTTATGAAGGTATGTCTATTTTTTTTTTTTAGAAAGAGTTTTGTTTAGTTATCAAATAGGTAAATTGCAGACAATTAAGACTTGTTGGGTAAAATCTTTTGTCAAGCCTCTTTTTTATTTGATCGAATCCAAGTTGGAAGATTATCTACAGAAGATATTGTGGTTTGGTTTTCTTAATTAAATGTTAAATAATCAGATATTGTATGTAAAATGCTCGATCAGAGACTTTTATGAAATTTGATGAAAATACAGTTTACGCACTTATCATCTTGTTGCTAATGTTTTATTTGTTGTAATATTTTAGGTTTATTCTATTTCCTTGGCTCGATTGTCAACTTCAGTCAAGATGCTGATGTACATTTTAAATATATCCAAGCTGCGTGTAAAACTGGTCAGATTAAAGAGGTAGAAAGAATATGTCGGGAGAGCAACTGTTACGATCCAGAGAGAGTAAAAAATTTCCTCAAAGTAAGTGAACATATATTTCAAAAACATCTCTGATATTCTTCATCGTTTTATAATATTAAAACTATAATCAGAGTGTTTTCAAACTTATTTTAAGCATGCCCAAAGGAAAATATTCTTTGGATGGGTTGAAGATCTGTTGAATTTGAATTGATATTGACAAATTGATTGATAATTTTCTATGTTTATTTCAGGAAGCCAAGTTGACAGATCAGCTTCCACTCATTATTGTTTGTGATAGATTTGATTTTGTTCACGATTTGGTTCTCTACCTCTATAGAAATAGTTTACAGAAGTATATAGAAATTTATGTACAAAAGGTCAGTTGAGAAAATATTTTTACATTTTTGGTTTAAACAATATTTTATTTCATTAGTGAATCACAGATATATCTAACATACTATATATGGATACAATAACAAGCATTGCTGCTTATGTAAAATCGCTTCCATTTTTGATTACCAAAATTCCACCATGACCAGTATTGCTAAAATTATAAAGCACTTTAACTTCCAGCCCCTTGCTTTTCTCACAGCAGATAAAGAACATTTATTGTATATTAACTTTGATGTCATCTGCTAGTTGTTTTTGATTTGTATAGTCCCAAGTGCAGTCATTGTCGCGAGAATCTTATGTACTTTATTTGACCCTTGTATATATGTACATACAGCAGCCTTAGTCTTGTGTTTGCTTTTTTAAATCAATTAAATAACAAATGATAATGATTGAAATCCTTGTAATGTTTTAACAGGTAAATCCAGCTCGTCTGCCTGTAGTTGTAGGTGGTCTTTTAGATGTTGATTGTTCAGAAGATGTCATTAAACAATTGATTTTAGTAGTAAAAGGCCAATTCTCCACAGATGAACTGGTTGCAGAAGTAGAAAAAAGAAATAGGTTGGTACACATATTTAAATGAATGAATTCTAAAACGTCACAATGACTAAAACATGTTCATCAAATACAATATTGTACTTTCGACTTTGATAAGTATAATATCTTGGAAACCTGTGCACAGATACAAAGATATATTTTCAATTACTCAGAAAAAGATAAACAAATATCAAGTAGATCCAAGTAAGTTCAGATTCTTGTTAACCTTTAAAAATAGAAATTAATGTAGTTTATTAAAATTATTTTTCAGATTGAAACTGTTACTACCCTGGTTAGAAACTAGAATACATGAAGGTGTTACAGAGTCTGCTACCCATAATGCACTAGCTAAGATATATATAGACAGTAATAACAACCCAGAACGATTTCTTAGGTAAATATCTCTCTACATTGTTAATACATTAATCCTGTTTCCATCCTTTATGTGGTGTGAAAAGTTTCTAAATTTGGGCTCGGATCCAAAAGAACCATACACATTTTTCAGACCCATGACCGGCTTGAATAGTGGTGTGGTCTTTATTCCTTTTCAAGCCTCTGGTCGTTAGCCATCTATGATGGTGATATGAAAGTTTACCCCCCTTTGATCTGATGAAATGCCAAACTCTACTGGTTACCAGAGTTTTTAACCTATAATTTTGTTGTATGCAGTCTGTGAGATGCTTACACATTGTTTATTGACGACACACTAAGGCTCCACTGTAACACTTTAAGTTTGGGTCAATCGACCTCAGATTGGTATCTGCCTAATAGCAAATTGTGCCTTTAGTGAAATGCTATTGTATTTATATTATATTGTTATATTTTATAGAGAAAATCAGTTTTATGATAGTAAAGTTGTGGGTAAATATTGTGAAAAGAGAGATCCACATTTAGCATGTGTAGCTTATGAACGAGGATTATGTGATGAAGAACTTATCAAGGTATGATGTCTTTCTTATGTAATTATTATTAATTAGACTTTCGATAACCATGAGAATAACTAGTTTTGTAGCTGTCTCTTCAAATAAATCTATGACCAAAACTCAACCATATCTATCTACATGTATGGTTCATGGTTCTGACTTCTAATATTAGGATTAAACTAGTCTGGTCTCCAGGAGATCATAGGTACAATCCCATCTATTGTAGAGACAACAGTCTAATCTCTGGAGGGTTTTTTTTTGACACACAATATCTGTTTTCTTCAACTGTCAATAAACCGGCATACTAGCAAAATAATGAAATACGGTTGCATTATTTTAGTCCCACATTAAGTGGATGTTAAACCCCATTCCTGTCTGTTTTTAAAAGTAAATAAATGGATATATTTGGTTATTAATTATGTTAATGGATGATGAATACCATCTTTTATTTCAGGTGTGTAATGAGAATTCGTTGTTTAAGAGTGAAGCTAGATATTTAGTGAGAAGAAAGGATACAGATTTATGGGTTGAAGTATTGAATGAAAGTAATGAATACCGACGACAACTCATTGATCAGGTATAGTTTATCTTAATTTACAGGATTTACAATTTAAAGATTAATACCTATATATAGCTGTATTCCTTATAGCACAGCATGATTTATTCTACTTTCACTTTTCTCAGAGTATAACATAACAATGTTTAAACAGTAATTTGTCATCAGGCCTGGTAATAAAGATTTTAGATATATCTGACAATATGTCCGACACTAATGAAATAGTACCTGATATTTTTAATTTTGTGTTGGATGTGTATTAAAATTTTGCAATATAAACACACAAGAAAAGGCAAATCTGTGCACAACAAAATGACAGCCATCAGTAAGTTGTGCCTGACAATGTCTGTAACAGATGCCTTATTTTCTAGCTTGTTTGTCATACTGTTTTCTCCATGATGAATGGTGTACTGTATGTAAATAAATCTATGTTTTCAAACGTTCTAGTCATTTGGATTATTTATATATATATAAATATATATATATATATTTATATATATATTTTTTAGGTGTGTACCACAGCTTTATCAGAGACTCAAGATCCAGAAGAGATATCCGTCGCTGTAAAAGCTTTCATGACTGCCGATTTACCTAATGAACTTATTGAATTATTAGAAAAAGTTGTACTTGAGAGTTCTGTTTTCAGTGATCACAGGTATGAACGTCTAGAATTCTATCATCTCCTTATTTTACTCTTTAAAATTTACAGTCTCAAGCACTTTCCAGTCCGTCTAATTATATGCCATAAAATTAGATATTTAAATAAAAAAAACACTTTGGGATAATGCTAAAAATTGTCATCATTTTTTCAAGAAATATCTTCCCCCGATCTTCACTAAAAAAGCTAAATAGTCTTGCACATATGCAATAAAATGTTATGTAGATACTTGATGAAGGAGGACGGCACCACACAGTCACCTAGAAACCATTAGGAGAAACGCATAATCATGACAAAAGTGTTGTATCTTATTCTTATAATTTTTATTTCAGAAATTTACAGAACTTATTGATTCTGACAGCAATCAAAGCCGATCGTACCCGTGTTATGGAATATATTAATCGTTTAGATAATTATGATGCACCAGATATAGCTAACATAGCCATTACCAATGAATTATATGAAGAAGCTTTCGCTATTTATAAGAAATTTGAAGTCAATACATCAGCTATTCAGGTAAGAAAAAAAGAAATCACTGTTTATTGCAGAATTAGTTGCGTAGCATTTGTTCATATGCAAATTGGAGTGATGGAAGCTTTTTATATATGAAATGAACAGTCCATGTCATAAGTTTAACAGTTATATTTAGGTATGTCTCTTTTACTACCTCTTCCATTTGATTTTAGTGTCATTAACAAATTAAATAATGTGTATTACGTGAGAATCACATATTATAAAATTTATATATTTTTTTTCTCCAGGTTTTGATTGATAATGTAAGTAATTTAGATCGAGCCTATGAATTTGCTGAAAGATGTAACGATCCAGCTGTCTGGTCACAACTTGGTAGAGCACAGTTGAAAAAAGGCATGGTAAAAGAGGCTGTAGACTCATTCATAAAGGCTGATGATCCAACAGAATATATGGAAGTTGTCTCAGTTGCAAGCAAAAATGGTAGGTGGTCCTGTTTCTAATGTATCAATTGTAATTAGTGAGCCAGTGTTTAGATTAAAAGATGGGTATGGTAAAAGTAAGACATCAGGGGCCTGTTTCACGAAATTTTAATTAAGATAAAATCCAAATTTTAGTAATTTGATTGGATAATATTAGATTGATTATAGTGCTTGGCCAATCAAAATTGAAGTATCTACTACAATTTGGATTTTATCTTTAGTTAAAATTTTGTGAAACAGGGTCCAGGTTTGCAGATTCCATGCACAATTCACTTAGCTGTATAAAGTGATGCCACATTCTACGAAAAATGTTTCCCGTTTTGTCGATGGTATACTTATTACATGATTTATTTTACAATGATATACTTATAACATGATTTATTTTACAATGATATACTTGCGTGATTTATTTTGTAGATAAATGGGAAGATTTAGTTAAATTCCTTCAAATGGCCAGAAAGAAGGCCAGAGAAACTTATGTAGAAACAGAACTTATTTATGCGTATGCTAAAACTAACAGATTGGCTGATTTAGAAGAATTTGTCTCTGGACCAAACCATGCCAACATAACACAGGTAAGATCATTTTTCAAACAACAAAACAATCTGCGGTATTAAAAACAATAAAACCATATATTGACAAAAAGCTGCTCTTACGTTCTAGGCCAATTGAAATGAGTTTCTTTGAGTGTCATGATAGTTTGCCATTATGCACATGTTCTCTAGGTGCACATGATCTTTTTATCATTTATATAGTTGGATCTTTTATCGAAAAATGGTTTATGTGTTATTTAATAAGTTTAATTTTGTTTTGCAGGTGGCTGATAGATGTTTTGATGATAAAATGTATGATGCTTGTAAACTATTATATAATAATGTATCTAATTATGCCCGTTTGGCAATTACTCTAGTCCATCTAGGAGAATATCAGGGAGCCGTTGATGGGGCACGTAAAGCTAACAGTACTAGAACATGGAAAGAGGTGGGATATATTCAATTTATCTAAAGCATATTTATGATGTTAATGTGCGATTTATAATGATCAATATGTCTAGTTTTTGCATGAAGCTAAAACATCATATTGTGATAAACATTTTGAATCCTACAAACTCTGCATATAAAACTTTTGAATACTCATTTTCTTATATTAGTTGGCAATGAACACATTTTTTCCCAGTAATGGATGTTAATTAATAGATAAACAGTAGGCAGTAGATAAACAATTACTAAATTTATTCAACGATTAGTATGCTTAATGACTTTTTCATGGAGCAATTAGGTCTGTGTTCACTGATCATAGTCAAACTCAAGTCGAACTATCACATTTTTTAATTTTCAGCTTTCATGGATATAAATGTTCATATTACAGAATTCAAGATAGAGACATGTCAGAACAAGCTCCCTTTTACAAAAAATAGCGTTCTTAGTTTCAAAATAAGACGTGAGATATCAATTAAACTGTTACTTTGTTGTATATTTCAGGTGTGTTTTGCATGTGTGGATAATACTGAGTTCCGTCTGGCCCAAACTTGTGGTCTCCATATTGTTGTACATGCTGATGAATTAGAAGAACTAATTAATTATTATCAGGATCGAGGATATTTTGAGGAACTCATATCATTATTAGAGGCAGCTTTAGGTAAGTTATTATCACATAAAAGGTCCCAAAGAAATATATTTCATTTGGCATATATCATGATTCTCCCGAAAACAGTCAAATAAACAAAAAAAATCATTTACGTCCACTATACATAATTTGTATATTACAGGTTTGGAAAGAGCACATATGGGCATGTTTACAGAATTAGCTATATTATACTCCAAATATAAACCAGAAAAAATGAGAGAACATCTGGAGTTGTTTTGGTCTAGAGTTAACATTCCAAAGGTGAGTCATTGTATATGTTTTTTGGGGGGTTTTTTTTTACAAAGAAAAAAACGTTAATCTGATTTATTCCAAATATTTTAACTTGAGAGTATGGTTTGCAACAAATGAAGGTCTAAAAACAGAGTTATCTCTCTTACACTGTAAATTTTGATCTTGGAAAGCAATCTGGGACAGTTTCCTAAATTGAATGAATCACACTGAACGGAATGTGTACCGGTAATTAAACCGTTATTAAGACAAATACCGTTTAAATGTCATTTTGTTAAAACATCAAAATTTCAAATTGTCAATGTAAAGTATAATCACTGAAACACCCAGAGCATTAATTTGATTCTAAACTGATTTGATACTTATGTTATGCCTGTGTGTATGTAATTATTAATTTTCCATCTTTTTACAGGTGTTACGAGCTGCCGATCAGGCTCATTTATGGTCCGAGTTAGTTTTCCTATATGATAAATATGAAGAGTATGATAACGCTATACTAACTATGATGAACCATCCTACAGAAGCTTGGAAAGAAAGCCAATTTAAAGATATCATTACTAAAGTTGCCAATATTGAATTATATTACAAAGCTATTCAGTTCTATTTGGACTTTAAACCAATACTCCTGAACGATTTACTTCTTGTTCTTACGCCCCGATTGGACCACACCCGATCAGTCAATTTCTTTACGAAAGCCAATCAAGTTCCACTGGTTAAACCGTACCTGAGATCCGTTCAGAAAAACAACAACAAGGCCATTAATGAAGCTCTTAATAATTTATTTATTGAAGAAGAAGATTACCAGGGACTGAGAGCTTCGATTGATGCTTATGATAATTTCGACAATATCTCTCTGGCACAACGTCTTGAGAAACATGATTTGATTGAGTTTCGTCGTATTGCTGCCTATCTATATAAGGGTAATAACAGGTGGAAACAGAGTGTTGATTTATGTAAAAAAGACAGATTATTCAAGGTAATATTTTCTTGTAATTTTATCATCAGACTGGCATTGATTTATTGTTAGAGACGGAATACTTGGTATCCGATTTATTTTATATTCATGGAGGTTTCAAACTGTGGACAAGTTTCACCTCCCTTGCATGAAACACTTAATCATAGTGATTGCAGATAGTGTGAAACTGACTGGTAAATTGTTGAACTTCAGTCCCATTTTTTGGCTAACAGAGCACTCCTTTATTATACAGAAACTCCCAAAGAGAAGGTTGATATATTGAAGATCTAAGTGAATTATTAAACCTGTAAAATCACTTATTTCACCTAAAATCCACTAGGATTCTTCACCTCAATGAGATTCAAAGATTATTGATCAAATTGCTAGTTCTGACGATGATGATAGTGACTAATTATAGTATATTTTATTATAGGATGCTATGATGTACGCTGGTGAATCCAGACTAGTTGAGATTGCTGAAGAACTGATTGCATGGTTCTTGGAACAAAAGAATCATGAATGTTTTGCAGCCTGTTTGTTCCAGTGCTATGAACTATTGAGGCCCGATGTTATTCTAGAACTTGCATGGCGTCACAATATAATGGACTTTGCAATGCCATACATGATTCAAGTTATGAGAGAGTACACATCAAAGGTATGATGTTTATCAATATTGGGGCAGAGTAACCATCAATTTTAAAATATGAATTATTTTGTGGATACAATTTAATTCTGCTTAAGGGTTTAAGGAGCTAGATCTGTATGTGCTACTCCGCACTATAACTGGGTGAAAAGTCTTTATTGTGCAAGGTAAAATTAATGTAGTATAAAAATTCTGCAGTAGAAATAAAACGTCTGAAGAGAGGTAAGAACATCGGGGATCAAGATACCCAAGAAAATGAGTCGTAGCATGTCTAGGTAGTTCCAAAAATTACAATACTATATATATATTTCATTGCATTTTGTGAGATAAGTTCTGTATAAAAGGTTAAAGACCTCTTTTTGTTAAGATGGTGATCTATATATACATACATGTATACAAGTGATTAAGATAAAGAGACATGTACTGACTATAGGTGTAAGATAGAATCATAGATAAGTTAAACGATCATTAAGCTAACATTAACATTATTTCTACTCAAATGTTTAATTTATCTTAGTTAGATCTATTAGAACTAGACGTAGTATACTATAGATAACAAACAACATCTACACAAACAACATTATAATCTACTTAACCTTACTCCCCTATTCATCTCACTTTCTACATCTTATTCATCATTTTATATTAGAAGCAGTTTATTTAGGTGGATGTGTGAGACTATGGAATGCAAAATTAACATATACTCATTTAATTGATCATATTTCTATCCATAATAAATTGAATATTTGTTGATTTGGTATTCCATAGTAAACTGACACATAATGTCAGTTAATTGATGACCAGGTTATGACCTTTTGTTATGGTATATAGTGACCATGGTGTTTAATAGTGATATATGATACTTATATTGACCATCCTGTGTAATAGTGATACCTGTATAGATCTAGGTCAGTTATTATAATACCTTGTTGATATGCCTTAGATCTCAATCAGTTGATGTTTCACAAACATGGTTTTCAAATAAATATTAAATCTGTAATATCTCACTGTGTGAGACCAAAGTAGGATGGTTTGGTTTAAAAAGAAAATTGTCAATTGGTGTGATTTTATTTGTTGATTTATTATGTGAGATGACAAATCGGTTTCTTGAACATTTTACATCCATAGATAAAGCCAATGTTGAGACTTTGTTCCACAAATATCTGTGCTAAAAATTGAACTAAAATGAGAAAACTATCTAACTACCACTTAATATTTTGAAGCTAAAATCTAATGAACCAGAGACTGAATCATCATAAATGGAAATAATACATCAGATTAACCCTCTTTAAAACTCTCTAATAACCTAAATCAAAGGGGTTTTGCTCCTTAAGTCCCCAACATGGTTTGGGATGGGAACCCATTTCGTAACAAAATCCTGATTATGTCTTGGGCCAGCTGAGTGATTAAATTAATCACTTGTGTCTTTGATCATGTGCTAATGGAGTTCATTTCCATTTAAATCTTATCTGAACTTGTAATCAGTCCTATGTAAGATATAATAATGAGATTTTATGTAAGTGTTGACAGAAAAACTAATTCATTACACAGTTCAATTATCGTTATCTAGGTGTTGAAATATATTTGTCAATCTTAAGATTAGCATTTTTCTTTTAATTTGTATCCCCCAAAATAAACTCTGCTATATTGAATTTCTACAGGATGAGGTGTTTGAGTAAATTATTAATTGTAACTTGTAATTGTTCTTCAGGTGGATAAATTAGAACAATCAGATGCTGTAAGAAGTGAAGAAGAACAAAGAGCTGAAGAGAGACCAATTGTTATAGGTAATTACTCATTTATCTTTAGATGTTTTGGTGATGGTTGATGGCCAGGAAAGAGGGAGTTTGAACTTGAGGTCCTTACCAAATCTTCAAAAGTTTTGAGAATTACTTGAAGGATCTTTGGAAAAAGATATTATTTAGTTGTTTATGAAAGCCTGGGTCTTATCGGTCTGTAAATACAACAGTTAACCATTTCACACTATTATATAAAGATATCTTTAACATATTTCTAACTATTAAATAACTATTGATTTTGTTATTATTCGCAGCTGAGCCACAACTCATGTTAACACAAGGTCCTGGAATGATGCCACCTCCCCAACCAGGCTACCCAGGAGCAGCATATGCTGGTGTACCTCAACAGGGCATGGCCATGCCAGCTTACGGATACAGTATGTAGATATATAGACACAAGAGAGAGAGAGTAAACAACCTCCTCCACTAAATTGTACATTGTTGTGTAAATTATGTGAAGAAAATATTTACAAGAAAGGCAGTTGAACTGATTTGGCTTTTCATCACGATGAGAGAGTGAGAACATCACTTGAAATTATGTAAATGATACAAATGAATTTCTACATTGAAATTCTATATTCTCTTGGGTTAGTTTTTATGAGTAACTAACCAGCTTAATATTAAAACACGAATCACATTCCTGTACTCTGGTTAATTTAAATGTTTTACTTGATTAGTTTGCTAAAATGAATTTTGAAATAAAAGAAGAAAGTGCTAAGCATAGTTTATAATATTAAATCATACAGTTTCTAGATGTCATATTATTAGTATTTATTATTACATCGCATGTTGACGATCATCATTAAATAATAGATATAAATATATAGACAACACGAGTTAATAAATAATGTGTTTTCAAATATAAAATAATAGAAGGAAGTTGAGTAAGTTTAAGTATTGTGTCACTGTGAACGTACGTACGGTAGTTAGAAGGGTTGGAGATCAGTTTTATGAGGTACAGGTGGGCAATTAGTTTAATGCGATATAAATTTATAAACCAAAGGGACCGAGTTAAAGGAAAATAAAGAAAATTTTGTATATAAAGAAATATCCTGTGGTGTGTGTATAACATTTTTAAGGCTATTTCTTGCATATGCTCTACTTTCACTTTCTTTTGTTACTTAAATCAAACAGCATTGATATCATACAACATCAGGTCATAGGTTTCAACTATTTGTCTCTACATAATGTACCCTTAAAGTTGCTCAATCAGCACCATTTACAGGTAAAAATTGCACAGGTCTATTACTACAGAATATTTATAATTATTAATCAATATGCAAAATTATAAGAAAATCGATTCTTTTAAATTTTCCTTTCTTTTCTCTTTTTTTTTCTCTCAAGAGTTTGCAGATTCATTTATGCCTAAATTCATAATAATAGTTTGTATTACTTGGCCTCCCTACATTGGGTTGTCTTGCGTGCTAAAAGTTGCTTCACTTTTTTTTGTTTTTATCCTTTATGATAACAAACTGTATAAAAACAATTCCTAGAGTTTATTTTGATTTTAGCTAGAGAGAACTTTTGTTATTATTGTTACATATAACTCATTTATTATTATTATTATTATCTTATTATTAAACATTTAATATATATTGTGTCCTTAATTTGATCATATAATTTTAGTTAGGGTTAATTTCTGATGACCTTTTGTAAGAGGTTAGTGATTGCCCACAAGATTAGTATATATCGAAGAAATATGTGTCATGTATGATGAAAAAGTTTACACCATCTAGTATGTAACATTTTGTCATTATATAAAATAAAATAAGCCAATACTAGCCCTGATGTTATTAGTTGTATTAAATACATGTCATGAATAAATATCCTATACAAAACAGTCTCTTATTACAATACTTACAATAAAGACACCTAATCCATATTCATAGATGGGAAGTGGGTCCTGTTGTCCAAACGGTTTAATTTGTCCTCTTTAGATCATAAGTTCTGTCATTGCATTAAGGCAGTGGTTCTCAACCTTTGTTTGCCAACGGCACACCTTGAATCACATGGAAAAATAGCGGCACACCTGGCTAAATATATATGAAAAATATTTGAATTTTGCAAAATAAAAACATGGCAAGTCATAGACGACATACAACCGTAGACACAGACTAGTCATAGACACATAGAATGACTCAAATTAAATAAAGAAAAACACAGCTATGGACTTACTTTATTGCAGTGTTTCGTATTTCATTAGTCAAATAGCTGGCTTCTCTAGTGAGAAATTTTCTTAGTGTGCCGTTCACTTTCGCGGCACACTTAGGAAGAGTGTGCCGTTCACTTTCGCGGCACACTTAGGAAGATCTTGCGGTACACTGGTTGAGAATCACTGCTTTAAGGTTTCAATTCCAGGCTTGTACGTGATAAGAGGCAAGGTCACCTGTCTAACCTTGTGCGCTTTCCCACTACTCAAGATAAACCCACAAGCAAATTATGGAAATAAAAATGTAATGTGCTGTATCATCTAAAAGACAAGGCAACTCATTAAGGTGTATCTATAAGCTTATATATTGTCAATACATAGACCTCCATGGCAACACAACACTTTCGGTAGTCTGACGGTTGTAGCATGGTAGCTGCACCAAAGATAATGTTTTTTGTGGTCTTGCAAGGCCTCATCACCACAAAGACTTTGCTGTACTCTACTATTCCTGGAAGACCGTGAGAAGGAGTATCTTTGTATATCTGTGTTTCAGCTTTAGGAGAAAGATTAGCCCCAAACATACGGGGCAATGAAACCGCTCTCTTCCTGAATGTTACAACTCAATAATTAATGGTACTTTCTGGTTTTGTGTACCCTTGCAAGGCCTCTTGTTACCACACAAAGAGAAGAACTACTTTGCTGTGTTCCGCTTTTCCTGGAAGACCGTTAGAAAGAGCATCTTTTTCTGTGTTTGAGCACAAGGCTGCAATAATTTGAAGAAAGATTAGCCACCCAATAAAACGGATTTACTCCCGAATGTGGCAACTCAGAATTCATGGTACATTCTGGTCTATGGTTCTGTTGATTACAGATGTTCAATTGTATTGTTAATAAAATGCATTTCCAATGTGACTGGTTTGTAAGAATATATCACTGAATGGTAGCGTACCTGACAAATCTTCGCTAATAAAGGTCTTGCTGCATTACCGATCGTATGTCGTTTGTGAAAACTGGCGGTGATGCCAAATGGCTGTCGATTAACGGGCGACAAAAGTTGTTTAAAAGTAAGCCCTACAGCGGATTCCTGCTGAAAAGCCCCTGTGCATATATTTGAGAAACTATACCCATGCAAAAAACGCATAATCGAAATAATTGGTTGAATGGACTTTGGTCTTCAGTTCAGAAATCTTAGACCATACAATGAATGTTTGATTAACACTGAAATATAACAGTAAACTGGCCAGTACCAGATATATGGGTTAATGTGACATAATTTCTATAATTGTATTATGAAACAGTGCCAGGATTACTTTCGTCTATCTGATTAATATAGATGACAGACAACTAGAGCTTTATAACAACAAATAATGACTTCGAAGTTCATTATATCTGAGACGGAATCCGTGTGAAAATTTGGTAAAAATCTCCGAATTTTCAAATTGATTATCCCCCGACTAAATCACCAAAAAGGCCAGGAAGGAGACGGAAGAATTTGAGAATGATTTAACGTATGGTTAGTGTAAAATGTCTTTTCATTTCCACCCCTCTTGGTCAACATTTGGTTGTTTTGGGGCTATTTACTATATAAGGCACGTTCAGTACAGATTGTGGATGGTAGGCAATCAATCGAAAGTCGTAATTCAGAAATGTTTGGAAGGCTTTACTATATAGGAATTAGTTTTCTAATCAAGGCAGAGGTATTATTATGCCGGCGTCACAAATCTGCAATTCGGCGTTGAGACCCATTTTTGTCAATTTCTAGGTCCCAAATATTAGCGATTTAGCTCCTTTAAACGTGTCTTTTGATATCAATGGAGTGACCACTCGCATAAACGAGGCGAAAATAACATCTAGCTTAAATAGATTGGTTGTTCACATATCTTAGATCACCAACTCGTAAATTTCATTCTGAGATGGATTTGTTTTACACAAATCCTTTAAAATGCGCTCTTTGTAAGAGTGCATATGTAGCCTGTTGTGTCATGAATTGGAACAATCGATTTATGGCTGCGAGTCGTGTAAACCCATCTCGTGTGGATGTGATAATGTTGTAGGAAATATTAAAGTTGCGTGAGAACAACAAAGCATACTATGATATAGAAGCAAGTGTTCTGCTTGTTGAATTGATTCAGGTTTCACTCAGATTGTATGTTTGTGCTTCGTAGTAGAATTTGGAATATAACAAAAACTTGTGATGGCGCATTTTCAGCCACCATCGCCAGTGTACCGTCATAAAAAAATAACCAGGGCGTGTGTGTGTTGGGGGGGGGGGAGGGATACGGGAGGTTCAAATTTTCTTTGTGCCGTCGTTCCCTCCCTTCGCCATTATTTATCCTGTTCTTATCCACTTGCCGTATTATGCAATAAACTTATAAGGCCAAGGATTCTATGCAAGGTAAGAGAGGGGTGGGATGGAGGTCTCTGTTGGGACCGTGTACAGTTAGGTATTCTTATCCCTTGCACACTCAGGGGCGTAAATGTGGGGGGGGGGGGTACACCCCCCAAGGAAGAAAACTAGTCGGTCGCAAAATTAGTGCAGTCGGTCGGAAAATAAGAGCAGTCGGTATCAAAATAAGTGCTCACTGCATACGTCACGCTACTCACGCAAAACTTTAGTATAAAATAACCTCCCAGCGGGCACAGAACGTTGTGACAACGTTTTTCAGAGGTTGTATCACAACATCTGAAATAAGTCAGCTGTAGGTTGTTTTGCAACAAACTCTTACGTTGTGACAACGTTGTACGGACGTCAAAGCAACATTGTCACAACGTTGTGTGGTGGTTGACGAAAAGTTGTGTGGTGGTTGACGAAAAGTTGTGACAACGTTGTACGGACGTCAAAGCAACATTGTCACAACGTTGTGTGGTGGTTGACGAAAAGTTGTGACAACGTTGTACGGACGTCAAAGCAACATTGTCACAACGTTGTGTGGTGGTTGACGAAAAGTTGTGACAACGTTGTACGGACGTTCAAGCAGCATTGTCAATACATTGTGTGGTGGTTGACGAAAAGTTGTCACGACGTCAGAATTTGTTGTTTTGCAACGTTGTGTGGTGGTTGGCGAAAAGTTGTCACGACGTCAGAATTTGTTGTTTTGAGGTTGTATAAAACCCAGTATAAGCCCCATCCGAACTCCCTACAGTTCTGCCCCTACTGGACTAACGAAGACGGGAATAGGCGGCCGGGCAGAATGGAAGTTAAATTAGGTGTGTGTGCGGGGAAGGGGGGGGGGGCTTAAATGCCCGACAGATTTGGGCCACGGTTTTGACATAGTGAAACGATACGCGAAGTTTCAACACTCTCACTCAATTAGAATCAAAGTTATTGTGTCCCATCACAACCAATCTAATTGCTTCTTTCTGAATAAAATCAGTATCAATTAATAGGACAGTACGTAGTTTCAAAACATTCAATTCAAACGATTATATTACAGACAATATTAATGCTAGAGTCATATAACTTTGCAGTAATGGGTAAAGGTAATAGAATCTGATCATTAAATTTTAAGTAATGGTCATGTAATGAGTAATGGAAGATTTCAAAAGTAATGAGTAATGGAAATGTAATTAATTACATTCCGAAAATCATGTAATGGTCAATTACATTTCAATTACATTTAATGGCGCATTCTTTGAATGGCATTTAGTAATTAGAACATAATCAAATAACGCACTTTTATGGAATAACAATTACTATGGTTTATTTCACTGCAACGTTTCAACAAGATTTCACAAGTCGTTTTCAAGCATATATACACAAATAAATAAAATGAGAAAGATATGAATATATATATAAACATCAGTGCAAACTATCCAATGGTATGCATGTCTTTAAATCTGATTGATTAAATGCTAAATTAGCACTAATCTTTAAATAGTAATAAAATGTAATTATTTACTTTCAATGTAATGGGTAATGAATGATATTGCTAAAAATGAGAAAGTAATTTTAATGCAATTGGTACTGTAATAATAATAATAATTTATTATTTATAATGCGCCTATTACCAATATAAAACACTCAATGCTCAATGGCGCAGTTAACATTTTGTGGACATCACACATAGAAAATAAAATAAAATTAAATGGATGATAAAAGAACTTAAAATGGCTTATAAAGATTATAATAAAATATGACATGTAATAAACAAATTTAAACTGTACATGTACTTAATTGGTCCCTCTTCTGTCCGGCTCATATTTTAGATGAGCCGAAACTGCTGTTATTATCTCGGCTTCATTGCAGCTCGGCTGACTGATCATTACACTATCTGAAGAATACAAAAAACTGTATATTTACTCTGTCAAATTTTGTAAATTATATAATTCAGTCCGATCAAAAAGGTGGTCCTGAAGCTGTAACAGATAATTCTGCATCCCATGAATTATGGACCAAAGGTGGCTTATTGGGTAAAACGCTGGCTCGCTTGTCTGAAGGTCGCATTTTCGATCCCTACATTTGCCGAGAAAGTTCAGTAGGCCTGACAAGGACAACTGTTAGTCGTTTGGATGGTATGAAAAACCGAGGCCTCGTGTACACATTGACGTGCAAGTAAAAGATCTCTTGGCAGTTGGAATTCGATATAAGAGTAGGCCATAGTGCCGCTGCCCGGGCAAATTTTTCCTTCATTGCACGCGGTATAGCGCATGCCCATCTTCATTAGCCTAGTCTGAGCAGAACAGTAGGACGT